TTTCATTTAAGTTTGATTTTGTCTGCAAATAGAAACCTTTTACCAATATAATAAGAATGTAAGAAATTTTCATTTTTCAGCAGAACAATGTTTCATTAAACCTTTTTTTGCAGATAATACTTTTCATTTTATGTCACAATTATTAAACTAGTACACCTTCTAAGCATGATTAAATTATGTATGCGACCTGGTTTAAAACAAATTATAGTGATGNTTTAATGACACTATGATATTCCTTTAACAGAAACCAATTTCATTTAAGTTTGATTTTTTACCAATATAATAAGAATATAAGAAATTTTCATTTTTCAGCAGAACAATGTTTCATTAAACCTTTTTTTGCAGATTATACTTTTCATTTTATGTCACAATTATCAAACTAGTACACCTTCTAAGCATGATTAAATTATGTATGCGACCTGGTTTAAAACAAATTATAGTGATGATCAAAAAACGATATTTCTACGTAAAAATATTATAATAAAGTCAATATCACTTGAAAAATACTATGATTATCTTAATTTCTTACTTTTCCACAAAGAATAAGCAATAATAGCAACTTTATTTTATACACTAAAACTTCATTGTTATAAAAAAAAATAATTACAAATTAAAAAAAAATTTCTAGTACACAAATTATTCAATTCATAATTACTCAATATCACATACAAGCAATGAAATTGTAACATTCTTTAAAGCACAATACAGAAAATCTAACAATTACTTTTCTTAATTCTCTACAACTCATTAATCGATTAACAATTAAGTGGGGATGAATGCAACTCATTGAGAAAATTTTTAAAAAAAAATTCCATCAGTTCTAATAATTTTTGTCAAAATAAAGTCATGGAGTCTGTTTAATTTTGTCAAAAATGTAATTTTTTGTTAATAAAGTAACTTCTGTCAACATGTATATCATAAGTAAATTCTGTTAATTATAAAAGTCTCCAATTTTCAGTAACTTAAGTAAGTTTAAAAATTTTTGAAATTTAAAAATTGGTATTGCAGATGTTACATAATACTAACGCCCATTACAGAGAGTTCTTTATTTTTTAAAAAAATTCATAAAATTAGAGAAAGTGAAGCAAAATTCAATTTTTAACAAAAAAGATCTATGATCAGAAAGAAAACTTAAGGAGTCGATGGCTTTTTCCTAACAAAATTTTCGATTTTTAAATGTATATGTTACTGTGAATGACCGTAATCAAAAGAATGTGAACTTTCACCGGTGAATGTCAACAATCTTTGGTGAATGTCGGAAATATTTGTTATAGCCGATTTGATATTACTTTATTCCTTGATATAATTATAATTATTCGATATTTTAATATCTGCTGAGGATAGATTATGAGAAACATCAGAGTATCAGTTAAATGCATACTGGGTTTACAACAGTCGTTGAACAGCCGACCCAATTTCGGGTTTACGACTACTAATGTTCAAATCCGTAGACTTGTAACTTTGAACCAATCCAGAAGATAAGGAAACTCTTGGATCAGTACCCCCAGAGGTATAATTTGTAATGGAAACATGGAGGACTTTGTGACACGACAGATTTAAAGTGCACCAGTCACCATTTACTACACGGGGAGTTTTCAGCTGATGGGGATCAAACCCACGACCTCTTGGACATGGGCCCAGTGCCCAACCAACCAGGCTCTCCTGGCCCTGGGCTGTGGTACTTGAACTTTAAAAACATTGATGTAGGGTGTACCAGGAAACATGTATGCTGGGCAGTGGCACTGAACCTTAAGAAAACATTGATGTATGGCATACCAAGCAGTGGCACTTAACTGAAATTAGTATATATTTCAGACACTTATCAAAACGACAATTTGATTGTCAACATTCACTGGAAGTCAACAACCATCCATTTCGGTCATTCACAGTATCATATATATATACTATATATATATACATAGTGGGGAACCGATTATCCGGAACGATCGGGACCATCGATATTCCGGATAACTGATTTTTTCCGGTTTTCTGAATCGCTACAAAAAGCCGTTTCTTTTTCGTTAAACCCAACTGAAAAAAAATATTTGGAAATAATCTTAAAAAGAAGAAAAAACNCACACATATATACACACAAACATATATATACACACACATATATATATATATTATGACCTATTCTATTTGGAGAAATTTGACACCAAGTATAAGATTATGCTCAAAAGCTAACAAAGTCACAGCAAAAATACTGAAAACAAAAAATAACATAATTATTTTCAAAACTGGTTGCAAACTCAAGTATTTTGTTTAAAGTTATTTATTCAAAATAGTGTTTGAAATTTGTCCTTCACAAATGAAATTTTTTCATCTAGTTACTCTATTTTTAATAAACCTATGAAGTTAAAATTTGATAATTGGTTTGCTTTAATTCATACATTTGAATATTGGAAAACATTTTATATTTTTTTGGGGTCAAAATAATTTAAAAAAAAATAAATATCCCATCACGGCTGAATAAAATTCAGTCACTTTTTAATTAAATTCTTTCTCATTTTAAAAACTATGATTTATTTTTCAATTTCTTTGAACTAATTTAATTTCAAAAAGGGCCTATTTGAAACTATTTCAAATCATTAAAATCATCATTATAGTATCTTTTTCTTCTATAACTTTTAGCTTTAAAGAAAATTAAATTATAAAAGCTCTTACTGTTATTTTACAAAAGTAATTGCATTAAAATGATGTTTGCATGTTATAATGTTTGTTAAACTCCTGTAAAAAATTCAGCGTCCGAAGCTACATTTTAGAAAGTTTGAAAAAAAGCTGTAGATTGATGTTTACTCAATGAAAAAAATGTAGTTGGGGGGTGCTAAATGGGTTCTTTTCTTTTTTTAGTCGACAAAAAAAAGTGATTTTGGTGGGAATGTTATTTTGTCCTGATTCTGCTTTTAACAAATAAATGACAAAATCAGAAATTTTAGACAATAATTTGCATATTAAATTTCAATATCAAGAAACAAAATAGAAAAATATATTACAAAATATCATGAATAAAACATTCCTGTTATTTTAAAAATTTGAGACATCGTGAAAAAGTAAAATGTATATATAAAAAGAGTATAATTATGAGAAATTACAAGAAAATTACATTTAACAAAATTTTTGTAAGATAAAAATTAATGTATAGTAAAAAAAACAACTATTTTTCTTTTTGACAATGCAAAAAACTGTATTTGGGTCAATTTTAAAATTTTTAGGGCTGCAATATTCTACACTGTCACCGATAAAACTTATAAATTAAATAAATACTATAAATAATTCCTGTGTGCTTACAGTGCAATTTCTAAAGGGGACTGTTAACACTAATAGGTTCATATAAAAGTGTCTTTTGAATTTATTTCAAAATCGTAACATTTTATTTTAAATAAAAGACCAAGATGAGTTTGCTATCAAATGCAAAACTATATAACTTTAATCATTAAAGCTTGACTTGCAAAATGTTCACAAAGTCAAAGAGAGAGCTCTAAAAATAACTGCAACTATTAAGAAATGAAATGAAATTAATGAAGCTTACACATAAATGTCTCAAAATAAATTTAGATCCAGTTAAATCCAAGGCGTGGCCTGAGAGAGCTTTTTTTCATGGGGGGGGGGGCACACTTTTTTAATTTTTAAAGAAAATAGATTGTTTATTTTAGGTTACATATAATTCTTTAGGCATAACACCTGCGGCAGAATTTTTTCGAGCTATCTGCGACAAATCTCCCTATCATTATTGTCTTTCTGCAAGATACTTTTAATAATAACAAACATATATGTTAAAAATTTAAAATAACAAAAACGCCGTGTTTACAAAAAAAAAAAACTATGCAACATTTTTTTTAGCAAAACATGTAATAATTTTTTATTCTAATATTATGGGTGATATTCTTGCATTTTATAAGGGGGTGGGGGAGGAGCACAAATTATTTTTCTTCTTTGCATTTTGTAAATAATCATCACAATAATAAAAATAATTAAAAATCATGAAATATGTAGTAGTAATTGCCGAAAAGAGATTGACGAAGAAATCATGCAAATAGGGCTCCTCAAATGCGCATTTCGTTTTGAGATTACGTTGTTGTAATAAATAATATCTGATAAAAAATATCTGATTTAAAAACTGTGGAGAAGTTAATAGCATTAACTGCCAAAAATTCGATAGAGTTATTGCCTTAAAAAGTAAATACTCAGATATTTCGGATATATTGGTAAAAATATATCGGAATATTTAAAATCCAGGTGAAAATCAATATCAATAAGTGCCGAAAATACAATCAAAACATTACATCGATTTTCCATACTATCATCGTAAATTGAGAGCGTCAAAAAGAGATTATCTAAATACAGTACAGAACCCGTTATCCGGAAATCAGAAAACCGGAAAACCAAAAAACCGGAACGAAATTCAAGGAATTTTCCTGCCATTTTTAAAAAAATTTTTTTTTTTCCCTCATAAGATTTTAGGATTTTTCTTTCTTTTTTGAAAGATTTTTACCCTANGGAACGAAATTCAAGGAATTTTCCTGCCATTTTTAAAAAAAAATTTTTTTTTTCCGTCATAAGATTTTAGGATTTTTCTTTCTTTTTTGAAAGATTTTTACCCTACACCTCATTTTGGAAATAATCATTATTAACCATTCATATTATTCAATCATTTGGAATAATATTACTTCATCGTTTTTTTCTTCTTTTTAAGATTATTTCCAAAATTTTTTTTTTAGTTGAATTTAACAATAATAAAAAAACGGCTTTTTGTAGCAATTCAGAAAACCGGAAAAATCAGTTATCCGGAATAGCGATGGTCCCGATGGTTCCGGATAATCGGTTCCCTACTGTACAAGATTCAAATATTACGCATAAATTACTGTAGAAAAGAAAAGTAATTATTATTTTTACTTTTCAAAAAAAAAAAAAAATCTTTCTGCAAGAATTCTAACATTCTGTCACAATGTCGCCGTGATTCTGCCATGGGGGCATAACATAATAAAGCATAACATATATAATTCTTCAAGCATAACATATATAATTTCTTTCAGTCCATAAATAAAACACAAAAGTTACAATTTTTAATTGAAAGAATTTTCAGATAAAAACTAACAAATTCTGTTATAAGTAAGTTTAGATAAATATCGAGTTTCAAATGCTTTGGTACTCCACACACCACATTATGCTACGCCTATTAGTTAAAGTAGTAGTTATTAACAGAATATTCTCAAAAAGTCTGAAAAATACACATTTCTGCCCTTGAAAAAAAAAAAAAAAGAAATAACTTTTATGACTTTTTTCATCTACTAAAATTACTGAAATCCATTTTGAGTTTAATGGTGGGAGAGGAGGAGGAAGTCTGTGTTTGAGAGGAAGAATTGTCTCTATTGAAGTTGGAGGATCCTGCTTGGGCAATGCGTATACAGGCTTCTATGCGGTTCTTCAGACGGACACTGCAGCCCACCACCGTTCGAAATTCGTGCGGGTATTGCGGTCCTATCTTCATTAGTTGTTGGAGCGCACACTCGTGAACTGCTAGCCTCGCAGGTGAGAAAGATTGTTGGGGGGAATCGGGGTCCAGCAAGAGGGTGACAAGTGTGGGAACATACAGGCCAACAATTACCAGTTCTGAAAGAAGAGCACATGTTAGTGCAAAGCAATTCATGTTTGAAAAAGGGTTAAATTTGCACAATCATAACTGCCAACATGGATAGGAAGAAATCCAGTAGATTTTACGAAATATAAATTTCACGATAATTGTTGCATAATGTACTAAATACACATAGGGAATTTTAGGGATTTTTATAGTCATCAAAATAGAAAAACTGCTTTCCAGTTAAGATGGACAACAAATGAACTTGAAATGTTATGCATTACATTTACTCATAATTTTGAATAGTAATTGGCATTTAATTCATCAGAGATAGTTAATAGATTTTTTTTAATTATTTAAAAAGGGAGTTCTGATTAAAATAAACAGAACATTTTAGGACAAACAAAGTTTTAAACTAATTTTCATAAATGAGGCTAACTTTATAATAGATGTAATACTTATTTTAATATTCAAACAAGCAATAATCTGTGCAAAAATCTTATTTCAATAGGGATTTTTTTTTGGAAACTTACTCAATTTTAGGGAATTTTCTAAAATGTACAAAAACCAGGAGAATTTGTATTAAACCAGTAGACCAGGAGAAACTAGTCTACTGGAAAATCCAGTAGAGTTGGCAGCTATACACAATATTCAAAAATTACCTAAGCATCAAGGGGAGACGGGATTTCAATTTGTTTTTTGGGCAGAAGGGACCTAAAATTACTGGAATTATGCTTATGTAATATTTAAATGGCCTTTGCTTCAGATTTAAATTACGATTTTTTTTAAAAAAAAATCCCTCCTCTTATTATTCTAAGGGAGGAATGTAAAATATATGATTTTCAAAATAAACTAAAAAATAAGAAAGAAACTGCACACAAATAAAAGTGAAAATTTTAAATTACAACTTTTCATTCGCCGTACACAAAATAAATTGCAGTTTAAAAAGCATATTTTAACTATACCTTTATTTAGTTTTTTGTTTAGTTAAATACAAATACTTTTAATACTTGCTAAATATGTAGTTTGTGCCTATAAATAATGAAGAAAGACTTGCTCAACTAAAAGTAATTTAGAATTTTTTTCGCATTTAAATTTATTCTACATTTGATATTTAACTGACAATTAGGTCTTAACAAATTCATGAGTGAGTTGAGCTTGGGGAAAAAGACATATGATTTGATTTACTCAGTAATTAGTTTGTATTAACAATATATATTAAGTATTTCAGAGACAATATTATTAAATAGTATTTAGCATTATTGCACTTTATAAGAGCTTTCATTAGAAAATGAGAAAAAAATTAAATTTAAATATTTCCTTTAAATCATTACCTCAAAAAATCTTACATTTGTCAGCCAAATTCAAAATAATTTTTATAAAAATCAAATTAAAAAAAAATTGCAGTTATGCAGTTAATGATATTCATCAGAACTGTGAGATATTATATAAAATGAGTTTTTAAATTATCCCTCAAATTTATGTTGAGTTACTTCTCAGTACATCCTTTAAAAAAAAATAAATAAACAAGGATCCATGATTTATGAAATAGAATCTCATTAATGCAAATCTCCTCCTACTGATGTCAATTCTAAATTCTGTATATACCTTAAAGGGAAAGGGCCAGGATAGTCTAGTTGGTAGGGCACATGTCCAAGAGGTCGTGGGTCCAAACCCTGCCAGCCGAAGACTCCCTGCGTAATAAATGGTGACTAATGCGTGTTAAATCTGTCGGGTCACAAAGTCCTCCATGTTCCTTTAACAAATCATACCTCTCGGAGTACTGATCCAGGAGCTTCCTTGTCTTCTGGATTGGGTTCAAAATTACAAGGATACAGAATCGAACATTAGCAGCCGCGAACCCAAAATTGGATCGGTTGTTCAACAACGGTTAGTTACGTAATAAAATAACAAAATGCCTTAGAGGGAAGGAAAAGTAATTTAAGAGATAATTTTTTTTATTTAGTTTTTAGTTAGTGTTGCAATCAATCTCATTTTCAACAACTTTTTGCCATCTAGCATGAACATTTTATTTTTCGCCACTATATTACAGATATCAGAATAAAAAAATACAAAGGTGCAACATCAGGTGAATATGGTGAGAGAGGTAATAACTGCCACCCCATTTTATCAATTTTTCTTAGGGTTTGGCTTTTGTCATCACGATGTAGAATAACGCTTTTCCTATTGACAATTAAATATTGAGTAATTCAATTCAATAGTTTACAGTTTTAAATTCATAGTTAGTTGAGATTTCAGCACTTCAAATTGCAGCATTAAATGATAAAAATATGAATAAATGAAAAAAAAATATTCAGAGAAAAATGATATCAAACCTAAAACTTAACAATTGAATTAACATTTTTAAAAATGTAAACTTCTCAAAAGAGATAAAAACCGTTGCCAATTTCAATAATAACAAATTTCCAATCAGTTTTCAATAAATTTTAATGATACATTTGCTTGTATTAAACAATTTTTAAGGTAGTGAAATAGTTTGAAATGTATTGTTATTATATATTTTTTAATAACATACCAATTATAATTATAAAATTTAACTAAGAATAAGCAGAAATAAATATATAAAAATATCCGGTTTAAGTAAAACAAATCTGATTTTTTTGTTAAATAAAAAAACAAAACAAATATAAACCCTGGTTACAAGTTTTGACTCTGGTAGCAGAAAAGTTTCAGAATGGTAGCAGATGCTGAAAATTATAACAGCACCTGCAGATTACTTAAAAACTAAGAAAAATTGCTGAAATTCCATTTTTAAACATCTCTAAACTTGTTTCGAATCAAAACTATAAAAGCTAAATTGAGAGTACACAGAGAACTTTTCTTTCTGTTTTATTTAATTACAGATTTATACAAAGATTTATTTCAACATATTTTTTTAGTACCATTATTCATTCAAATAAAGTTTCGCTGACATAAATTTTAAATGGATAAATTTTAAATGTCTTAATTGAATGTCTTAATGTCTTAAAATCTGTTAATTGAAGTTCATATAGTTTGTTTATTTAGAGAACTCCCCTTGCCACAAAGTCTAACGCCGCGTGCAAAGTTCCCACTCAATTTCAGAAAAATAAAATTTCCTGACTTTTCCAGGTATACCAGGTAAACTTCAATGAAAATTGAGACCCTATTTTCATCAGAAAACTTAGATTCCTTTATTTGTCATGTGAAATATTATATTTTCTGTGTAAAAAATATTAAATGTGGAAGGGAACATTTCAGTTTGACTAAAATGTGAAATTTTCATGACAAATAATTGTAATAGATGTTAAAATTATTTAACTCGGATCTCAATAACTGACAATTTTAAGACTGGTTATTTTTCAGGGAATATTGTAGGTTTTTGTAAAAAAAATTGCTACCTTCCCTGATTTTTGGATTTAAAATAAAACACAATGACAATATCTGTTCTACCTGACCTGTGAGAACCCTACTGCTATCGAAACAAGAAATAGCATATTTCAAAGAGGGGAGCTTCTTTTTTCCCCCGAGTCTCTTGCCGACCCTGTCCTAAATAATGAACTTGAAATGGTTAAACCGCATAACTATAGTCACTGCCACTACTCCGGACGAATGGGTTCCGGAGTTCTTCACATAGGACAAATTATAATAACCTCTGTCTGAGTGAATTACACAGGGTGCATAGCCAGATTTTTCAACAAAAAATAAGCACTTTTTGAGCACTCAAAAAGTATTTTTAATCACTTTCCAAAAAAAAATTCTTATTAGGATCTGTGCAGTAAATAATTTTTTTTCCTTCTATCGTTTAATGTTTTTAATTTATGAACACTAGATCAATAAAATTCAAAAACATTTTCACAAACGTTACATAATCATGATAAAATAACTAGTTTCAGATAAAATTTTGAAAATCATGCATTTTTTGTCATTTAGAACAACAATCGATACGGCAAAGAAAAATCTCCTTTTGAAAAATTAAAAATTAAGTAATTTTTACAAACCCCATATAAAAAAAAGCACTTTTAAGAGCTTTTAAAAAATTTAAATAAAAAATAAGCACATTTAAGCACTTTTCAAAAATGCTACGCACCCTGTTACAGACAAATTTAGATTAATGAGGATTAATTAAGATAAAATTTTCTTCATAAATTCTGCTACCTGAGCCACTGTAAAAATAAATCACTTCAAAAAGTACTCACTCTTATCATTGGCTGCAATGTCTACCAGGACCTTGAGGGTCACCACCAATTCCTTTATAGCATTCACTTTGTTTTCAGGAAAGAAATCTAAGGAGGTCAACTCGGTAGAGAACTGACTGACCAGCTCAATGAGTTTTGGACAAAGTGAATGAATGTAAGGTCCAACAACAACCATATCAGGATGAAGAAAGATGGAGTGAAGACAGGATATTGCTTTGATCTGAACCTGAAAAACAAGTTTCCTTTTTTAAACAGAAATATTAAAACATAGTAAAATTGCAAACAAGTTTAAATAACAGTATTAATTCCTACAGGGAATCTACTACATTTTAGATTTTCAAATTCATGACTAATTCTAAGAATTTTTCATGACTAACCAAAGTTACTATTTTCTTCACAAAAACACAACAATAAATTTAAAGAAGGTAATAGAAATGAAATAATAGGTAGAACCAAAACTGCTATAATCTGCACCTTCATATTTATGGGTTTTAAATTTAAAAAACAGAGTAGAGAAAGAGTTGAAACAGTAAAATAAGTAAAAAAAATAGAAAAGCAAGCAATATTTTCTTCTTTTTTTTTCTGCAGTATTATATTCTAAAGATACTTTTCTTGTTCGTCGGAAAGGAAAGAAATGTTCTTGATTTTCCTGCTCTTATTTCGGAATAAGAAAAATTTGTCAATCACTAGCTTGCTTCAGCTAGAATTTGAAATTGATAAAAAAAATTATAATAACAAAAACTCTGAAATCACAGAAGTTTAAAAGATAATTCACTATAAAAATGATGTTTTTTCTTTCAGTTTTTAAAAAGCACACTATAGTTTTTAAAGAACATGATAAAAATATTTTATATTTTATTAAAATATGACTGTGAGTGGGGATTTTGTTACAAATTCAGATATTCAGAACACCATGAAATGGGGGGAATGGGAATTTCATTTTAAAAATTTGATTTTTCGGGGACCTAAATCCATGACTTTCCGTGATATTTTTTAAAAAAAATAGTTAAAATCATGACATTTCATGCGAAATTTTGTTCTATACCGAAATTCATGACTTTCCAGGTACGCAGATACCCTGAACATAGTAAAAATGCAACCAAGTTTAGATAATAGTATTAATTCCTAAACTATTTAATATACTGGGTGTACAAATAAGTTCCCGCCATTCGTCACAAGATGGCACTACCAGAAGGTTATGAAGATATCGACTGGCGTCAAACGTTTTATTGTAAGTTAGTCCATCTGTTAACAGCAAAACCTTAAAGAATCGGCGATTCCGTATAAGCATTATGTAATTGTTTTCGTGCAAAAATTTCATGTTTTGGGCCAAAAAAGCTCCTTTTGCGGGAACTTTTCATTTACTTTTTAATTTGGAGAAATCTGCAGCTGAGAAGCATTGATTGCTCATAGAAGCATATGGTGCTTTAAGTGAGAGAAGTTGTCGCGGTGGTTTCAGAAGTTTAAAAATGGTGAGTTTGACATGGAAGACAAAGAATGCAGTGGATGGCTGAAATTGCACGTAGACGAGGAATTGGAAGAATTATTGGAAGAAGATTCGTCCCAAAGGTAAAAAGAACTTGCTCTTACATTACAAGTGACTCAGAAAGCAGTATCACATCACTTGGGAATGACCCAAAAACAAGGAAGTTGGGTTCCATTCGAACTGAAGTCAAGAGACATTGAACGTCGATTTAGCATGAAAATTGATTCTGCTATTTGGAAAACCCGTATTCGAGAGACCAGATTATCACCTCTTTTCCAGTCGATGACACTGCCTGAGCAGAAATCATTTCAAGGAATGGGTCGATTCATCCTCGAAAGACAAAAGAGTTATAGAGAGGGAGTATAAGAGAGAGAGAGAGAGGGGGGGGGTATCCTCCCAAAAAATATGGGAAAAAGCAGTGACTAATAATGCTTTGAACAAAAGATAATGGCAAAAAATCGACCAATTTTTTTCACAGTAAAATGCTAATTTTTTGATAGAAAATGGTGGAAACTTATTTGTTCTCATCATTTTTAAATATGTATAAACTAAAAAGCAACAATTGGAAAGTAAAATAAATTTCTAAAGAAATTAAAATAGTATTTATTCTATGTTTTAGTTATTCTAGTTCTTAGTTATTCTATGTTTTACATTAATGAGAAGAGTAAAATCTTAATTCATAATTATACAAACTGTTTTATCATAATCAAATTTTACTGTAACTAAATTAACAAATCCCAACTTATGTATTAAAGTCTGAACCAACTACAAATAGTATATAATTTCTTACAATAAAATAATTTTAAGAATGAATACTTAAATTGACTCTCACGTCATATGATTGAAGGATTATAAAATACTACAGAAAACTAAAATAAATAATATTTTATATCTTTTAATTTTATAACCGACCAACCTTTTGGGTTTATCACTACTAATGTTCAACTCCATGGCCTTGTAATTTTGAACCAATCCAGAAGGCAAGGAAAACTCCTGGATCAGTAAGCCCAGAGGTATGATTTGTAATGGGAACATGGAAGACTTTGTGACTTGACAGATTTAACGTGCATCAGTCACCATTTTCTTCAGCCGACTGGGATCAAACCCAAGACCTCTTGGACATGGGCCCAGTGCCCTACTAACCAGGCTATCCTAGCCCAAAATAGTTATCTTTCGTAAAATCTTTGTGTGAATAATTTTTAGTTTTCTGGTACTATATAAAATTTAATTTGTTTCCTTGGGCCGAGAAAGGTAGACTCAACCTTTCATCCCTTCAGTGGGTCAATAAAATACCAAGCCAATAAATTACCAATACCAAGCATGCTTGGGAACTTAACACTGGGGGTTCCGCATTGAGCTGACCATCTTCCTGGAACATCTGCTCTTGCATCTTAGAGCCCAAAAGAAAAAAAAAAATGTGATGAGCTCAGTAAGCCCTCTATGGACTTTTGCACCACTGAGTTTAGTAGTAATGTATAGAATTTAATTTGCTTAAATTTAAGCAATTATTATAACACCTAATGTACGACAAGCAGATTGGACATGTTTAGTTTTTTCAATTTTTTCCCCAGTTTCTTCCAGACCATGTAAAACAAATGCGGGTTAGTTCCGCCAAAAAAGTCTTCTACTAAGGCAAAATTCTCCTGATACTCGATCCAGGAGTTTCCTCGTCTTCTGGATCGGGTTCAAAATTACGAGGCTACGGAGTCGAACATTAGAAGTCGCGTTGAGTCGACCGTTCGATGACGGTTATAAAATAAAATTAACACGATAGTCGTAAACTCACAAAAGAGTTGTCTGTTTAATGCTGGTAACAAAAATAAAAAAATGAAGTCTTACAATGGAGTTTTCCTGTTGAAGTGCGTGTGTAAATATATTGATACAGTGTTGACGCAAGTTGGGAGGGCAGACAACCTCACGAGGAGCTGATGTGATGTAGACAGTGATGGATGAGACAGCAATGTACTTCTCTACCTCATTAGGATTGGAACCTGAAACCACATCTTAGTACAATAAAAGCAACAAAAAAAAAACATTCAAAATCAAGATTATTATATAGTTGGCATTTTTGTTTCAGACATTACTTATTAACAAAAAAAAATTTAAAAATAATTTTTTATTTTTACCAGTTTCTTTAATTTCTATTGCTAAGTTGATAGCAATAGCAAAAGATAATCCACTTAAAACTATGATGAAGCACTTACTGCTTTTTTTCAATTGCAACTTTTAATTGTGCGAGAAATGTCTCTTTCAACTGCAGAAACAATTTAATTGATTTCAGGTAAATACTGAAGTCAAATGTCGAAACACAAACAAATTTTGGTAGAATTATGCGGTAAAGAAATAATCCAACCGTAACTTGTTTGAATTATCAAGGGTAATTGTGACAAGAGAAAAACCCTGAAAATTTAATGCGCGAAAACTCGATAACAAGACATCAATTTATGTACTATTCATGTTTAATATAATTTTTTTAAACTAAGATTTATAATAAAACTACCTGTAGTGTACCAACAACTACAAAAAAATACAATTTCAATTCACTAGTATAAAAGAAATGTTAAAACGATTCTATGTTGGGGAACCTCTACATAGATGAAGGTTGACATTCTTGGAAAAAACTATCCTCAGATTGGTGACCCGGACATGGTGTGAACACGCCTACCTTCACAGAAACTCCTACTTCGATTAGAACACGCCTACTAAAATGGATGGTCCACAATGAACAGTTGACTTGCTACGTGTAACTGTGACATTATCCACCTGCTTGCGCTGTTGCTACTCAGTTTCATTTACACATAACGGGATTCTGCACACACTCGACTGCTAATGGCAACACAAGAGCAACCACAACTGTGAACTTAATACAGCACTCAAAAGTACGGTGATCTTCATACAGCTTTCCCAGCTTCTCACAAAGCAACAATGAATCAACTAGTGGTATCCGTTTATTAAATTCTATCACAGATATGGAGGGGGGAGTACTGTAGTGTATCGACAACTACAAAAAAAAAAAACACTTCCAATTCTCTACTATATAGTTTTCAAGAATATTTTTTAATTCAAATTTATGTTATCCAGCCAGAGGGGATAGCTTTTATTTCTTTCAGCCTTGACTGAGGTGTAAATTGAGACAACATTTGTGATCGAAACATAGGCGGATATCAATGAATGCACGCATGTCTTTGAGACACGTTCTTCTCTAATAGCTAGGGAAAGAAATCCCTGGATTCATTATAACAAACAGGCGTTGTGTTGCATGAAGAAGACCGATGCATCTGGGACAGACACATAACTATAGGAAAGATAACGTGAAATAGCAAGCCAAAGCTGACTGCATATACAGGGGTCTGTCCAGGCCAATTTTACTACCGTTTAGCGGTACTTTCAAAAATTCAACTAAATAAAAAACAGTAGTTTCGCAAAATACTTTATCTTAAAATCTTATTTTTCTATCCCGTAAGAGACGATGATTCCATATTTTCACCCCATTTTTGTGTTGATTTTTTTCATAAAATTTTTAATTTTCACAAAATCTCAGAAAAACCTAGACAGATCCCTGATATAGACATTTTATACAAGAGCATATTAAATGTAAGTGAAGGAGCTATCATCCATAAATATTGAAATTAGTGAAACAATAGAAGTGCTAAACAAAATAGATGGAATATTAGAACCCTGATAATTTAGTGCATCTAGTCCAGCTTTAGTGTACCATAGTAAAAAATAATGATATTTTCTTCTAAAAACGACACATTAATACACGATAGATTGTAGAAATGCCTTACTAGTTTGAGAAAAATGTGAGAGATGAGCCAGTCCACTTTGGAGAAGAGAAATCCATTCCTTTTTGCAGGCAACATTTTTTGCCATTGAGTTGGTGCAAAGATCTTGCAAGCAGGCAAATACCGTCTGGATGAAAGGTTGCTGCAGTTGATCCACCGTGATCTCCTTCAGCACTCCCACAATCAGGTGAGTTGCAATTGTGGCCACACCAGCAGAGGCTGAGTAAAAGTTAATAATCATTATTTTATATTCCAACCAGTGGCTACTTTTGAAAGTATCTTCATTAAAAATTGAAAATTCTAAGGTATCAGCACACATTAAAATTATAAGTTTATTTTTGGTAAGCAGGGTCAATAACATTATGAAGCTAAAGTTTTCCTATGTGCATAAAATTAAAATCAAGGTTTCGGGTTTTTTTTGATTTAAAAAATATATTTTTTTTAAATTAGATTTTTTTTGTATTTAAATCAGATTTTTTTCAATTTTTATTCAAATACACTATAAGAACTTTGATTAAAGAACTTATAAATGTTTAATCAAAATTAAATTAATATTAAAACTACATTATAACAATATTTCAGAAGCTCTAACTACCTAAAACAATTTTTCATTATAATACATAGTAACCAATTTGAAACTTATGCATGATTGAAATTCAACGACTAAAGGAAATAAGAGAATTTAAAGAATACTTCAACTATTTTAAAACAAAGTTTCAATTGGCAAATCATAATTTTAATTTAAAATTGTGATTTTTTTTCTCTTGATTTTTAAAATAACAAAATAAATGTAACAGATTGTGTTAATAGATGTAGTCATTCATCAAAAAAATATTTAATCTATATATTTTTGTAATAAAATATTCATTTTTAATCCTATATCAAAATAGATAAGTTAAGCTATAAAAAAAAATTAAAAAAATCTATGTACTCATTGGAATTTTTTTTCACAAAATTTCTTTATAGAAAATCTGATAATGTCAATAAACATATTAGAAGATTTATTCAAATAAAATTTATTCAAAATAATTTATTTAAAATATATTTTAAAACTAAGAAAAAATAATAATAAAAGTATCAATAATGTAAAACACTGTTTTTTAACTTTTTAAATCAATATATATAAAAAAAATCATTTTATTTAAATCAACAAACCCTGATTAAAATATTGCAAAAACGTTTTCAAAACCTTCGTATTTCTGTAATCATTATTTTAAAAATAACTTTTTTCTTGCAGGGTGCATAGCCAGAGTTTTCAACAAAAAATATGCACCTTTTAAGTACTTTTTAAGAACTATAACAATATTTTTAATCACTTTCCAAGAAAAAAAAAATCAGAATTATAATTAGGATTTGTGCAGTAATAAAATTTTTTTTCTATAGTTTAAAGTTTTTAAATTATAAACATTAAATCAACAAAATTCAAAAATATTGTAAAAAACTTAACATAATCATGATAAAATTATTAGTTTCTGATAAACATTGCAGAGAAAATTGTAAAAATCGAGCATTTTTTGTAAGTTAGAACAACAATCGACGTGGCAAAGAAAAAAATATCTTTTTCAAAGATACAAAATTAAGTAGCTGAATAAAAAAAAAAACCTGAATAAAAAAAGCACCTTTGAGGGTGCATATATTAAATACATTCAATATATGGAGTCATTAATTCAAATTAACACTTCATACAATTATGCAAAATATTTGTAAATTTAAGAGTAACTACCGAACGAAAAGATGATTACTATCAAATGACTAGATGATCAAATTGAATTGACGTGTAGGAAATCCTATTTTATTTTATAACTGTCGTTGAACAGCCGGCCCAATTTTTTGGGTTTATGACTACAAATTTTCAACTCTGTAGCCTTGTAATTTTGAATTCAATCCGGAAGACAAGGGAATTCCTGGATCAAGTATTGGGAGAAATTTGCCTTCATGGAGGCCTTTTGCTGGAACTAACCCGCATTTGCGTTACATGGAGAGGAAAACCATGAGAATCTCCCACGGTTAGCCTGACTGCAAGGGGACTCAAACCTATGATCCGTCTATCACTGAGGATATTTTACGTCAGCACTGTAGTCTGTGCAAGCTGGATGCAGAATTTGTATCAAACATCCATGGCTGGTATTGAAACCCAGCTCACCTCATTGAAAGCGAACGCTCTATCCCCTGAGCCACCATGACTTATAAATAGAGGATTAAACAAACTCATACTTTGGTTTAGAACTATGCTGGTGAAAACCTCATTTTTTTTAAAAAAATTCTTGATGATTATCGACATGGCACTTTTTACAAACACCCAATTAGAAATAAGTAACTTTAAGTGCTTTTAAAAACTGAAAACCAGAAATACACCTTTAAGTACTTTTTAAAAATGCTAAGCACACTTTTTCCTGATCTTTATAAGCAAAATGTGTAAATGTCATTTTTTTTTTGAGAACTTAAAACTGAACTGAATTTTCTCATTTTAATTGGAGCTCTGAGCTTGATACCAGTACAACTCACAACATCGTTTCCTAAAAGGTGCAAGAAAAGTTTTGATCACTTTCTGACATAAAAAAGTTAACACAAATGCAAGAAGAAAGCATAAAAACAAAATTTAAAAATTATAGTTTGTCTACGATAAAGAACTCCACAAAGTCTGCTGTTATGGAAACAAGAACAGGACACTTCTCTTTACTCTAGGGTTAACAGGATAGACCGAAGAAAAAGATTCCCTTTAGCTCGCCGACTCAAACCAAGTCCTAAACAATGACTCCATACCCCTACTTGAAATAGTTATATCCCTATTCACTGCCAGGGGTAGAGACAAATGGTTGGGGAGTTCTTACTATAGACAAACTATATGTTTTAGTTATTTGTTTATATTTTTTAATTTTAAAATGTCAGGAAGACGGTCACTCATTTATTCACCTCCGAGGTAAAAAGATATGGGTTAAAATCCCCTAGCAGCATTGGTCCAAAATTTGGGAGATTTTTTTAGAAAAAAATTTATCGTTTACTTTCATATACTCTGTTAATAGTTCCACACTTGAACAGAACATTGGAATGTTAGCATCCACTTATTATATTTTTTATTATAGATAAAACAAAATTCCTTGTACTTTCCCAGTTTATAAAGAAAAAAAATCAAACCTCTATGCATTTTCCCTGTCATTTTATGTGATTTTTAAATTCCCTGTATTTTCCTGGTTTTCTCTGTTCTCCCTGTGAATTGGCAACCCTGACATCGTTGAATTTAGTTATTATTGTAGGTTATTACATTTCATAAATATAATTATAATTGAAGTGAAACAAAAAGAAATATAGAATAATATTACATTGGAAACTATGTTTCCCTATTAAAGATAGTTTCATACAATTCATATTATATAATAAATATAATTCATGCTACATAATATAATTCATATTATATTATATAATATAGCTGAAATATCATCCTTAAATATCTCATAGATTACACTTTGAGTGGTCACAGTTTTTAAAAAGACAAAAATGAGAAACAAAATTCCCTGCATTTTCCCTGTTATTTTAGGTGATCTTTGAATTCCCTGTATTTTCCCTGCAGAGTGGCAACAAACATTCAATAATAATGAATTGCATACCTGCATATGAGCAGAGAATGGGAAGCTTGACGAGAACCTTTAATGAAGCACACACTAATGAAGCAGATTCCTGAGTGAGGACTTTGCTGCATTTAGAGGTCCCTGTATTGCTGGCAAAGGTTGGACTTATTTGAGGCAGTTGACATATGATGAGGCAGAGACAGTTCTCCATAAGGGAAAACACAACAGATTTCTCAGGTGCAATGATGCCGTTCTCACCCCCTTCACCCAGAGACGCCAACTCACTGCTCACATCTTTTGGTTCTTGATTTGCAGGTGCAAGCTCTAAAAGAATTTATATTTATTCAGATTTTTGAAAATACAATCTATGTTTTAAATGACAACATATATAGTTCTAACTACATGTGACTTTAGGTGGGTTTCTTTGGCTCACAAAGAAAAACAAGTTATTTTAATATTTATATACTGTGTGTAGAGTATCTACCACTACAAAAATACAATTCAAATTCACTAGTATATAAGACACGTTAACTCGATTTTATGGTGGGGTACCTTTTCATAGATGAAGGTTGACATTGTCTATAACTTCTCTCCCCCCATTGGTGACCCTGAACGTGATGTGAACATCACCCACTTAGATATGAACATGCCTATCTTGGCAGTAATGCCCACTTCAAATTGAAAACGCCTACTTCTATGGATCGTCCACATTGAACAGTTGACTTGCAACTTGTGACTGTGACATTATCCACCTCCTCACGCTGTTGCTACTCAGTCTCGATCACACACAATGTAAAACGTATTCACTCGACTGCTAAAGGCAACACAGGAGCTGCCACGACCATGAACTTAATATAGCGCTCATTATCAGCACTCAAAAAGTACAGTGATCTTAATACAGCTCTCCCGGCTTCGCACAAAAACAACAATTACTCAACAAGTGGTATCAGTTCATCAAATTCTATCACGGATATAACTCTGGTGGGGGAGTACTGTAGAGTATCTACCACTATAAAAATACAATTCAAATTCACTAGTATATAAGACATGTAAACTCGATTCTACAGCGGGGTACCTTTTCATAGATGAAAGTTGACATTGTCTATAACAACTCTCGCCACATGTGCATTAAAATTGTATTATATGCGTCCATTTAACAGTCTAAATCATTTATCTTGAGCAAAACAATTTTTAACTCTATTTTTTACAAAATTTGGATATATATAGAAGCTTGAATAAAAGCATAAGACATGAGGATTGATACTTTAATTGCTTATGCCCTCATTTAAAAAACTGCCAAAAAGATTTGATTCATTTTTAAACTATCCCCTGACCTGTATTGAAGTGGAATTGGACAAAAAGACAAACAAATATTCCATTCTAGATAATGAAACATTTATATTTATAAAAATATATTTTTTCCTTTTATTTATGTAATTAAGCAACTATAAATAATCGTTTAAACAAGGATAGATTAAATATAGTTTTATACAAAATAGTTAGGTTACATTGAATATTACTCGTATGATCGAGTTATCCGATATGCAATTTAAAGGGGACAGCTGTATAGGAATCAATTTATAAATTATAAAATATTTGACTTAAATCAGTGAATTAAATCATGTCAACCAAAAATATACATATTATGTTAAGATTTAAGAACAGTTTCTGAATATGGGTCTAAAATGGATGCTATGTTGCGGTTTCTTTACGTAAGGTCAAAAAAGTAAAGCATGGGTTACGGCAAAACAATTTTCAGCAGGGTTCATGATTTTTTAAAGACACTTTAAAATCTTGAGCTTATAACTAGATCAATTTTATACATTATAATTATGACTGAAGTTTACTGTAATTAAAACTTAAACATTATTAAAAACAAATTTCTTAAAAATATATTTCAAACATTATTATGTATTACATTCAAAGTTGTTTTTAGTAGTCTACACATTATGCAGTTAATTTTTAAGCGACCCTATCAGGAGTGAAAGAAAAAAAAAAATAAATTTCATTTAGTTTTAAAATCTCAACTAAAATGAATTTTTGGGAACAGTGGAATTAATATCTTGTAAAGAGCATTAAAACAACATTTCATTCTCTACAAAAGGAAGTTTTTGTAATTATTTTTGCTTTCAATGGAAAGATCTTACCTTTTAATTGTTTCTTCCTTTCACCCTCAATGAAATCTTTGTGAGAGGTGACGAGTAACTCGGTAACCTTCATGATGGAAAGTTGGGTTTCAGGATTATCTCTTGTGAGCAGTAACCTAATAAATAAGGAGGAGTCTCATATATTACAAAGGTTCGTGATTGACTTGTTTTTTCTGATCCATGAGACAGACTTTTTTCTGTGGGACAAAACTCTCTAGCACTATTATTGTTCTGCAAGATACTTTTAATAATAACAAACATATATGCTACTAATTTAAAATAACAAAAGCACTGTGTTTACAAAAATTATATAATTTTTTTTAAAATTTAACATGTCATAATTTTTTATTCTAATATTATGGGTGATATTCTTGCATTTTGTTGGGAAGGGGGGGAAAAGCACAAATTATTTCCTTCTTCTCATTTTGTAAATAATCATCACAATAAAGAAAATAATTAAAAATCAAGATATCAGTAGTAGTAATTGCCGAAAAAAAGATCTACCATAAAAACGGACGAATCGGACTCCTCCAATGCGTGTTTCGTTGCGAGATTAGGTTATCGTAATAAGTAATATCGTATAAAAAATATCAGATTTAAAAACTATGAAGAAATCAATAGCAATGACTGACAAAAATTCGATGGAATTATTACCTTAAAAAGTAAATATTCAAATGCACGATTCGAATTTTCCATATTGTTTGTCGGGGTATTTAAAATCCAGGTGAAAATCAATATCATTAACTGCCCAAAATACTATCGAAACATTACATCGATTTACGATACTATCGGCGCAAATTGAGCATATCCAAAAGTAATTATCTAAATGCATGATTCACATATTACCCAAATTTTACGCTGATTAGGTGATTTTATGAAGATTACGTTGTAAATTTCAGTAGAAAATAAAAGGAAATTTCTTTATTTATCAAAAGAGAAATTATTTTGCATGAACTCTGTAACATTCTGCAACAATGTCGACATGTCGCTGCGATTCTGTCTCTTACAAGATGGGATGCGAGCAATGCGTACGTAAGATATTACAATTCTCAAATAAATTAAAATAGAAAAAAATACACTAAGAAAACTCTTAAATTTGGGCAAAGAAAGAGATGGAAAAAGTTATTCAAAGAGTTTCGGAGATCAAGAGTTGTGACCACAGAAAATAAAAGTATAAAGATTCCTAACAAACATTTAACACAAAATTTTAAAAAAAATTAGTGAAGACAAATTTTGCTTTGTGCGAAGTTGCATCCATTATTTGCATTTAATCCTAAAATTAGATTAAATAATTAAAATTTTTAATCTGTAAAATAAATAATCAAAATTTTGAATTCCGAAAGATATATTTCAGCCAAAACTTTCGTATATTTTATATTATAACAAAATATTAGGTGTATAAAAAGTGATTAGAAACCTTGATTATGATTTGTGTTAATATTTTTACTTCAGAAAGAAGCAGACATTTCATTAAAAATTGGTATACTATACAATTAAAAAATATTTACTTTTATAATATGGTAAGTTGCACAAATTTTATATTGCATTACGGTTAGAGGAAATTAGTTTAAATGGAGCATGTTCTTTATTTTTTGTTGAATTAAATCATAAGGTAAATTTAATTTAATAGTGATTAAAGAAAATTTTGTGCTATCAAAAATGAATCCAGAGTCTATTGCTAATCAATACTGTAATAAACATCGTAAATTTTTTTTAGATTCCCTTTAAAATCAATCATTAATGGAAAGTAAACAGTCACTTTTAATAATGTGCATGTTGCATTGATTGTACATTTTCAGATATTAAACATTAGTGATATTTCCCTTATTTCATGAAACTTGACATTTATGTTGGAGGTTTGTCAAAGTTGCTAATTTCTTTAAAAGCAAATCTATTTATTTGATTAAATCAGAATTTTTAATACTTAGATGAAGCTCTTTAAAAATGTATAAAATTTGAGATTAACAACATGAAAATAATTTGTATTTCTCTTCATAAAATAGATGTATTCAGAAAAATGAAAAGTTTCATGAAAAATATTTAATGAAAAATTTATTCATCTTTCTTAATGAAAAGCGCTATACAAAAAATGAATATTAGTTAAGTCTCATAAAAGGATCGTTTGCTTCATCAAGAAATTTAATCTTCATATTAAGTCTAATCCTAACCTGTTGCACAATTAATTAAAATTACTATTTCTTTTTCAAATGACTTATGCTGCCTCTTTTTTTTCTAAAATATTAAACTCATTTTTCTAAAATGAGTAAAGAAGTATTTTTACTTTTTTAATTCTCTCACTACTCTTTAATCCTGCTACTCTTCAGGAAATGAAAGCATAAAGAAATTACCTAAAAAATATATAGCCTATAATTGGTAGAACCTATAATCTAAAATTCGTATAATTTTTTAACAGTTAAGTTCAATTTTCTGTTAAATAAAACTTTTCATCTTAAAGTAAAAGTAAGTTAATAAAAGCAATTATATAAATTAAAAGCATATTATATAAGATGGAATCATTACATCCTTTGATTTTAAAATGAAAGATTTTTACTTTTGCAAACAAAAATTGCAGACAATATCATACTTATTTTTTGTCAAAAAATATTGAACATATTTTTCTGTTATTATTTAGTTTTTCCTTTTTTTTGGAAATTAAAACAAAATATTTAATATTTATAACAAGAAAAATATGCTGAAACTTTAAAAAAGCAGTGAAATTTGAAATGATATCACTGAACTAATTCATTCTGTGTAAACATAGAAAAAATTTAAATGCTTTTTTTACTATTTTTACGTCAATTTTATGAAGTTACGTTTAGGAAAATTCCGAAAGTTCTTTACCTTAAAATTACTTAAGTGTTATTGTTATTTCATAGTACTTTTGTTATTTTGCTCTGTAAATCAGAATGAAGAAAAAATTATAATTATTTAATTGCTCATATACAGAAAATCATTAAAATTAAAGATGGGGCGAAGAAAGGGAGGGGAATCATACCTATGCAAGACATTGGCAAGTTCTATAGAGAGTTGTGAGTCTTGTCCGAGTATCTTAGAGGGTAAGGGATGGCTGAAGAGTTGGATAAAAGAATTCAGGCAAACTTTCACACAATCAGGTGATGAATAATGAGAACAAAGAGATTCAAGACAGATACCTGAAAAAGACAGTAATGAATGAAATGAAAAAATGTAATATTTGAAATGCTTCCATTTAAATTGCCACAAACAGAAAATTTATGAATATTAAAACTGTCAGTTTTAAAGTTTTTATTAAAAACTTTTATGAGGGCATAAAAGTTTTACAAAAATCCCCTCTTTAATCCTCTCTACTTTATGAGGGCATTTTTTTTAAAAATCCCCTTCTTAAAAATATGCCCACACAAAGTTTTAAAAGTAAAGGCCGCACCACTAACATCTTGCGATGAAAAGAAATTTAATTTGGATGGTCCTCAATGGCTGACAATATATCACTGTTACTAATTGCACATTGAGGGATTTAGCAATAAAGAAAAAAAAACACGTAAAGCCCCAAATTAAAAGCAATTAAACCATTAAAAAATATTTCACAGAAATCTTTTTTAAACAATTGATTAATATTTTGATAAAGAATACAAAAAATATTCTCTTTTGCTCATAAATATATAAACAAGATAAAATATAATATATTAACTCTCTCGCACCTTCCCTGTGAATTGTGAATTATATATATATATATATATACAGTCAAACTTGGATAATTCGAACGTCTTTAATTCGAATTCGTGTATAATTCGAAGCTTTTCTCCTTCCCTAGACACATGTATATTCAGTTAATGTTAAAAAAACTTGGTTATTTCGAAATCCAACTTCTATAATTCAAAGTTTTTGCCCTTTCAAAAATGACAAAATCTAGTTTAAATGCAGTTATTTTTGAAAAGCTTTCTGGTTATTTTCAGCTATTATGGAAATTTTTTAGGGATGACAAAGGGGAGGGAGAATAGTCTTATCGGCTCAAATAGAACAGGAATAAGGAGGAAATGAACCTAGACCACTCGCATCTGTCCTTGGCTACAGGTAGTCTCCTACCCTTTCCTTGTAATTGAGCCAATCCCAATTGAAATAAAATCTGTGAACGACGGGAAAGGTATTTTGAATCACGTGATAGGATGCATACATGTCATCGGTCGGAGCGGAGGAGAAAAAAATTGCCACCGGCTGAGCGAGTCTTCATGATCTTGAAAAAATTTATGTCTATGCGAGTCGTCCTTCAAAGGTCATCGGGCAGTTGCTTGACAGTTGTTCCTCCAATAGTGGTGCGTTTATTTTTTTCATGAGATCACCTTGCATCTGACTCTGGGAAACTGGTGTATAATCACGGCATTAAAAACCGGGACTGTAGTCGATCTCTCAGTCGATTTAAAATAATCAACATTCTGCGATTACCCAACGCATGCAGGTTTCTCATAGTGTGAGGAGCACTCAAGAAAATTTTTTTGAAACAAAATAGAATAAAACACATTAAGTAATAAACATCACATAAAAATACAGAAAATAAAATGCTAAGAAAAAACAGAGTAAAGTGATTTTATTGAATGCTCCTCACACTGTTGTATTGATATATTTTGCTTTGGCTATATTGATACAATATTAGAAAGCACTTCTTTTTGCGGATATAATCGTGTGAGCTAATGAAGAGATGAGAAAATGAAGAAATATTAGTAAAAAATTGAAAAAACATTGAAAAAAATATGACATTTTAACATTGCAATGAATGCTTTGAGGCAAAGAAAAAATCTCCAAAAGATAGAAAATTAAGTACTTTTTACAAACACCAAATAAAAAAGAGCAACTTTAAGGGCTTTTAAAAAATATAAATAAAAAATAAACACCTTTAAGCACTTTCTAAAAACCCTACACAGCCTGCTTTAACATTGCAATGAATGCTTTGAGTTATAAATAAAAGAACTCACCAAAAATCAAATGAAAATGATCTGAGTTAATTTCAGCTAGGCTCTTATTGCTGGAAATCACGTACGCATGAAGATTGGGTGAAAAAGTGGAAATTTCATTCTTCTCAATGTTTTCAAACCCTCCGCTGCACAGCCAGAGGGTAGCTGCATTCAAAACAGGTGGCCAAGTGTCCTTGTAGAACTTCCGTACCGAGTCGATGGTGTCGGAGCTGTAAAATGCACCCCCTTCGTGAGGTAGTTGGGAACGAAATTCTAGAAAGAGAAAATCCAGCTGAAAACATCTATTTAAGGAAGAAAAAAATAGTGGAAGTAGTAATTTTTTTACATGGCTAGGGTGTGTAGCCAAATTTTCGAGCAAAAAATAAGTACCTCTTAAGCACTTTTCAAGCACTTAAAAAAATATTCTTTAACTCTTAATTTCTTTAAAAAATATAAGGGTGATCCATCATGCTAACTTCAATTGCCTCTGTGCCAAATAGATTATAAACTCGCAACTTTTTTTTTTACAAAAAGCATGTCGATGTTTGCCCTGAGGTGACTACGAGTTATACCTTTCGATTTGATCCCTTTCTGTGATGTCTTTTTTAGTCATGCGCAGGCAACTACCCAAAAGTTGCGAAGGCTCCGTGATTATTCTGTCCCAGTTCACAATATGGAAATCTCCTCAAATATAATTAGGATGTGAGCACTAATAAAAAATTTTACTTGTATATTATATATATAATATACTCTTAATATTTTTTCAGCATATACAGGGTATCTGCTACATTTTAGATCATAGATTCTCAACCTTTTTAACGTTGCCGCCCCCCTAAGGAGCAAAAAAAATTTCAGCGCCCCCCTTTGTAAAAATTTTGTTATTTTTAGCAAAGGGGTGGAGGGGAGGTGCTGAATTATAAGAGGCAACATTTTTAAGCAATTTTTTAGGAGTAAAATTTGCTTCGTTCTTTTTAAAAAAATAATGTGCACGTTAACTCGATATTTTTCTTCCGGCAGATAATCGCATTCTATTTGTTGTAATCAAAATAAATACAGTATTGAAAAAAANGTCAAACCAAACATTCATACTGAAAGCATATGCATTTCAATTTTCGCCAAATGACTTGTATGAATCAGAGGCAAAAACAACTGTCTCATGCGTTGCGCTGGTTCGAATTCGAGAATATAGATCACATAATGGAACAAATGGTGAATCGGATAATCTTAATTTAATATAATGATTTAATCTTTCTTTTAACATTAATTTTAGATTAATTTTATTTATTAAATCAATAGTAATTTAATAATTTTATTTGGGAGTTTCAACATTAAATTTGAATGACAAAACATGGTCAGCGCCCCCTAACGCCCAAAACAAGTTCACCGCCCCCCTACTGCCCAAAACAAGCTCACCGCCCCTCAGCATACTCCAACGGCCCCCGGGGGGGGCGGTATCGCTCCCGTTGAGAAACAATGTTTTAGATTTTCAAATTCCTGACTTTCCATAACTCATTCCAAGACTTTTTCATGACTTAGTCACTATTTTCTCCAACGAAAATACAACAATAAATTAAAAAAAGCATTATAATGACATTATTTGAAATGATAGGTATAAATAAAACTGTTACACTCTGCATCTTCATGTTTATAGATTTTAAATTTAAAAAACAGAGTGAAGAAAGAATTGAAACAATAAAATAGCTGAAAAAAATACAAAAGCAAATAATTATTATTATTTTTTTTTTTGCAGAATTATATTCTAAAGACACTTTTTTGTTCATCTGAAAGAAAAGAAATACTCCTGATTTTTCTGTTCTCCTTTCCCAATAAAAAAAAATTCATTAATGACTGGCTAGAATTTTAAATTGATAAAATAAAAAAAAAATAAAAATAATTGTTCTAATTCTGAAATCACAGAAGTTTAAAAGATAATTTGCTCTAGAAAGGTTTTTTTTTCTTCATTTTTTGAAAGAACACCATAATTTCTAAAGAACATGATAAAAACATTTTATATTGTAATAAAATATAACTGTGAGTGGGGATTTTGCTACAAATTCAGATATTCGGAACACAAAATTGGAGTGGGCAATTACATTTAAAAAAAAAAAATTTTCAGCTATCTAAATCCTTGGCTTTCCATTATTTGCTTTAAAAAATAGTTAAAATCGTGACATTTCATGACAAATTTTGTTCAATACCAAAATTCATGACTTTCCAGGTGCCCTGCATATACTTTTTTTTCTCTTTAAAATGGCTGCGTCCTCCATTCAAGGCCTCACCTTACTTTGTTGTAAATATTTTTGTAAGACTAAAAATTTTTTTTAAGACTAACCAGTGACACTGGAGATTAAGGACTTTTAAAGACCTTGAACCAAAATTAAGGAGTTTTAAAGATCTTGAACCAAAATTAAATACTTTTAAGAGCCCTTATTTTCCAAAATAAAGCAGTTTTTATGCATTGTTGGAACCCTATTAGTTGTCTTTGGGAGAACTATGTACATTAACAAAATGCAAAATAATTTTCGAAGTTTTTACATGAACAAGATAAACTAACTAGTTTCTGATAAAGAACTCTTTTCTTCATTATATTAGTCACTATAAAATGATGGAGAGTTTTTCGGTTCGATATCAGAGGGTGGAAAATGAAGCCTGAAATTAAGATTATCTACCAAAATGCAGCAGTGTTACACATGAGAGTGCTAGAATCTCACCAAACTCAACTTGGTAGACGCACACACGAACTGGCAAGTATTTCATCAAACATGTAAAACGATTCATGCTTTCATACGCAACCGATCGACGGTACGCCGAAATGGATTGTGGTGGAATTAATTGTGGAAACGTTGAATAGAAGAATGTGAAAACCACACTTTTACATAATATGTGGCGAAAATCGACATGGTAAAGAAAAAAATCTCATTTTTGAAAAGGGAAAATTAAGCACTTTTTAAAAGCACCTTTAAGGGTTCTTAAATAACGAATATCGAAAATATGCACCTTTAAGCACTTTTTAAAATAAATTAATGAGAAAAATAGGTTACCTGATGGCAGAGACAAGAGTGCATAGTCTTTCAAAAAAGCTAACCAGTAGGTGCTTAAGAGTGACAATTCAGGAGACACCAATCGCAGAAGTCCTTCTCTAGGGTTGGTTTCACTGTTCATAGCCACCACATACACCTACGTTAAATGACATTTTCTGATAAAATAACATGTTTCTTCTTTCATTGAAAATCACATCAATCAGGGCTTCTAATATAAATGCGATTGAAAAATGTAACAAACTACACATGACTTTAAAATAAAAAATTATATCCTTCAATTTTTAAAAAAAATTTATAAGGTGTAACTTGTATTTATAAAATATAGTAAATGTGTGTATATTTGAATAAAATGAGATGTCAATAAAGACTTGAGAAGAAAAAAAATAATTTATAAGCTTTTTGTAACAATAATTTAAAAACATCAGAATTGTATTCAGGGTCCCCACTCAATTTGCAAAAAAAAAAATTCTCTGACTTTTCCAGGTACATCGGGTAAATTTCAATGAAAATTGAGACCCTATTTTCATCAGAAAACTCTGATTCTTTTATTTGTTTTGAGAAATATTAGATTTTCTGTGTAAAAAAATATTAGATCAGGATGGGAACATTTTAGTTTGACTAAAACGGTAAATTTTTATTACAAATAATTGTAACAGATGGTAGAATTATTTAACTCGAATCTCAGTAACTTACTGACAATTTCAAGACTGGTTATTTTCCCGGCATGATAAAAGAATATTCCAGGTTTTTGTCAAAAAATTACCACTTTCCCTGATTTTTTGAGTTAAAATAAAGTTCCCTGACAATTCCAGGTTTCATCTGTTCTCCCTGACCTGTGGGAACTCTATTGCATTATCAAAAGTTTTTTGGTATTCTTAAAATTGAAATATAGCATTTTGTCCAAAAGCAAACCTTGAGAAACTCTGTTCCCCATCAACACTTGTTATCAAAGGATGTTTAAAATAATAAGATTCAGTTCATAATGTATACTAATTTATAAGAAGAAAAAATTAATTCACATATAAATAAAGTGAAAAACATAAATAATGAAAAAAAAAAATCCCAGCCAAAATGCAAATAAATACATTTATCATCTACATTCTAGTTCTGATAATAAGTAATATGTTGTAGTAATAGAAATGTGAAACCTGGACCATATCTTGTACAGTTATGTTGGGTACCTTTATGAGAAAGGTATTGAGAAGTACAGTTGGAGGAATTCAAAAAAAAAGTGTGTGGCTAAGGTTTTAGAGTAGATTTTTTTTATTGAACAAAATTTAGAGCTTTATCACTGATATAATGAACCTGATATTATTAACTTCATTAAACAGCAAAGAATAAAATGGACAGACCACGTTATCAGCATGGATGAAGACACAAATTTTTGTTTTTTAAGGCCAGATCAGTCAGCATACGAAAAAGAAGCATGCCGAATTTGATATGGATAGATGGACCTAGAAAAAGACCTTTTGGTCCTAAAAACTGAAAAACGCTAGCAGGAAGAAAGTTGACCTGGAAAAAACTTCTCGAGAAGGCCAAGGCCCAGCCTGGGCTGTCGAGCCATTGATGATGAGTAATAGAAATGAGTTGTTTTAAACCTTACTTCAGCCCATGCTTTTAAAATAGCCAATTTCTCCATTGTAGAGGCACTTTCATTGTAGATCAGAGTTTTGGATCCTTTATGAAGCTTCTCCAGGCAAGAAACTAACAATTGGTGAACTCTTCTCAAGTCGTTTAAATCTCTAGCCACTCCACAACCAATCCAGGCACTACAAACCTAAAAAAAGAACCAAATAAGCAAGGATTTCCCATAAAAATACATCAAGAAATTTAATTTATAATTGTTGGCGATTAGTATGCAAATTCCATCCTCTATATTAAGTAATTTCCAGTTATTTAATTTCCCTATTAAGAATAGGATTAGTTAACTTTCCTATTAAGTTAATTTTCATATTAAGAATGAAGTTAATTTTCCTATTAATAATATTCTATGTTCAATTCAATAGAATATTGAAATTAAATTCAACAACTTGCCCTACGGATGGATAGGGAGTGACGTAACTCTGGCCGTAGTCATTCAGTGATTGTCTAGGGGGCTAAATTAATTGTTTGAAATGAATAAACTATTCATATTTGAACTTTTAGAAATGAAGTTGTAGTTTTTTTGTATGCTAACAGGGAAACAAAAACAGGAAGTTAACGCCCGAAAACAAAACAAAAATGTTTTCGGTCATACTAAGTACAGTATACTCTCTTTGATATCTCAAAGGTGAAGGGGCTAAAAAAATGTCAAGATAGCGAGTTTTTGAGATAACAAGTTCAGATCTAAATGTGTTCTAAAAAGTATAGAGTCATGAAACATAAGAATAATAAATATGCACGTAATGATAGTTGACTATAAGTCTAAATACAACAATGATAATTTTATTTTTAAAAGTAAGAGAAAAATAATTATATGTTAAATAGAAAACAATTGGCTTACAATAAACTTAAAATGTGATTTTTCCAATTCATTCTCTATTAAAAAAAATTAGACACAATAAGGTCTTGCAAATCCTCAACAGGGGAATTTAGATTAACTTTAGGCGGATATAAAATGCTAAGGGGAAAAATATTGTTTTGACATAAGATTTTCGAGATATCAAGCAAGAGTATACTGTATATATATATTACTTGAATAAATTATTTTTTAAGACAATTAAAATTCATTTTTTAGAAATAAATATTTGAATAATTAATTTTTTTGTCCACAAGGTTCTTACTTTTCAGAATATTCTAGCATCTTAAATGTATTTTTCAGAAGAAAATGTTTTTTTGACGAAAAGTTTTGTATGTAGATTCTGTATAATGTTTTATGAACTGAAAGCTGAGGTTTTAATGTGAATTTGCTATATTTATTTAAATATTCTTCAAAGAAGAATTAGAATTAAAAAAAAAATCAATATTAAACAATACATAGTAGTATTTTATTGTCTTTTTGAAACTTTTTCAACATTTCAGTTCAAAACACAGGTAATCACATTATAGATCAAGAAAAAAATTGTTTTGAAATAAATGCATAACAATTTGCGTAGAGCATGACATGAAAAATTTGTAGTTTTTGAACATAATGTTGCCTTTACCTTTAAAAATATTTCATAAATTGTTAAACTTTACTTTAAATTTATAATTTCAGGATCCTGCAAAGCAAAAATGAAATTAAAATTTTAATTAAGCCTTTTCTTCTAAAAATTATTTTGTCAATATCAGTCGAATACTAAAAGTGGTTAGGAAGATGATATTTCAAAACAAGGAAATAGCAAGATTTCCATCATCTTTTTTGCAGAACTATTTTTTACTTATATATAAAAAAATAATTATTTTCCCTGGTTTCTGAATTTCCATTCTGAAAAACTCCAAACATTTATAAAAATTTTAAAACGCCTTTTTAAAAACGTTATAATTCTGTACTTAGTTAACACCACAAAACAACACAGCAATGAATTTTAAAACTCTGAAAATCAACAAACCTCATATTAAAATATTAAATTTCTAAATTGATGTTTTTTTAAAAGAAAAAATTTAATCTAATCTAAATTTTCTATTTTTAATTTGGCAGTTTGGGTTACTTATAAAAAATGACATAAAAGCTATGAAGATTCTCATAGTTTTACGATTAGGAATGAGCTAGGTGATTAGGAAATAACTTAGAATATATATGACCCTTTGCAGATAGCATACTGCTTGAGTAAACAGAATAAAACTTTGTACATAAGTATTATAACACAACGTGCAAGAATAATGTTATCAATGACAGGTTACCCAGCAACAAAGCTTCAAATTTTTCAAAAGACAACACCCATTTTTTTAATGCAATCACCCCTAGAGTATAAAAACTTACGTACGGCTAGAACAATATTTTTAACATAAAAAATTGAAATGTTATGTCACCAGTTTTTGTCAGCACTCACAAGAGTAGGTGAGTGTGATAAAATGTTTTTCTTTTATGAGTTAAACTGGATGCAACAGAAATTTCAGAGCCTCAAAAATCTTCTCTTTGCTTTGGCACATATTTTATTTCTTTAAAAAAAAATTCTCTGTATGCTTTAGCCCTGTCTCATCATTCCAACAAGATTTTCACTGAAAGGATCACTACAAACATGAGAGTTACATAATCATTTGAAACATTATCACCCCAGAGTTATTTATTATCATCCAAGCAGACAATAATATTCTTCTATAACTCTTAGTTTTGAATCAAGTTCATTCTTTATTTAACTTTGTAAAAACTTATGAGACAGATTCATTATTTAAATCAAATGACTTACTTTTAAAGAAATCATTGAGACTTACACAGCATTGCAATATTTCAATTTATAATTGATTTTTATATTAAAATTTATTGCAAATAGTGTTATGTCAAGTCTTAATTATCACTTTTACATCATTACATGGCGAATAAAAATTAAAGCACTTTTGAAATCACATTATAAACACATTTCTGATATTTTCTAATATTTAAAAATTCAATATCCTTCTTTTAATATTTTTTTACATATCTCAAAAAAGTCGCTACTAATTAAGGATTAAGAAGAAAAAAAACATGAAGGTAATACAAATCCCACTAAATAGTTGTAAAGCATATTCTTCGAAATCACATTTTATTTGCCAAGATATATTTCTCAATTTTTATACATACTACATGCAGGGAGCATTATAAAAGAAAATTATCTTACTAAGGCACATAAGAAATCTGTTAAAATTCAGAATCTCCTTTATTTCACAGGTTGATTTTGATTGCAATAAATAGTTTAGGCTATTCCATACAGAAATATTTGTCAACATGCAGTTGAGATAAGGTATAAAGAAACAGAATATTGCTATTTTAAAAATTTAGGAAAAGAAGCTACCGTGTTAACAATTTTGTGATTTTTCTTTAATTTAGGTGTGTTTTTCAATAATTAATAATAATACATATTTATTCCATTCTTAATAAATTAAAATCATGCATTAGTACACATTATGAATTGATTCAAAATAATTTTTATTACTTATTTATTATTATTTTAATTATGTACTAATATAGTTTCAAATATATTGTTTATTTATTTTTAATAATATAATTACATCAATAAAATTAACTAACTAATTATATCAATAAAATTCACCTGATTCTAAACTGAAGTTCTTAAAGCATCTTTAAAAAACAATTATGGATAAAATGTTAGCAGCATTTAGAAATTGCATCTGTGACAGTTATAATTATCTTAGAACCACATAGATTTTTCAATGCATCATGAAATGTTAACTAACTTACTTGGCATGCAAAGGCAGTGATGTGTGATGGAGTATCTGGAGAAAAAGCAGGTCGCAATGCAGCACCAACCTATAATATCATAAAAAAGATCTAAATATTAAGTACATATTTGGAATAACTAAATGTAATTTTCAAATTCAACTTTCAAAATGTAGAGGTATTTATTTAAGGCATCAAAAGATTTAAATCTTTTGAAATTTTTTATTGCTTTAAACAATTTATTTTCAAAATAAATCCAGTTATAAGATTTATTTAATAATAAAAATAATGTAGTTAATTTATAAATTGTAAAAAAAAAAATTAAACTAATTTTTCTTTAGCGAGAAATAAATACATGTTACAATTTAGACAATTTGTTCAAAACTTTAAATGCTTTTTAATTCGAAAAGTAAGCACAGATTTACCATTTAATTTTTAAGACAAATTAATATTTTTCTTTTGGAATAATTAAGTTATTATCAATTTTATTTTATTTTATAACCGTCGTTGAACAGCTGGCACAATTTTTAGGGCTTACGACTAGTAATGCTCAACTCCGAAGCCTTATAATTTTGAGCCCAATTCAGAAGACAAGGGAACTTCTAGATTAAGTATTGGGAGAAATTCGACTTCATGGAGGACTTTTTGATGGAACTAACCCACATTTGCGCTACATGGAGAAGAAAACCACCAAAACTTCACAGGGTTAGCCTGAAGTGGACTCTAACCCATGATCAATCTACCACTGAGGATATTTTACGTCAGCACCGTGGTAGGTGCAAGACGGATGGGGAATTCGTATTGACCAACTATTGCTGGGATTTGAACCCGGTTCACCTTATTGGAAGGCGAACACTCTATTCCCTGAGCTATCGCGGCTCAAGTTATTATCAATTGAACTAGAATTCAGATGAGAAATGAAGCTCTAACGCAACAATATTTTTTTATGTTCCCTCTTCAGAAAAAGATTCTGCGGCCCTAAATTTGTTCCATCTCTAGAGGTAAGCCTTTTTTTTCCTTCCTAATCTTGGCACTAGTTATGGAATTAAGACACACCACTAGCTGTAGTACAGAAGGGATAGTGAGTTTAACCCTAGCTGCAGACAAAACAATTAACGTGTATACACAGCAAGGTGCACATTAAATGTGACGTTGCTGAAAGTCTTCTCGCTGGGTGTGACCCGGAAGTTTAGAGAGAAGGCTACCAGCTCAGGCACTGTCCACATCGTCAGACAATGGTTTAAATTATGTGGCATTATTACCATGGCCATTAAAAGATAGAGCCCTAACAATAGAGTTAGGTGTTTGGACATGGTTGGGTTACGAGTGTGCATGCCTGAAATTAAGTTTAATTACAACTACAGGGTGATTTCCAAATGTTTCAACAAAAAATAAGCACATTTTCAGAGCTCAAAAAACATTTTAAGCACTTTTTTAAAGTAAAATCACGATTAGGATATGCACACTATTTAAAAAATTTTCTTCATAAGTTCTGGATAGAAATGAATGCATCTAAAAGCAACAATTCACAATATTAAAATATTTTGAAAATACTACATAATCATGATAAAATAACTTGTTTTTAACAAAAATTCAGTCACAGCCATCAGTTTTCAATGCTATAGTTTAGTAATTTTTAACTGCATCTAGAAGACAAGGGAGCACTTTTGGATGGAACTAATCAGCTTTACATAGAGAGAAAAACCACGTAAACCTCCCACAGTCAGCCTTACAGCAAGAGGATTCTAACCTAGGATCCTCTCATCATTGAAAAAGTTGTAAGTCAGAATTGCAGGCAGTGCAAGCCAGGAACAGAACTTATGTCGATCAGGCACCTCTGGGATTTAAACCTGATTCACCTCATTGGGAGAAGAGGGCTCTATTATCTAAGTCTTATAGTCTATATCTTATAACTTATAATTTTTAAAGGTTCCTGGATTTATAATGTTTTTTTAAAGTTTTAAACTTTTTTAAAGCGTCAAGGGGGTTTTGTTAATTGTCTAGGTTTAATGTTAATTTTGTTTAATTAAGTATTTACTTTTTAGGTTAAAATTTATTTCTATGCAAAATACAATTTATATTTATTTCATGGAGCGTGACTCGTTGCGCACCCAAACAAGGAGCACTGAAGTAAATCTTGACTTAGGGATTACTTTGGATAAAAAGTTACTAAGTCAAATTTTGTGTTTAAATAAATTAAAAAATATAAAAAAATTTAAAAAGTTCAAAAAATTTAAAAATAAAAATTTTAAAACTTATCCTTTGGCTGATAATTCACAAATTGACTGCCATTCCAATGTATTTTTTTGCAAATGCTTTAATATAATTTATTTAATTCAATGCAATTGTTATAATTTATGTTATGTTGGACAAACTAGTTCAGAATTTCATAAACGAATTAATTCCCACAGATCTGCCATAAAAAATTTAAATAATAATAATAGTTCTACAGATCATGAAATTTTACATTTTCAATTTCATGATTTTGATAATGTTACTCTTTTTATTTTAGATTTTATGGAAAATTTAGATAATAGGTTTGATTTAGAAAACATTTACATTAGTAGTCTTAAAACTCTTTTTCCTTATGGATTAAATAGTAAATTTAATGTGGAAGGTAATATTAATATTGATGATTTTTGTATTTATGATAAATTTAAAGTTCTTAATTTTCCTAGTGGTTTTAATTCAAAGTATAGGAATAAAAGAGGTAGTGGAAAGGGTACTGGGAATATAATTGACTTTGATGATTTTTCGAATATTTGTAATTTAAATGTTAATTTGAATAATAATTTTATTATTAGGAAATATATTGTTGGCTTTAAAAATAAAGTTCTTAAAAATTTCTTTATTAAATTTTGTTTTAAGATTAAATTTTATACTGAACTTATTAAATTTATTGTTTTGGATTTGATTAAATCAAAACTTGGTGTTAGTAAAACTGAAATGCTCTTCAATATAGTTTCTAATGTTAAAAAGGTTTTTTGTACGATTAATAGAAAATTTGAAATTGCTAAGTAGCCACAAATTATTCATAGTCTTTCCGAAATTTTTCGTTTAAAACAAATTAAAGTTTCAACTGCTTATAAATATTCCTCTACACTTAGAAAAAAGGTATGCAATTATTATTTTTTAAATCGGAATTTAAATTGTATTTCAGAGTTCAATTGTTATTGTAATGAAGAAGAATTTTCTCAATATATTGATTAAGATTATGGTCATGCCATCACAGGAAATTTAGAGATTGCTGGTAATCAAGATTTAATTAATATTTCAAGTAAAGGTTCAAAATTTAGAACAAGATTTAGAATGAAAAATGAAGAATTTATTTGATCCATTAAAAGAGATCTTGATTTTTTTATAGCTAAAATTTCCAGGAAATTTCATTGGCCCGTTGAGGGTTTCTCAAAGTGGAAAACTAAAATTATTGAAAAGGTTAAATTTAATTTATTTAATACTAGTTTTTGTTCATATCCTAGTGGTACCATTATTGATTATGATTTGTCTAGAAATATGAAAATTCTTAAGGATAAATTTATTATTACAGTTATTGATAAAGCATGAAATAACTTTTGTATTATGTGTAAATATTTTTTTAAAAAATTAATTATTGGGGAATACAACGTTAATAATACTTATTTAAAATTAAAAGAAGAAAGTTATTGAAAAAAGGATTATTGCATTTAGTAAAAAATTTTAATTAAATAGGATTACTTTTCCATATTTATTTCCTATTGTTAAATTTCATAAATGTCCAGTTAAATTTAGGTTTATTGCCTGTGGTACTAATTGTTACAATTCTGATATTAGTTAAAAGTTTAATTTTCTTAAAATTATTTTACTTAAAATTAAAAAAGAGAAAAATATTGTTATTGAAAGTAATGTTTATGTTTCGGATTTTATCAAAAATAATATAATTTCTAGTATTAATACTTTTGAAAATCTGTACACTAGTATTCCACTTATTGGTTGAATATTTGTAGGTTTAATCTTTTTGAGAATGCACTTTTTAATGGTCTGGATTTTTATAAACAAATTATTGGTAATCCACAAGGTAATTCCTTTTCTGGTGCTTTTGCTAATATTTTTTTGAAGCTAAATTTCTTGAGTTTAATGATTTTAAAGTTTTTAGATATATTGATGATTTAGTTTCATTTAATTGTGATAATTATGATTTTATTTTTAGTATTTATCCTAAAGATTTGGTTTTGAAAAAAACTTATGAGAATTGCTTAAAAGTTGAATATTTAGATTTTAAAATTGATATTGTTGATGAAAATATTAAAATTGGTGTTTTTGATAAACGAAAGGCTTTTAAATTTAAGGTTATTTTTTTCTGTAATTTTAATACTAATTTGTGCAGTGAAATTTTCAAAAATTTAGTTTTTTCTCAATTGCTTAGAATTAAAAAAAATTTGCAATAATGATGAGTGTTTTCAGGAGGCAACAAATAATTTTTTGAAAAATTTGAGAAATAATGATTTTCTTTTCAATTACTGTAATGTTAAATTTTTGATTAGGAAAATGATTGAGAAATATCTTGGCTGAGCAGCCCCAGTTAAGCATTATATTAATCTGTTAAGCAATCTTTACCTTTCCTATCCTTTTTTTTTCTTTCTTCTTCCTACTGCGCATTTTAATAGGGATGGTGTTGTTTTCTTTTATTTCAAATGTGCATGAGTTACATTGAGTTAGTTTCATGAATTTGCTGTTTGACTAGTTTACTGGGAGTTTTTGCATTCTCCTTTTTGTATTATATTCTCATGATTTTGTTTAAATTTTTCTTCTGATTTGATTATATGTATTTTATGTATTTCTTCCTGGATTTTTTCAAAACCTTCGGGGTACTGAGAGAGCAATTTTTGACATTTGTCTGGCTCTCTCAATAAAAAACGTTTTGTTTTTATGGCTTCCGGAGCTGGTACCCCTGAAGACTTCAGCTTTGGTAGCCGTATTTTTATTTCCATTGTTCTCTTTATTGATTCTTATAACTTATCTTATCCTTCAACAATTAAGGGTTTACGACTACTATTGTTCACCTTTATAGCCTTGTAATTTTGAACAAAATTCAGAAGACAAAAGAACTCCTGGATTAAGTATAGGGAGAAATTTTGCCTTTATGGAGGACTTTTTGATGGCGTTACAAGGCGAAGAAAACCACAGAAACCTCCCACGATTATGCTGACGGTAAGGAGACCTTAACCCATAATACCACTGAGGATATTTTACTTCAACATTGCTTGAGCCTGTTTCAACTAGTTGAAAGGCCTCTATCCCCTGAGCCACGACGGGTCTTCTACTTTAATTAGAATAAATCTATAAAGAAAGAAATTTTCAAAAACAAAAGTTACTTGAGCTTGATATTGCTCCAAAATGACATGCCCAGGAAATTCTGGTTCTGGAACTTTTGAAAACTTGCTGATAATTATCTGAAATGTAGATAAATATCTATCAGTTTAGCTGACAATTTGAAAGAGAAAAAACCTAATAAAATTTAGCAACCATTAGATATTTTATATAGTACACTGAGTTATTCAAGTTATAAACTATTTAATTCAAAATCTTTTTAAAAGAATAAACTAAACCAAACATTTTACAAAGTTTAATTATGTAGGAAGCAGTAAAGAAATTACGTAGATTATTGAGCATGATGCTTTAAAAAGAAAATGCAGATAACAGCAAAGAGAAATTATGCTTCCATTTATGGTGGGGAGACTAAAATGCTAAAATTATGCTAAAATGCTGAGAGTCACTCAAATCTAGAGGAAAAAAATCCCAGTTTTTTCTCTGTACATATCATATACAATATACTGAGAGGAAATACAATTATTGCGCTCTTGTGCTCTGTAGCCGAATTTTTTCGAGCTATCTGTGACAAAGTTCTCTAGCACTAATATCTTTCTGCAGGACACTTTTAATAATAACAAACATATATGCTACTAATTTAAAATAACAAAAGCACTGCACTTACAAAAAAACAGAAGCTATATATAATTTTTTTAATTAAACAAGTAATAATTTATTTTATTTTAGTCTATTTTTATATTCACGCATTATGTGGGGGGAAAATGCATTAATTATTACCTTCTTTGCATCTTATAAAAAATTATCAAAATAAAAATAAAAATATTTAAAAAATCATGAAATTTGTAAGAGCAATGGCCAAAAAAAAAAATCGACAACGTAATCATGCGAATCGGGCTCCTCGTAAAGGAGTTACTCAAATGTGCGTTTTGAGATTATATTGTTGTAATAAATAGTATCGTATAAGAAATATTGGACTTAAAAACTATGGGGAAATCAATAGCAATAACAGCCAAAAAACATGATATACTCAAATGCACGATTTGAATTTTCATACTGTCTGAAATATATTGGGATATTTAAGAACCATGTGAAAATCAATATCAATAACTGTCAAAAATACAATCGAAACACAACATCGATTTTACGATACTATTGGGGTAAATTCAGAGAGCAAAAAATGATTATCTGAATGCATGATTCTAATTTTACGTGTAAATTTCTGCAGAAATTTTTTTTTTTCAAAAACTTTTTTAAAGAAAAACCTTTCTGCAACAACTCTGCGACAACTCTGCTCTTGTGTGAGCTATATTGGGAAAACTATGCTAGTTTTAATTGCTTGAAAAACATAGAGATAAAAAAGCTGAACATACTTAAATAATGCTATAGTAAATGTGCCACAAAGATAGCCGAAACCTCACCATCAAAGGCGGTGGGAAAAGAACATTTAAAACTTATCAAATTGGTGGGGAGAATGCCTATCATTATTTTAAAATGGGTGGAGGTAACAAGGAATTGTTTTAAAAATAATACTTACTTCCAATGCTTTAAGTCCCTTAATTCGAAGTGGATCACTGTCTGAGGTGGCAGCCATAAAAGCCATTCTCACTAAATCAGACAAATGAAGGGCCAAATAATCTGAAATGTAAAAAAATTATTTTCAGTTTTTTTCTTCATAAAATCCTTTTCTTTTGAAACTACCAATTAGGGGGTGAGATAACCAGGCTGGTAGGGCACTGGGCCCAATGTCCAAGAGGTCGTGGGTTGGATCCCCGCCGGCCGAAGTCACCCCGTGTACAGGGGTGCCACTCTAAAAAAATTTCAAGACTGAACTCATTTTTTGACCAAATAATACTGTCTAGCGTTGCTGACCAAACTTTTAGAAATTTATAGCACACTGACACCAAAATTTACCTTTCCTTGATATTAGCCTACATATTAAATCAATCATTTGATTATTTTTTCTAATTTTTTATTTTATGTTTTTTTAACAAACAAAACGAAAATAACAGCCAACCGTGTATATTTTTTGACAACTATTACTGAACAACCTGAAAGCATTCGTATCCCTGTTTTTCACTTACCATTACTTATTTTTCGCTCCAGCACTATAATTTCTTTCTTTTTAAAAAAAATAATCTTGATTTAACTTTGACCAGCATGACGATAGGTTATGGTGGAGGAAGCAAACTAGAGCAGACTTAGATTCATTAATAGTACAAATAATAGATTCATCAATAGTCCCTGGGACTGAAGAGTGGTACCCATGCCCGTGTAGTAACTAGTGACTAATAAACGTTAAATCTGTCGGGGTCACAAAATCCTCCAAGTTTCCATAACAAATCAATACTTCTGGGAGTATTGATCCACGAGTTCCCTTGTCTTCTGGATTGGGATCAAAATTACAAGAATATGGAGCTAAACATTGGTAGTCGTAAACACAGAATTGGGTCGGCTTTTCAATGACGGTTACAAAAGATAAACCACCAATTAAATTTTTTTTCTTTCAAAACATGGTTTTCTGTGTTTAATGTACACAGGGTGACCATTTGCCTGATGAAAATAAATTTCCCGAGATCTCCAGAATAGAATTTTAAGTGATAGCACAGACTTAATCATATTTTATGTATGCACATATATTTATAAGAAATTGCATTTTAAAATCATTTTTTTCACACTTTAAAAATTTCATACAAAAATACATTTTAAAAAAATTGACTTTATTTCAAGTTCAAGAGAAATAGCAATCCATTTCCGAACCTAAAAGGTTAAACATCCTTATACTTAAAGAAATATAATTTAGAAGAAATACCAGTTTAACGGAAAATTAAAACAACCAGAGAACAATCAATCTCCAAATCAGTATCCCCCAGAAGTATAATTAGTTATGGGAACATGGAGGACTTTGTGACCCGGCAGACTTAACGTGCATCAGTAACCATTTACGACACAGGGAGTCTTTGGCCGGCTGGATATGAACTCCTGTCCTCACAAACGTGAGTCCAGTGCCCTGCCAAACAGGCAATCTCGGTCCTAATACAATTGTTGAGTAATATGTAGTATAAAAATTGATTACATTTAAACTAATTAAATTTAACATTGTACCAGAGATTTCTAAGTTTTACATGAAGGTTAAGATTTTCTTTTTCATAAGGAAAAACACAGCTATTTTTGTCGCATTTTGAAGATCTATGTATCATATTCAGTTTGAGCATTCATAAGTAACAGTATTATAAAAATTGCTATGCTATTTGTAATTGAGAACGCAATATGCATTATAGGTAAATATAATAGTTTTTATTTTAATTTTATAATTTTATTAATTTATCTTTCTTTAAACAAAATGTTACATCTTCTCAGATATAAAGAATATTTTCAAAAAGTTAATTTTTTTAAAGATAAGCGAGTATACTACCCAACAATAATGGAAGTGACATTTTCAGATTCTGGCACTTTTTTCTAAAAAAACTTGTAATAAAATACTTAGAGCATTATTTTGTAGAGGTGTAAAGGAAATGCAATTTTTCATACTTATCAATTAAGTTTAAAGCTTTCGAAGTTTGAGAAATCAGTAATAAATTATGAACGAAAACAAGAATTTTTGAACATCTTATTCCAGAAAATATAGTAATAAGCTTGCGTTTATTGCTTTGATTGTTATTTGCAATAATTGCATAAAATTTTGCAAATTTTATGCAATTATTATGCTAGCTTAAACATTTAAGGAAAAATGGACAATTCTATAAGAAACTAATTTTTTTGTCCAACAATCTTTTATTATAACTTTAAAAGCATTCAAAAAATTATAAATAAAATCTTTGGAGCAATTTTTAACTGATAAAAAATTATTATTTTAAAATTTGAAAATAATTCACTAAAATTGTACAAGAAAGGAGTATTTAAAGTTGCTCTTTTATACTGCATATGCTAGGAAAAAAAATTTAAAAAAAATTTTCATAATTGTGTAGTGAATTGTATTTAGTAACTAATTTGAATATCTCGAAAACATAAAAATTTTCTGTATATTAAAAAGTATTTCTTTGAAATGAACTCTAAAAGCAGAGTATCTGCTACATTTTAGATTTTAATATCCATGACTTTCCATAATAATACCAAGAATTTTTCATGACTAACCGAAGTTACTATTTCCCCCACAAAAACACAACAATAAATTCAAAAATGCATTATAATAACATTAATTGCAATGATAGATATAACCAAAACTGTCATACTCTGTATCTTCATATTTATTGATTCTAAACTTAAAATACAAAGTACAGAAAGAGTTGAGGCAATAAAATAGCTATAAAAAATACAATAACTAAATACTGTCAGATATACGTAGTTATTTAAAACTGTTTTATTTCTTCTTTAAAGTAAGTGTAATATAAAAAGCCTAACTTAGAATTTTAAATTGATAAAAATAAAATGAAAAATGATAAATAGATAAAAAAATTCTGAAATGACAGAAGTTTAAAAGATAATTCGCTCTAGAAATGATGTTCTTTATTTCATTGTTTGAAAGAACACCATAATTTTTAAAGAACAGGATAAAAACGATTCATATTTTAATAAATTATGACTATGAGTGGGGATTTTGTAACAAATTCAGATATTCGGAACACTGAAATTGGGAGGGGGGTGTAAATTCCATTTTAAATATTAGATTTTTTGGCAACCTAAATTCATGACTTTCCAAGATTTCTTTTTAAAAAAATAGTTAAAATCATGACATTTCATGACAAGTTTTGTTCAATACCGAAATCCATGACTTTCCATGAATTTCCAGGTGCACAAATACCCTGTATTTGAATATCTTGAAAGTATATAAATTTTCTTTTAATGTTAGCTCTGAAAGATAAGGGGTTGTTCAACTAAACAAAATTGTACCTCTATTGTGCAGAAGTTTATTTTCTCTGGCGAGTGCAAGGTCAAAGTGAGCTGCCTTCTCCTCACAGGCACCAATGATTCTCTGCAAAGATTCAGCTGCAAAAACTCTGGTAGACCATCTGGGAGAAACAATACTATAGGAAGTTTCATCTGTTGCCTTGAATCTAGATTCATCATCTGCATCATTATCAGCATCGTTATTCTCATCTTTCTCAGGTTTAGAGACGAATTCTAGAATATATAAGGCACTTATTGGTAAAAACCAGTAAATTTTATGAAATAATATGAATTTCATGATAATAGTTGCATAATGTACTAGATGCTTTACACACAGGGAATTTCAGGGATTTTTTATAGTCATCAAAATAGAAAAACTGTGATGTTGTCCAGTTCTGATTATATTAAATATGCCTGAAATGTTATTGGGCGTACAAATAAGTTCCTGCCGCTCATCACAAGATGGCACTACATGAAGGTTATTGAGAAATTGACTGGTTTCAAATGTCTTACTGCAGGGGTGATTGTGAGCCCAAGTCAAAATTCCGGAAAATTTCTTGAGTAAAAAAAAAAACGTTTAAATCGAAAAATTAAAAAAAAATTTTAACAGGGTTTTTTCCTTTTTCTCAATATTTCTTGGTTTACTTAAAATACATTTAAAATTTTACACAAACCTATACCATTTACAAATACCTATGTTGACCTGGAGAAGTAATTAAAATTTACAATTATATCTTTTTTTCTTGAGTTTATGATTATAATAACTATTTACAGATAAAAAATTAATATTAATCTTGAATATACGCTTATTAAGTATCTGGCTCTCCCTTACAAATAAAATAAACTGTGTTTTTAAGTTCCACCTTTGAAAATTAGATTTCCAGAAACTTTTGTGATCAATGATTTTTTGAAACGTCTGAACCCTCGATTTCCGGAAACTTCCGGATCATAATTAGCAAAAAATCCGGTAATCCGGAGCACAATCAGCCCTGTTATTGTAAGTCTGCTCATCTTAACAACATAAACTTAAAGTATTTGTGATTCCATATTATCATTACATAATTGTTTGTGTCAAAGTGCAAAAATGTCAGGAAGGAACTACTTAAATAAAAAAAAAGGTGTAACCTGTAGCTGTTAAAACTCCTTTGCAAAGTTGCAACCAATGTCCAACATTTTCTTCAGCAAGGGTCTGCAGCATACTGGTGAGGGTGTCATGGGCATCAGCCAACAAGTGAAGGTCAGTTTCAGTGTCCAACATTGAGAATATCACTCCTTCCAGGCCGTGATCACAGAAAAACCTCTTGTTGGTGACCGCAGGGGAGGTTTCTCGAGCCCAGGAGAGGGCATGAGTGCATATTTCGGAGGCTTCACGTTGAGCAAGCTGCCTCAAGCATGCCACTGCTGCACGCCTCAGCAGTAAGTGAGAACTATACAAGGCACACTGAAATGAGAGAGAAATACAGGAAAGTCATTCCCCTAACATGCCAGAATCATAGAAATCACAACAAAAAAAGTATCTTGACACAAAATTAGAAGAAAAATAATTCTTTTCATATTTATTAGTAGCTGAAAGAGAAAATTATAATAACTCTGAGCACCAAATAACATCATAACTTTTTTTGATACAAGGGTTAAATAATTAAAAATATTGATTGTGCAAACTGTATTATATAGAACTATCGCAGATCATATCTAGTATCGTATCGTACTATCTAGTATGGTAGATCATAGAAATGGAAGAAATCCGAAAAAAAGCATCTTAAGACAAGATTAGAAAGAAAAAAATTTTATTAAAAAAATTCTTTTAATCTTTATTAGTAGCTGAAAGAGAAAATTATAATAACTCAGAGCCCTATAATACATTATAGCTTTTTTTATACAAGGGTTGAATATTTAAAAATCTTGATTGTTCAAATTGTTCTTTGTTTTGTCTATCAATAAATAGAATAAATATGAATGTGAATATTAATAGATTGATGAAGAGGTAGAAAATTCATACTTTAAATAAGAACCCACTTTCAGTAATCGAATTCAGAAGTTCTGGGTCTTGAGGTACATTGACAGAAGAAGTTCTATGGAATGCAAAGTATGAGGGTTGTATAGAATTTTATGTTAAACAGATCATTAAATTTACCTACTAAAGATTGCATTATTATTATTATTTTTCTTTTTTTTTCTTCCTTTTCTATATTATATCTTTCTGTTTTTTTTCTCTTTTTTTAAGTACTATATACACTAAGAAAATGCAAAATAATTTTCAAAGACATTACATGATCATGATAAAATAACTAATTTCTGACACTTTTTGAACTCTTTTCTTGATTATAAAGATTGAGAGATTTTTTGGTTCGATTTCAGAGGGTGGAAAATGAAGTTTGAAGTTGAGAATATCTTGCAAAATGCAGCAGAGTTGCACATGAGAATGCAAGAATCTCACCTAACCCAGCTCAGTACACGCACATGCAGACCCACAACTATTTCGCCAAACATGTTGTAAAATGATTGCTGCTTACATATGCTACACGCCGACAATATGCCGAAATGTATTTTGAAAAGCACCCTTTTGCATAATATGTGGCAAAAATTGACATGGTAAAGAAAAATATCTTATTTTCAAAAAGAGAAATTTAAGCACTTTTTAAAAATACCCAATAAACAAATAATATTTTTAAAAAAATTTAAAGACAATTCCTACTAAGAAAAAAAATTTAGTTAATTTTTATTATAAAATATATTAATTAAATTTAATGAATTAATTCATATTTGAAAAAACTGTATTCACATCAAGTGTCATCTCTTACAAGTTTAAAAAAAAGTTTTTGAACTTGAATCTATGATTAAAAAGCATTTTATTAATGATTGAACATTTGAACAAGATAATAGGAAGAGTGTGAATTAATAGTAGGAATTGAAAAAAAAGGCCTGTGGTATCAGACAACAGGGTGCGTAGCCAAATCTTTGAATCAAAAATAAGCACTTTTTAAAAACTTTTCAAGCACTTTACACAAATTTTCAAGCACTCAAAAAATTCATATTCTATCAATGATATAATTGAAAAACAAAAACTTTTTATTAACAGTTTTAGCGTTAAAAAAAAACAAAAAAGAAACGGGCGTAAATCAAAACAATCAGTACCTTCCCGCATCACTGAGTGAATTCAACTTGACCCTGAACTCAGAATAAAAGTACCCTTACCCCCTACGTCAAAAAAAGTGTTAGAAGTAAAATAAAATAAACAAGAACAAAAATAAATTAAATTAAAAAGAAAAACATTTCATAAGGATCTGATATTCTCTATCCGAATTGGAGCACTCGGGTTTCGGTTTCAAGTGTGCGCGCATGCGCAAGTCATAACGTGGGTACGACATGAAGTCCGCGTGAATGATTACGTAGCAAACTCCCCATTTTTCGTGAAATGCATGGGATCCACCAGATATCACTGAAGGGAAGAAAAAAAATTATTCGGAAAAAAAGCACTTTTTAAAAACGCCAGCTGAAAAAAGCACCTTTAAAAGCTTTTAAAAACGAAATCCCCAAAAAAGCACCTTTAAGTACTTTTTACAAACGCTACGCACCCTGGACAACTATAAAAGTATAAATTGGGTGACGTGAACCACACGTGCTAACCCGTAACATTCTTTATTGAATTTATCAGACACAGTGAATATAAAATAATTAAATATTCAAATGTGTGCAATAAACTATTTTCTTTTGTTCAAATAGAGTTGAAATGAGTTAGAAATTATCACTGATGTTATTTTTAAAATATGTGAAAATCTGAATCGCTTATAGTAAAATTTAAAACAATGACTAACGCTTAACCCTTTAGAAAATTCCATTTCATTTTTCGCTCATCCTAATTTAATGAATGAATTGATATTTAAAAAAACTGTATTAACATCAAGCGTCATCCTTGAATGGATGGATAAAAAATATTTTATTAAGGATTGGAAATTTGAACAAGATAATAGCGAGAGTGTGAACTAATAGCACAACTAAGAGCTTTTAAAAAACATAAATTGAAAATAAGCACCTTTAAGCACTCTTTAAAAACGCTATGCAACCTGTTAAAATCTGCTGGTTAATGAAAGATTATACTCACACAAAGAGTGGGTACCAGGGTTGAAAGATTGAGATGCTTTGGAGCAAACATATGAAGCTGCTGCAGGCATGATATGGCTTCAGCTTGGACCAAAGGGTCACCGTGATCTTGCATTATGGCACACGCAACAAGGAAAGATGAGCGTGTCGTGCACACAGACAGTGAATTGCCTAAAATAACATAAATGTTAATATGCATTTTTATCAGTTCTTTTTTCAACTTTGCAACGCAAAGAAAAAAAGATTTTAAAAAAAAGGTCTACTGCTAGTAGCAGAAACACCCCAGCACTGCAGATAATTTTTCATCTCAGAATTTAAATAAATAGAAAAAAAAGTCACTGATATTTTTTTCTTAAAAAAAAACATAGCTAAACTTGTTTTAAATCAAAATTATACGGGAAAGAAAACAAAACGAATTCGTTATAATGCTTGAGAACAGGCTTTTAATGTAAATTTTTTTTTAAACTTTTCTTTTGAGTATTATTGCACAAAATTCACTTTATGTTTAAACAGCTAAAGTTTTTATGCATAATTTTTAAATACTTTAGGTTTGCCAAATTTGTTACACATATGTTAGATTACGGTAAATTATAATTTCTGTCTGACTGCTTTTGGGTTGCAGAAAAATACAGATTGATAAAAATAGTGCTTTCATTAATTATGCTAACAGGGTAGCAATAATAATAATAAAGAGGAAAAAATTATACATAAAACTACTATTACTTGAATGCAAGTTTAAAGACTATAGCAGGCTATAAGAGAAATCAATACAACAAATATCTTAAAAGATTACAAGACTAGTTAAAACAATAGAAGAAATTTTCTTAAAAATGATTTAGTTTCATATGAATACTTGTATATACAGTCAATGCTTGATACCACTTTCATGGTCTAGATGCTGTAAACCAGAAAATAAACCACATTTTGGCAACTGACTTTTCACGAAAAAAAAGTGCATACAATTTTCAAACAAGATAAGTATGACTGATAAAATTACTGCATAGAATTTAGTGGATTATGTCACTTTTCTTTCTTTCAAAGAAGAATCGATGCGTTATACATTTATTGTGTGGTAACAGTAAAAGAAATAATGATTTAAATAATTAATTCTTCTTAAACTTTTTTTAAACCGAACAAGGAAATTCTAGTTGCTCTATTAAAATGAATGGTTAAGTGTGGACATTGTATTCATAAAATAGGTAATGGAGTTTTATGCATCAGTCACTATAATGGAATGGTTGCTGCAATGGTGGCCATCCTCTAAAGAGTACGCTATATATAACGTTTAAAAATGTTCCTGCTGTAATAAATATTTTCTTGAAGAAGCTTTTTTAATTTTTAGGGAAAAAGAAGAAATCTGCCCTGACAAATAATTTCGAATTGTAAAAGTAATTAATGGAAGTAAAATATAATTATTTAAGATAACATAAAATTGTGAAAACAGAAAAAAAATAAAACATCACAAATCTATATATATATTTCTCTTACGCAACGACAAAAAAAGCCTCATTAAGGGNGTTTTAGAAATTTTATCTGAAGATTTTATACTATAGCACATTTCTAATAGGTTTAACGAATTACATGTCATTTATTTGAATTCAAATTTATTTTAATGACTTAGTATTTACTAAAAAGATGTAGTTTTTTTTTTAAAAAAAAAGTTGTTATATGTATTCGAATGATTTGAATTCTTAGAATTTTGTGCATTTGCAATGTACGTAAGTTAGTAGCGAGCGAAGCGAGCTTGGTTTGCGAAGTAAACCATATAAGATTGCGCAGCAATTTTCGGGGGTTGGCGAGCGTTAGTGAGCAAGGGGCGCAGCCCACTAGTTATTTTAAGAAGTGGAAACATGTTTCAGTGCTACAGGAGCACTCTTTTTAAGCACCAAATACAAGAACACATATATACTAACATTATGTTTACAAGTTCTCATTATTGCTATTTTCAGTGTTTGAAGGTAAAACGTGTTTATTTGCTGTATTGCATGTTTAAAAGTTATTTTATTCAAAGAACACAAAAACAATGCTGTGACGATTTTTTTCATATAATCAGATAGCTTCCAACACAGCGGGGGGGAAATCAGGTAAAAACAATAGGCATTTAATGCAAACTGTTACACAATGTATATGTTACTACTTAAGTGAAGAAATCAATTATTCTAACAGATGATCTAGTTAAGCCACAGATTAACCAGGAGGATTTGTTAAAATTGTTTCATTTCTTACGTTACCCAAATAATCTGCAATCTAACTAGATCATTTTCACAACACCAACTGGAACACAGCTGCTAGAACAGTAGAAATATTTCTTTATGCTTAAATTAACACGATGTTTTTTTAGTTTTCATTATCCAAAATATCAAGCTACTACAATCAAGACATTAGCTAACAGAATAAATCACCTTAAAAACTATAATAGAAATTAAACCGTTTGATACATTATTAGAATTAAGGAAATTAACATAATGCTGTTTATTTATGTTTTTATACCTAAAGTCAGTGAATACAATTAAAAAAAATTAGAGGATAAAAATGAGAGAAACAAACATTTAAACTTTAACAAAAGACCATTTTATGTCCACAATACCTAACTCTTGATTATGAACTTTTAACGGATCTCTTTAGTGAATCTGCAGAATAGCAAGGTAGTAAGCATATTAACGGCTCTTAAGCTTTAGCACGAATGAGTCCAATACAAATGGCAGCTTCATAATGAAGGTTTCAACATATAAGCATTCATAGAAGGAAATATAAGGTTCAATATAAGGAAAGACAGAAGGTCATCAAATGACCAATGGAGATTGAAAAACTGTCTGTTACTCCAAACCAAAACACCACTTTTTTCATTAAAAATGAACCTCTTGTGCATTTTTATTATTATTATTTTTAATAAATACAGAATTGTTATTAGTATATTAATTTGAAAATTACTTAATTTCACACTGTGGGGATAGTCACGTCGACAATGTCAACCTTCATCTACAAAAATGTACCCCGACATAGAACTGAGTTAACATGTCTTATGTGCTAGTGAATTGGAATTGTATTGGTAGACACGCTACATAAACAAATGAAGTTTTTAATAAAGTATATCAATCCTTTCAACCCCTCAAGTATCTCGGTAGAATTTATAAATCTCTATAAAAAATTTTAGATACTGTAAATAATTTTTGTTTTGTTCTTAAAATACACAAATTGGAGTTGTATTTTTGTAATGGTAGACACACTGCAGTACCCCCCCCCATCAGAATTATAACTGTGATAGAGTTCAATGAACAAATACCACTAGTGAATTCAATGTTGTTTTGTGAGAAGCCGAGAGAGCTGTATTGAGATCTCCATACTTTTCGAGTGCTGAGCGTGAGAGCTGTATTCAGTTAACGGTCGTGGTCGCTCCTGTGTTGACACTAACAGTCAAGTGTACACGGCCCACGTTGTGTGCGATCGAGACTGAGTAGCGACAGCACTAGGAGGTGTAAAATGTCACAGTCACAAGTCAACTATTCATTGGCCACCATTCATTGAAGTAGGCTTGTTCAAACCGAAGTGGAAGTTTCTGTCGAGGTAGGGGTGTTCACGTCACATCCGAAGGTCACCCATGGGGGAGAGTTGATATCGACTATGTCAACCTTCACCTATGTAAAAGGTGCCCCAACATAGAATCGAGTTAACATGTCTTATGTATTGGAGAATTGGAATTGCATTTATGTAGTGGTAGACACACGACACATACTTGTTTTTTAAAATTTTGTAATGTTTATCACATTTGTTTGTAACATTAATTACATTTAGAGAAATGCTTCCAAAGAAAAATGCTTCATATTATAAACAAATTTTTTAATCCTTTAAAATGTTCAGTTTTTGAAAATCTGCTACATGATTCAAAAAGTAAAATTGCCATTGTAAAAAGTACTATAAGCAGGGCTTAATCCAGGGCGATTTTGGTACCGTTTTTCGGTACCTTCACAAAATTAAAAAAAAAAAAAAAACGGTACCTTCACAAAATTATAAAAAAAAAATCGGTACCTTCCCAAAAAAATTTAGTACTTCAACAAACTTTGAAAAAAAAACGCATCTTCACGAAAATAAAAAAGAAAGTTAGAAGGAATTAAAGTGCTGAATAGTTTTCCGAGCGGTTCACGGAAAAGTGGATTCACAGTGAACGCCGTATGGTACGCCATCGGACGGCGTTCCGCGCAACCGCACTAGCTCGAAAACAGGCTATATATGCTGACGTCACTTCTCCTAAATACGCCATTCAATCGGAGTGAGTGGTGAAGTTTTTATACTAGGCAACCGGCTAAATTGAGCCAGCGTGTAAACAACTCAACTCATTTTCCCAGACAAGTGTTTTTGTTATGATTTAGCGTAAAACGTGTTCTATTCGTATTTTTTAACAAGATTTATGAAAAGTTTTTATAATGAAGCGAGGAAGAAATTTAAGTGGAGCGGGTGGCTCACGGAATAGCGATTATTATATGAAGCGTTTACGCACGATCGATAATATAGGAACGAAATCAATTAAAACATTTTTTCAGTCTGAAAAAACTGAGGAGAAACCGTCACAACAGTCGCCGTCTGAAAAAACCGTCACAGTTGATAACGAGGCACAGTGTATTAAAAATGCTACGGAACCAATGATTGAAGAGCAAAACAATTCAAGTTTTGTTACAAAAAAAAAAAAAAAAAAAAATTTTTTTTTTTATTTAAATCAATACTTAATTTTCACAAAAACAAAAAAAAATTTCACAAAAATAATTTTTTTTCACAAAAATAGGTACTAGGATTGAAAACCTGGATTAAGCCCTGATAAGTGGCCAGTAGCACTATATTTCACTAATTTTACACGACAGTTCAATATTTGAAGGGTATACCTTGTAATTCAGGTCCAACAGTAGTGATCAGAGCTGTTAAGCATTTTCCAATGCACTGGTGAACATCGATGTGCGTGGGAGCCATGAACAGCAGGAGTTTCAGAATGATGGATAAAGTGGGCTCCACATAAGATCTGAACATTGGACCCCCAGAGTCTGCAATCATTGACAATGCATGCAGAGCCCACAGCTGAAAGGGAAATGATTTCTTTTAGATGTGACAAGGGTTGACATTACTTTTAAAAGAAAGTCACTTGATATTTTTAAAAAATTCATTGATTTAAACCACCTGATTTTTTAAACTAGATTTCATTGACATGGCTAGTTTCATAATAGAGATATGTAAATTGTTATTTGATGTTCAAAATGGACAAAAATTAATAAAAGAAATAAAAATTTAAAGGAAAGACTAAATTTCGATAAAAATAACATGAAATTTTTAAATATTATCTTTTTTCTTCAGTCAGATGGAAAATAATTTGCATTTAATAAACACACTGTGTCAAATTCCACTTTTGACTGGTCAATAATCAAAAGTGCCCTTTACAGACATTTTAACGTTACCCATTTAATTTTAGATTTATTTAAAAACAAATACTTTCAAAAATTTCAGTATTGATAAAAATATGTAGTTTTTGTAAATAAAAAATGAAAGCCTGACACTTTGGGTCCTTGTTTTTATGAAATCGGGAAGGTGTTTGGTGTTGAGCTTGAACAAAAATAACCCTCCATTTTTAATCAAGTAAAAATAACTATTATTTTAATTGTTTAATAATTAGTTAGAAATATTTATATACAAAAATATTTAAACAATTTTTTTAAAATTTATAGTTATAATATTGTCTTTCAATAATAATAAGCATTATTTTAAAAAATTTTCTGCATTTTGATTGGCAAATGTAAAAAAAAATATATTATTTAAATAACAAAATGATGAAATTTTTAGATTTTGTTTTAAAAATAAAAATTATGATTTTTGAAAACCTTGATAATGACTACGAAAAATAATCAAGTCTTGATCTTGGTCTAGGAAGCTTATATCCTTATGTTAGTAGGGAAAAGATTAATTATATTTATTGATTTAAGCTTTATTCCAAAAGATAACTAGGTTTGTATTTTAACAATATTCGTGCAATAAAAAAATTTTCATAAAAAAATTTTTTTAGATAATAACTTGATTTGTCATGACTTGCTACTTTGGTAGCATGTTTTATTTTTTAAAAAAATTAATAAGCAGTCGCCTTCTCAAAAAACCAATGGCTAGTTTTCTGAAAAGCATCTTTTTTCAGCTGCTTCTTGAAAAAAACATAGTAACATTTTAGATCCTTCTCAATACCAAACTAACTTGGAGTGAAATTTCCACTAAAAATTGTTCAAATTACTTTGTTTCTCATTAAAATGCAAAAATATGAAATGATTGTTCAAAACTGTACTGGAAAAAAAAAAGAAAAAAAGTGCTCTGTAAAAATTTATGCAAGTTTTGCAGAGAAAAAAATTGTTTTGATGTTAGAAAAAAACAAATGAAGCAGATTTTTTTGTGTGAAATTATGATGTAAAATTTGGAATAACTTAACATTATCAATATAGGCACTTTACATAGATCAGCAGAAAATGATGTAGGAAATGGAATAATGTACAAAATGGACATCGAAAAACTGGACTTTCACTGTCCCATTATAAGACTCTGTAAAATCTTTCTCAACAATTGGCAGCTAAATGACAGCAATGTAGAATAATCAGGGGTTGTTCTGTGTGTTATTTTTGGGACTCATTTTTGTGAGGAAAAAAAATATTTTTGTGAAAATGTCTTAATGAAAAATATTTAGTTTTAACAACAATTATGTATTTTGATTTTTTTTCTCTCTTTTTTGCAAATATGAGTTTTTTTTATAGCTTTTTTATTTATTTATTTTTAATTTTTATAGCTGCTTTACTATGGTTTTTTAAATCATTTCGATATATTTAATGCATTTTTATGGCATGTAAATTTGGCATGTCTATTATGTCATATTAAACTTTTTTTTACACATTCATAGCGATTCACAGCGTTTGTTGATAGTTTTTTCAGCAGTTGTCATTCTTCAGCTCTCTTCGTATGGTTTCTTTTAAATTTCGATATATTAAATATGTTGTTATTAGAAGTTGGGAATTTCGTATTCTCACCTTTTGAGGCATTCAATGCGTGATGATTCCAATGCCATTCGGAATTTTTTTAAGATGTTTTTTTTAAAAAGTTATTTATCATTTTTTCATTCTTTTACACATAGTTTTACAAATTCTAAGATTTTTTAATAAGCAGTACAAATTTGAAATTTGAGTTATTACTTTCAGATGCGTAGGATTCATGACAATTCTATCATAAATTCAGGTCATTTAATGATGGTTTTTTCGGCCCCTTTCCTGAGGAAAATTTTAAATAAAGAAATATAAAAAGTCAGAAAAATCTCATTCCTGTTACTAGGCCACATAGAAAAGAGGCCAGGTAGTCAAGAGCTAAATAAATAAGAGCCTACTGAACTAGTACACACAAAATGAATTTGGATTTATAGTTACTTGCAACTTAGCACATTTCTCAAAAGATAAAATATTAAAAGCAAACAAAATTTCATTTGAAAAACCTTTAAATATTTCATTAGAGTTAATAAAACAATTTTTAATGATAGGAGATTTACCTGAACCACTGGAGCATTGGTATCCTGCGCCAGTGCCAAGAGAATACTGACACTCGTGTTTAAATGCTGTCCTGTTCCCATACCTCCAACGTAACGATGCAAACAACCAAGGGCCAGAGAATGACCAGTCCTAGAAGCTGCATCACGAGCAGATTTAAGTCTACAAAAAAGACAATGATATTAAAGCCCAATATCCACAAATATTTAGAATTTATTATAAAATTACAAGTAATATTAATAATTACAAAACTATTCCTCCTCTTACACTCAAATTTTGTATTTTGGTATTCAAAATGAATAGCATGCTTCAAAATGATGTAAAAAAAAGTTTACCATTTAATTTAAAAATTTTCAGACAAATAAATAAGTAAATTATAAATAACAACTAAAAAATATTTTTTATGAAATTTTCTTTAGATAAAAGAATTTTATAATTGTGTGCAAAAATGTTTAGATCTGCTCAAAAAGATCTCGAGATACAGAGAATACGCAAAAAGTTAAATTAACATAAAGGATCTAAATTTACATTACTAACATATTTTCCAAATGGTGGCCACCCCCTATCCTACATTTTTAGAGCCAATAATCCAAATCCGTAGAAAAAAAAAGGTAAGCTTATTTCACTTTTTTATTTGATAAATGTCCTCGAATAGCTGACACAATTAATGGGTTTACAGCTACTAATGTTCAACTCCATAGCCTTGTCATTTTGAATCCTATCCAGAAAACAAGGGAACTCCTGGACTAAGTATTGGTGAAAATGTGCCTTTGTCGAGAACTTTTTGATGGAACTAATCCCCATTTGCGTTACATGGTGAGAAAATCACAAAACCTACCACGGTTAGCCTGACAGCAAGGGGACTCAAACCCATGATCCCTCTACCAGAGAGTATGCTTTACGTCAGCACGGTAATCGGTGCAAGCCATATGTAAAATTCGCATCAATCAGCCATTGTTAGGATTCAAATCCAGTTCACCTAATTGGAAGAACGCTCTATCCCCTGAGCCCAAACATTTATTGTATGTAAAAGTAAAGCATATCTACTACAGCCAGGGTAGGTCATAGAGGGCATAGTTCAAGTTAGGCCCTTAAACTACAGTGTAACGTCCCATATCCGGACGTCCCTTTTCCGGAAGGGTCAATTTCCCGGACACTTTTTAACAATCAAAATAAACAAACATTTCTTCATCTTCCCCACTCNAAAAAAAAAAAAAAAAAAAAAAAAAAAAAAAAGTATTACTTTCAGAGTATATAGTACTTTCTTAGCTTCTAGTGATCTATGCATTAAACCCATAAATCAACAGAAAAGAGAGCAGAAGATCTACCAAGACCGTACCACCGTTAGTAACGCTCCTCCTCTGGAATGCAGGAAAGGGGGGGGGAGATTTGTTTTCAAAAGAGCACAATTGAGTCCCCTCCCCCCCTTCTTTCCTGTGCAGCTGGCTAGTAAAAGAGGCATTTTCTGGAACCTTTTTGATAAAGTGTTAGGGAAAGAAGTACTGTGAAAAGGGTAAACACAGCAAACGTTAAAGTGGAGGGGGAATCCCCTTTAGTCACACAAGAAAAAATAAAGAGAACCCAATCAGCATGCCACGCCTTTATGCTTGATTGATAGCCAATGACATAAGAGAAAATAAGAACTTGTCACTTCCCCCCCTTCAACTTGAATGACAAGTAAGAAGGAAATGAATTTTGCTTCTTCACCCACCCACCTTAATGAATGAATGACGGGAATTTCCCCTTCTTGCTTGAAACGTTCTAGTTCAAAATGGCGGAGAGAGCAATTAATATTTTCATAACTGTAAATTTTTTTAGTTTCCTATATTTATTTTTATAATAGCAATAATTATTTTTTTTTAAATATTTTGTTTTTGATTGATTAGATATCATTCTAATACTAAAACATTATTGCCNCATATCTGCTACAGCCAGGGTAGGTCATAGTTCAAGTTAGGCCCTTAAACCATTAAGATAGATTCCTAGTACGCAATGATCTGATGACGAGATAAAAAATTAATTAGGGTACTACCTTCTCTTTTGCAAATTATACATACAGTAGCAGAATTAATGCGGTACGGCAGTAAACTCAGCAGATTTATTTTTTCATGACACTGCAGATCAAAACATAGGTTTCTATCATTGTACGCACAAACAAAGTGGAAAAATCTTTTGAAAAAAAAAAGCCTAGGTTGAAAATTTCCTTTATATATTTGCAATTCAAATCACATTACAAGAAATGTTTTATGTATGAAATAAAAGTAAAAAATTTTGTTTAGTAAATTTTGAAAGAAAAAAAAATTCAATTGCTGCTTTAATTCACTGATGATTTGAATTTTTAAAACTAAAAGAAAAGTGACAAATGCTGAAAAAAAAGTGACTCTCACTGAGCAATCTAAGTTGCGGTTCATTGAAAATTAAATATGCAGAAGAATAACAAAAATAAAACTAATTTTCAATTAATGAATGTTATACACTAAAAAAGTAGTTAAAATTGAGACAAAATTTGACCAATGCTGAATAAGAAGAAACTTTTATGAAAAAGTGACTTGCCAATTAAAAATGATGTTTATTGAAAACATTTAAAATAAGCAATACAATCACAAAAACATTCAGTTGTATAGAAATAGAACTTGTTATCAAATACTGTACCGATCGAACATATGCTGAGCTATTTCTGCGACAAACTTGCCGTCTCCAACAACTTGTGCCATTCGTCCAAGGGCCTCTCCTGCAGCGCACCTCAAGATTGGATTGGCATGGCTCAATGATCCCTAAAATTAATCATTAATAGGAATAGTCATTACAAAATATTTTTATTTTAGTTACAAGGGTTATACTATAAATAATTTGAGTGCCTAAAACAATAAAGTATTACTTTACATTCAATGTGGGTGCTTTAAACTCAAGGCATGACCAGGGTGTGTAGCCAAATCTCTCAACAAAAAATAAGCACCTTTACTTATTAAGTAACTCAAAAAATATTTTTAAGCACCATATCTATTAACAAAATGCAAAATAATTTTAATGACTTTATGTGTTCATGATAAAATAGCTAGTTTTTGACAAATAAATATTTTCTTCATTATATCAGCTATTATGATCAAGGGATTTTTTGATTCGATTTCAGAGGGTGTAAAATGAAGCCTGAAATTGAGAATATCTTGCAAAATGCAGCAGAGTTGCACATGAGAGTGCAATAATCTCACAAAACCCAGCTCAGTACCCGCACATGCAGACGCCCAAGTATTTCATCAAACATGTAAAATAATTGCCACTTTCATAACCGACAATACGCTGAAATGCATTGCGAAAACGTTGAATAGAACTACGTGAAAACCACGCTTTTGCACAATAAGAGGCGAAAATCGACTTGGTAAATAGAGAGAGAAACATCTTTGGAAGAGGGAAAATTAAGTACTTTTTAAATATACGCATTAAAAAAAGCACCTTTCAGGGCTTTTAAAATACAAAAATTGACATGAAGCACTTTTTAAAATCACTGCATGCCAGAATGATATTACGTAAACAGTAATTCTTGTAATATTATCTGCACCAGTGTGTGATTTGTGAGTGCCACTTTGTGCCATGCAGGAAAAATGGTGGAGCTTAATAAACATTATCTGCACCCATACATCATCTTGTGATATGAATGTAGAATAAGTAATAAAATTAAATAATTTGCATTTTAACCCATTTTTGGCCTGAGGTGGACAAACACACCAATTCAATAAATATTTTTTTATTAACACTGTGACTTATATTTTTCACTAATTCTTAAGACACTCAAAAAATAATAGTAATTCAATTAGAGTAAACACTTTTTGTTGAGAAATTTTTAAACAATTAAAGTTTGTGTAATTCAAAACTGTTGTTTACAAATGAAATTTTTTAAAAATGTATAATTATTCCTTTTGAGATTTATCATTATGTTTTTATGATGGATTAAAGTTGCAAATCAGTCAATAAAAATAATACAACAAATTTCATAAAAAATACAAGTGTTCCACTACATTGTTTGTTCGTTGATTTGGTGAATGATGTCTTTACGTAACGTTTTATTCCTTAAATAAAATATAATTTTTTATGCACAAAATTTTTTTGTGTATTAATGAATGTAATGCAAGCATATTTCAATGAAAATGATACTACATTTTATAAAATTTATATGCTCGGACTAAAATGGGTTAAGCAAAATATTTTAAAAAATTATGCCCTGTTAATAATAAAATATGAAATAAAATGCATTCAAAAAATGAAATATTAAATAAAAAGGAAATTTACAGACATTTCAGGTTTTAAGACTAACACTTTTAAGCCTAACTTTTTTAATTACGATCGTTTAAAGGGGTATTCTCACAGACCTCTGATCATTGTTGAGAGAGAAAAAAAAGAACCTGATTGTTGAGGTTTTTTGTGGGAAAATACACTTTACTAATCACATGTGCATGAATTACATGCAGAGAGACTTATTTACTAAAGCAATCTCTGTAAAGAGTGGAAAAAGTTGATATTGTTTTCTTTTGCACGAAAACAAAATTAAAGTTGTCCAGTGTTTGACCTTCTGTACATGGTGATTGCCAATAGAATTACAAAAAAGTGAAGGGGAAATTAAAAAATACAAAGAAACACGACAACTATACGGAGAAAATAGCAATAAAGGTTTTAGCATGTGAAAAATCTGTGAGCAATATTCACACCAGCTCGTAAACTAGTTTATTGCATTACTTTTTTAAACAGGTAATCCACAGATAATATATCAAAAATTATAGTAATTTGTGAACACTCAGAATCTGATATTACATAATTTCAGTGCCTTAAACTCAAATTTAAAAAATTAATTTTAAACTACAAATCATCTTACTGAAAATAATTGATGCATAGAGATATTTGATAGGAAAAAAAGTCTGACATATATTTTGAATTTTTAAAAACATATATACAATGAAAACACTTTTTTTTTTAAAGAATTGCCCCTTTGGCAAAATTTTTGCAATTATTACTTATTATTTTCATCAGAGTTTAAAAAACGTGTGAATATGAATCTCAGCAATGTATTTGACATTAGGGAGAATACGAATCTCGATATTGGTTTTTAAAAACGTGTGAATAGAAATTGTGATGCAAGCTTTTTAAATCGCGTAAATACGAATCGAAATGCGTAACCCTTAATTCAGGTAAATATGAAAATCTATGCTTGACATTAAAATCAGATCTGCGGAATAATCCCATTCCCTGCATCTAGTTATTAGATCACGAAGAATGATACGAAAACCCGGACCACTCCTGACAGGCTAAAGTTTAAAAGAAAAAACTAATTTCATACCAAAGCAAGACGAACTGCTGCTTTCCGGACGTCTTCTGATCCAAGGCTGGATTTTGTTTCAACCAGAGCCTATAGCAAAAATGTTTGTCAAAATATACAATTATAAATTACATCCTATTCATAATTTTTCTCTAACGTATTGTCTGAACACTACTAAAAATAATTAAATTGAGACATAATTTCAGCATCTTTTAAAATTTTCTTGTTTCACAAATTATTATTTGTAAGATATTCAGAAATTTTAACTGAATCAAAAGCCAGGGTTCATGATTAAATTTTGCTATATTAACCCTGGTTATGTAGACCAGCAATTGCAGAATCCAAAGTTTCTGTGAGTCACAGACATTTGAAGAATTAGGGCTTTTTTTTTTCAAATTCAGTAATGGTTTTTGAAGTCTATCATTATATTTATGACTAATAAAAAATGCATTTTTTATTTAATATTTTGCTATTTTTTAAAAAAAAAATTATTTTAATAAAATGCTAATGGAATAAAACTTTAAAATTATATATTTATTCTGATAACAATACATTAATAAAATTATGAAAAGGATATGCATTTATAAAAATGGCTCTAGGGCTTCCCATTGTATTTACCATTTCCCAATGGGTAATACTAATGGAAGACCTGAGGACTGAAATCAGTCATAAACAAAAATTAGTGGACTGATTTTTCGTCCTCCAATACATATTTATTCTTGATTTGATTTTTAAACTAAATTATCATTTAAATGTTAACTTTTCCTTTGAAAATATAAAAAGATTGTTTTATGTCAAAATAAATCTAACAAACTTATTACCATTTATGAAAAAAAAAATTCATAATTATAGCAAAATGATCAGGTAATGATGTCACATCTCAATGAAAGAATAGAATTGGCTGAATTTCAACATCTGCTTGAGTTGAAATTTTTTTTCTGAAACATTTTAAGATACTGGGGCAAAGTTAAATTGAGAATATTTTTTTAAAATATTAAATTGGTAGATTTTGGACAAAGTATTAATAATAGTGTAAAATAAGAAAAAATATGACTAACTCCAAGAAATTCAGTGTTAGTGGTGTAAAGTCAGCAAGTAGTGTAAAAAACACCAGAGATCTTACAGCCACTTCATAACCAATATCGGTCCTATATAGAATTGTCAGATTCACCCGATATTTTGTATCCATCATTTAACCGATGTAGGTTCTATATTTGCCAATGTAAGCCCTATACAGGCAATTCTGGGACCCATATTAAAAATCAAGACATCTCAATTGATTGTTGCCAGGGATTCTTAGTGTATTTCATTAAAATATTAAGTTTCAATAGTCAATGCAGGGTGTGTAGCCAAATCTTTAAAAAGAAGTACCTTTTAAGTACTTTTAAAGCACTCAAAAAATATTTTTAAGCACTATATACATTAACAAATTGCAAAATAATTTACAAATACTTTACATGATCATGATAAAATGACTAGTTTCGGACTAAGAACTCTTTTCTTGCTTACATTAACCACCATAAAAAGATGGAGATATTTTGGTTCGATTTTAGAGGGTGGAAAAAGAACCCTGAAATTAAGAATCTCTTGCAAAATGCGGCAGAGTTGCCCATGAGAGTGCAAGAATAATTCCCTCTGAATCCAGCTCAATATAGGCACATGCAGTGCAGACCCACAAATATTTAATCAAACATGTAAAATAATTCACACTTTCATTCCCTACGGTACAACAGAATGCAATGTGAAAATATGTTAAATAGAACAATACAAAATGTGCTTTTGCATAATACGTGGCAAAAATTGACATAAAGAAAAAAAATCTCATTTTTGAAAAGAGAAATTTAAGCACCTTTTAGAAAGACAAAATATAAAAAGCATCTTTAAGGGATTTTAAATAAAGAAAATCGAAAATAAGCACTTTTTAAAAATGCCATGCACTCTGCAATGGTAATTTATTTTAGACAATGAATATATGCACGTCACAACAGAGAGCACTGAATTGGATGAGCTTCATACTTACTTTAAGTGCATTTAAAAGAGCAGTGAATATGTTAATCTGTACAGCTTCTTGCCTGGTAGCTTTTGCCTGTCGAATACATTCAGAGAAATGATCCAGCATTTGTAGCCTGTGCTTGTAGGCAACAACAGGAAAGACTACACCAAACAGCACAACGGATGTATCGATCACAGCAACTCCTAAAGGAAGTGGGTCTGGGACACTCTCTCCCTGAAATTACATCAAGAATTTGTATAGAAAATATTTGCTTTTGCGTAACAAATCGCCAGTGAGCTTCTTTTTCTGCTCAAAATGTGTATCTAAGAATATGGACAAAGCTCGAAATTCCTGTGGAAGAAAATAGACAAAGCATTTTATACAGTTTTTCAATTTTTTTTTCTTCCAATTCCTACTATTATTTCACACTCTCCCTATATCTTGTTCAAAATTTCAATCGTTAATAAAATACTTTTTATCCATTAATTCAAGTTCAAATGCATTTTTTAAAACTTGTTATGGATGACACTTGATGGTAACCCATTTTTGGCCAATGGTGCATAAGCGCAGCATTTTAATAAATAAAAAATTATTATCACCATGGCGAAAATTTTTCAGTAATTTTATTTTTCTGTTGTTTTAAAGTGTTCTAAAAACATCAATAAAATATTAGTAATTCAATTGGAGTAAATAATTTATTTTGAAAAATTTTCAAAATACGCTCATTTTTGAACTTAAAACGGTTATTGAAAAAGTTCATTTTTTTAAGCTGTTTAATTATTCCACTTGAGAATTATTATATGTTTTTATAATGGGTTAAAGCTGTAAGTTCTGAAAAGAAAATTAAAATAAAACAAATATCACAAAAAAGATAAAATTTGATCATCCAAATTTAATGGTGCGCTAACACACCATTGGCTTAATTCCATGAGAAATAGGCGAAATTTGAAAACCTACTTTTTATGCAAGGTTTCAGTTTTGTTGAATATTCAGAATTTTATTAGTTTTATTGTTAAGTTTTTATTTTTATCAGAGCTTTATTGTGCTGAGGTAACAGTGTTCGACAAAAGGAACAACCGTTGCTCTGAAGTTACTTAGCTTTGTTTCAATACCTGAGATGTAAAAATTTAAGTTTTGATAACTTTTTCTCTTCCTATAGATTATTTGAAATTTTGATTCCTGGATCAAATATAGGAAGAAATTTGCCTTGGTGGAAGACTTTTTGATGGAATTAACCTGCATTTGCGTTACATGGAGAGGAATACCTCGAGAATCTCCCACCGTTAGCTTGACTGCAAAGGGACTCTAACCCATGATCCATCTACCACTGAGGATATTTCGTCAGGACTGTGGTCAGTGTCAGTCAGATGAGGATTCGTATCAACCAGCCATCACCAAATTCGAACCCGGTTCGCCTCATAGGAAGGCGAATGCTCTATACCTTGAGCCATTGCGGCACAAGAAAAGAAGTTGTGATTTCACAACTCAACGTTATTTCGGATTACAATAAGCAATATAGGAGGTGTAGACCTACATGAACATACCATAGCTAAATACCGCATCAAGATTCAAGGTAAGAAATGGTGGCCATTATTTACAAACACAATTGATAGTGTTATAGTAAATTTCTGGAAGCTACATAAAATCAACTAGCTCAAAAATATCACTTATAGACCATAGATCTAATATAGCTATTGCCCCATTAAAATCTGAATCCAAGATCAGTTGATCTGGTGAAAGTTCATTACAAGTTACCCATTGAATTAAAGGTTGCTCATTTTCTGCAGCTCTACTAATAGAAGTACAGATTGATAGAATTGTACATACAATAAATGGGCATGGAAAAAAAAAGCCAACAGACGATGTAAAGTGTGTAAAAAGCACACGATTAATTTGTGCATCAAATGCAAAGTCCATTTGCATGCAAAATATTTCGAAAGTTTCCATTAAAAATATAAGCGTTGAAGTAAAGGAATTGTTCATTGATTTGGCCAATGGTGCACCATTTTATTTCTTAATTAAAATATTATTTTTCATGCAGGAAACTTATTTTTTGTCTTAATGAATATAATTTAAACATATTTCAAGGAAAATAATACCACATTTTATAAAATTTCTATCCTTGGCCTAAAATGGGTTAATACAGTTCTTTTCAAATATTAATTCATTAATTTAAAATTTAAATAATTAACTTTAATTTTATATGGGAGAAAAAATTTTAATTATTTAATAAAAAGTAACTAAAATAAAATTCTTTGCTGACCTAGAATTGACCCTAGAATTTGACCTAGTGAATTGAATTTTAAAAAAAATTATATTACTTGTTTTAAAAAAAGAATAAACTAATAGATTCAAAAAAATCCTTATTATGAAGTTGACTATTTGCTTAAATCACTAAGTGTACTTTTTTAATTAAGTATTTTTTTGAATATATGTTAAAAGTCAACAGTTGTTTTTATAAGGTTGTCCTTTAAATTAATAATAGTGCCATTACATTGACTTCATATGAATTTACATTTTTAAAAAAAATTACTTAAGTGTTCGATAGCCAGGAAAGTTGCATCTGCAATATACCCAGCCACCCTGACCCTGAAATTTTTCCCTTCGCTTAATGATTTAAAAAGTTCCTCTTTCAGTTTTAAAATTTGATTTGAATATTGAAAAGACGCATTTTTGCTGTGTTCATTTTTTTAAACACTCCTTTTCAGCTGTGTCCATTTTTTCCAAGCATGCATTTTGAGCTGTGTCCCGACTTAAAAGCTCACTGACTAAAGTCATGATTACACTTATTGTAAAAATAAAGCAAAAAACTTACTTTTTTTAAATTTTTGTACAACAGAGTGGGATCATGCTCAAGAGAACCAGAACCAGATGCACTATTCGGTTGTAACTGGAAAAAATTTTGAATTTATTATTAGTGAGAGATTATAACAAGAAGTAGTACTTCATCCACACCAAAATGGGCTACTAGCGAAAATCTAGGAAACATCCTTAGAGATGCATCACCCCCCCTCCACTTTAGTAGCCTGATGACCCCCAGAGAAAGTCAAGCACTTTATGGTAGAAAAAATTAACAAGGATCCATACTCTTTGTCCTCGGTCTCTTCCTACTGATTAAAGTGGCCAACTACCTGCTCGCTGACCTCAGACAGTGATGCTTGGCTTTGGTGATCTACTAGTGATCAGTCTCATGATCAATTCACTGTGAGACAAAATACACTTCTTCTCATTGGCACAACAGCCCAGGATGGGCCCTGGCCTTCTCAACAAGCCTATGCCAAGACATTCTTCCCTTAGCCAAGGTTCTCCAGTTTATTATCTTTAAAACTTGTAGGTGCTTTTCAAGGCAGTCTGAAAATCTTAAGTTTGGCCGTCCTCTTTTTCCTGTACCTGTTGGCCTGGCACTGAAAACTTTTTTGGTTGTCCTACTATCCTCCATTCTCACAATGTGGCCTGCCCATTTAATCCTTTGAATTCAATAAATTTAATGACATCAGGTTCTTTATATGCTTTGTAAAGTTCCGTGTCTAGTAAAGTCTTCTAAACCAGGTACCGTTTTTACTTATTCCACCAAAAATGCTTCGCAGTATTTTTCTCTCAAATCTAGCTATCATCTCCATGGGTCCAGGTCTCACATGCGTACGTAAGCACTGATCGTATAAGCCATTTATAGAGTAACACTTTTGTTTTTCTTTTTGTTAAACACACTGGTGTAAGAAACTAAGAGAATTTGAAGATTTTGTCGATTATCTCTAGAACTACTGGAGTGATTTTAATGAAGTTTTATGTGTACATGCATTGATACAATACAAAACAAATAACCATTCAACAATTGTAATACACACACGCATGATTGTGTGCAACACTCGTTGGAGTCGGAAAGCATGAAATTGCCTCGGGACAATTCAGACCCCCTACCACGGGAACTACCTTATTTCAAGTATGAAATAACACTGCAGGGCCTGTAAGAGGGGATCCTATCCCCTACTAACTCCCTTTTTTTTTTCTTCTGCAACCACTGTTTCATACCTTCTGACTCCAATGAATGTTACGCATGATCATGCTTGTGTATTACAACTGTTGAATGGTCATTTGTTTTGTATTGTATCAATGTGTGTACACATAAAACTTCATTAAAATCAGTTCAGCCAGAGCCGGATTATACCTTTTGTAGGCCCTAGGCACAGAGCCGGATTATACCTTTCGTGGGCCCTAGGCATACCCGGTTTTGGGTCCTCCCCTCCTTCCCCCCATCCCCTCTTTTCAAAATATATGCTAAAATTTTCTTGCATATTTTTTTTAACATTTTTATTAATATGGATTTTAATTTACAAATTTGTTTATCGAACTTTATCTGCAATACCGACATACTGCCGATATTGCAGTTGATATCGATAATACCATTATGATTAGTTCGATCGATAACTATGTAAACACTTCACGTCAACAATACAACAACAAACCAGCAAAGAAAACAGTGAAATTGATAGTGAGATTAATTACAAGAAATATTTATACAGTAGAGAACCAATTATCTGGGATGCTCGGGACCATCGCTATCCCGGATGTCTGAATTTCCCAGTTTTCTGGATCGACCAAAAAGTGTCATTAATCGATGTTTTATCGAACCCGAATTACAAGGAAATTACACAAAAATTTGTCAGAATCTGAGATTAAACTAAAAGCGCAAAATTTGGTGAAAATTTACTCATCCGATTTAGAGAAAAACTTTGTAGATGAATTTTTACTATTTTCAAATTTATATGAACATAAATCTGCACAAGAAATGTTGAAGGCTCAAATTAAAGATAAACTTGTGAATACTTTTCCTAACGTTCACATTGCATTAAGAATATATTTGTCGATTCTTGGATCAAATGCAGAAGGAGAAAGATCTTTCTCCAGATTAAAATTGATAAAAAATTATTTGCGTTCAACAATGAATCAAGATCGTTTGGCATCGCTCGCACTTATGTCTATTGAATACGACATTTTGCGTAGTTTGGAATTCGACAGCATAATACAAGATTTCGTTGAATCCAAAAATCGCAAAAAAGTAATATATTAGATCATAAGATTCTGCAAAATAATTTATTACCGAAAAATATTATATTTTTATTTGTATCTTCATAATTTTGTGCAAAATACACTTGTTGTTTTTAAAGCTAAATTATTTTTGTCAACAAATTTTTTTCTCCCAAGTTTTTCGTAGGCCCCTGAATTTCGTAGGCCCTAGGCACGTGCCTAGTGTGCCTATAGGTTAATCCGGCCATGGGTTCAGCAGTTCTAGAGATAATCGACCCAGTCTGCAAATTCTCTTAATTTCTTACACCATAGTATAAAAGAAGCATAATACACAAAAGGAATTAACAATGTTATGTTCTAGAACTCCCTTTAAGTACATAAGCCTAGTAATTAAAATAGTTTACTATCACCAGCCAGTAGAAATAATTAACATTGCAAAGCAGAATGTTCAAATTTCTTTTTAAAAATTTGAATGAACACATTTAACAAAACTAATTCCATGTTTTTATAGTCTTTCTGTACCCATTAAGGCATAAATTGTATAAAATATCATGCAAAGAAATATCATTTAGTTACAAATGTTTTACTAAATTTATAGTTTAATAAAGAAAGGGATATGTTCTTTAAAGGGGGGAAATGTGAAAAGAGCACAAATAATGTCACAAACAGGACATAAGATAATTTATAGATGGTAATACTGGGTGCATAACCAAATTTTTCAACAAAAAATAAGCACCTTTTAAGTACTTTCTAAGCACTCGCAAAACACTTTTTAACCAAAAATACAATAACAAAATGCAAAATAATTCTTTAAGACTTTACATGATAATAATGAAATTACTAGTTTCTGACAATGTCAATCTTTTTCTTGAATATATTATCCACCACAAAAAGATCGAGAGATTTTCGGTTCGAAATCAGGGGGTGTAAAATGAAGCCTGAAATTGAGAATATCTTGCAAAATGCAGTAGAGTTGCATATGAGAGTGCAATGATCTCACTGAACTAAGCTCAGTAGATGCCGATGCAGACTCGCAAGTACTTCATCAAACATGTAAAATGATTGGAGATTTCATACGCTATGGACTGACGGTATGCTGAAATGGATTGTGGTTGAATATATATGTTAATGCGGAATACAACAATGTGAAAAGCATACTTTTGCATAATACGTGGCAAAAATCAACATGGTAAAGAAAAAAAAATCTCATTTTCGAAAAAGGAAAATTAAGCCCTTTTTAAAAGCATCCATTGAAAAATGCACCTTTAAAGGCTTTTAAAAACCAAATATCAAAAATAAGCACCTTTAAGCACTTTTTAAAAACGCTACGCACCATGTAATTAAGTTTCCTTTTCAGTGTCAAAACATAGGTGCTGAAGAAGTTTTCGGTATTTCCAAACTGCAGAAGGTACTTTATTATCTTATGTTTTAATAACTTTTCAGGAGTAACAAGTAGAGTGGAAAATGCAGCCCATCTATTTGTTTGCCCACTTTGGATTTAAGATTCTTCAACCTTTGTTTACCTTTTGCTGAGTTCTCCAACATAGCCAAGGTCGCACTGTTAAGGTTCATGGGTAAATGATGCAGTTTATTTCCAATAATGACAAGGTCTTTAAGCGACTTTAATTTTGATAACAGGTCTGAAAATGACTTCCAAAACAAGATGGAAATTTTGTAACAAACAGATGAGAAAAATGGCACAATAATAATTTAAAGGATTAGATAAGGAGGTTTGAGTCAAGTGAATTTAGCAAGACCTGAATCGAATACAGAAAGGTGAAATATACGGTTAACAGGAACCAATTTTCACCACTCGAAACATGTTGTCATTTCTTACCTTTAATTTCCTTTTTTAAACTATGGAGATGGTAGTTATCGTTAATGTTAACCTCCATCTATAAAGAGGTACCTCGACATAGAATCAAGTTAACATATCGCATATATTCTACTGAATTGTATTGGTAGACACATTACAGTACTCCCCCACCAAAATTTTATCGGTGATATAAATTCGATGAACGGATTCTACTAGTTGATTCATTGATGCTTTGTGAGATGCTGGGAGAGCTGTATTAAGATCATCATACTTTTGAGTGCTAATGCTGAAAGTTCAAAGGTCGTGGACGCTCCTGTGCTGCCATTAGCAATCGAGTGCACACAGGCCGGCATTGTGTGTGATCGAGACTGAGTAGCAACAGCACGAGGAGCGGGATAATGTCATAATAACAAGCAGCGAGTCAACTGTTCAATGGAGACCATTCATTGAAGTAGGCGTGTTCAAATTGAAGTGGGAGCTTCTGTCAAGGTAGGCTTGTTCCCATCACATACGAAAGTCACCAATGTGGGGAAAGAAATTATCGACAATGTCAACCTTCATCTGCGAAGAGGTACCCAAACATAGAATTGAGTTAACATGTATTATATACTAGTGAATTGGAATTCGTAGACATAGTACGTAAACAAATGAAGTTTTTAATAAAGTATATCAACCCTCATTATTTTCTTGGGATTATTCATTTAAGTCTTAGCAAAATAAATTACATTCAGAGCATCAGTATCTCCGTAGAATGTCTAAATCTCTATAAAAAAAATTTAGATGCTGTAAATTATTTTTGTTTTGCTCTTAAAATAAGTACAGCACTCCTTGAGTAACCAGTTTGTTGGCGAGAGAGATCATAGAAGTTATGGCTTTTCGATTTGAGACCAATGGCATATTGCTGGCAATTTAGGCAGTATTGAGCACCAGCCACCTTTACTCCCCAAATAAGCTGGCACCCATTGATCTAAGGTCAATATTATTTCATGTTGTTTCTTTTCAGTTATAAAATTTTTAATAAATTAGAACTAACTATCTTGCTGTAAAGAAGAAAAGAAAGAAAAAAAAGAGCTAAAATCTAAAGATTGATACATTAATATAAAAAATACTGATACAATTATCAAGCAGAAATACAAACTGCAAGGAAAGTAAGATTTTCAAAAAAAAACTGGAGAGTGTAACAAAATAAAAATTAAGTAAACAAGAGAGAAAAACCATGCTGAGAGACTGTACTTAAGAACATAAATAAAAGTAAAACTTAAGTTTTCAAGTTCAAACAAATTTTGGAAAATAAAAATTTTGATTTGAAAGAGAAATGTTATTTGCAACAACTAAGTACACAAAAAAGTGCAACAATAAAACAAAATTATAAAAGAGCAAAAATAGAAAAAAAGAGCAAAGCTCTATAGGCAATTCTGAGCATGCTTCAAACATAAAGCTCAGCTACATAAAGCTATTTCAAAATACTCACATTATCTTTGTCCAATTTTCTATTTGGTTCCATCTAATAATAAGTAGAAAATGAGTTATCCATAGTGAATTTTCTATAACTAATTCTACCATTCAATTCTATGAGTTACTCTCAATGAAAAGTTCATAAAACAAAGTGCATAGTATTGTCAATTCTATGTAGAAACATTATTGGAATACATTTCTTTGATTTCTGAAACCTTGATAAAATGAAAGTTTTAATAAAGAAGTTTCCACAGTCTGCAAAACACTTTTTACAGGCTCAGTAACTAACACAGGAGAAGATTCAGATTTAGGTTTAAAATTTAATGAACATAATTCTGCTTAAAGTAACATAATTCTGGTAACTTAAATTTGTACATAAATTAAAAATCCAAAAATCCATGCAGCAACTCCCAAAATGAAGATCAAAAATGAAATCACGCGATTAGGACTCTTTAAAAAAGAGATACCTAATTAAGTGTGTGTAAAACATGGTGTTCGTTAAAGAAAAAACATCATTTCTAGAGCAAACTATCTTTTTAACTTTCATGATTTCTGAAACTTTTATTTTATATTATTAAGTTGAAATTCTAGCTAAAGGTAGTCATTACCGATTTTTTTTAAAAAATCTCAAGAGAGAATAGACAAACCACGATTATTTATTTCGTCCCTGATGCACAAATTCTGCACAGTAAAAAAAAAAACTTTTTTGAAAAATTATGCAGAAGGGAAAACCAAACATTTTCCCCTTCCCAAATAAAAAATCTCTGCAAAAATTCTGTTAACATTCTGTTCCCTATTTGGGTAGCCCGACAACCTGCACAAGAAGTTCAGCACTTTACGGAAGAACAGTTTAGCATAGACCAACACCACACACCCTTGATCCCTACGCAAGCTAATTAAAGTGGTCACCCACCCGTTTGCAGACTGCAGCCAGTGAAGTTTGACTTCAGTGTTCTACTGAGTGTCTTTACGATCAGCTGACTGCGGGACAAAAAATTTTGTGCAAAATTTTGAATCATTATATTTTTTGTCTTTCATACAACACTTATATAACAATATTTTATATATGACTATATACAATTATATGAATACATATACAATCACTAGGTGAAACTTATTTTCGAATCTCCTCAGCAAATTTTCCCAAATGAATGCCATTACCTGATCTTCAATGGCCTTATGGTCAGTTTCTTGTAACCAGAATCCTAATATTATGCTGTCATTAGCATGGCACAAACTTCTTAGTAATGAAGTAGTTGTGTTAGCAGGATTTTCAGTCAAGGTGAATTCTGCAACTAGGAGCCTTAGAAGACTGTTATAGGTCCCTGGAAAAAAAATCAGTAAACAAATAACTTACTTCCTTTTTACCACCAATATTTTTTAAAGTTATATTTTAAGCATGATTTAAATTATGCTTAAAATATCCATCCATGATACATACACCAACCCGTCATCAACCAATCATCAATTGATTCATATGTTTAATTTCTTTCCATATCAACATGACAAACTTATATGCTGAGCTCTGAGATTTTACATTCAGTATTTTCTAATAATCATGATCATTCATTCAAATGACAATGATCATTCAAATGATCAAATTTGATACATTTACGCTCAAGTTGTTATTCACCGGTTTGTATCAATAAATGCTTTTATTGTGTCTTCTTCAGAAAAAAGTATAGCAAATCAAGTGATAATTAATAAAATTTGAAATAATTAAATTTGAAATTCGCTTATCAAAATAACGTTGAAAAAATTCAAGAATTAAAAAAAAAAAAAACGTGTGGAAATGAACTGAAAACAATCCGAAATCGACCCGAAATTGGGAGAGAATGCAAAGCATTGACTTATATTCGATAATTGCACTGCGTAATAATTTCATATTAAATTTGTTAGAATTTTAAAAACTATCAGGAAATTTTGGAAAAACATAAAGCTATCAAAGTTTGACTTTTCATAAAAATTCCCTTTGCAACTAAACTTTAAACAGAATATCACTGGAAATGAAAATTCATACAGTAGGCAAAATTGAAACTTTGAAACTGCAAAGAATTCATAGAGGTTGAAACTCTGAATAAGTGAACATTTTGTTAACAACCCTAAATATAGTGTCCCAAGAACAGTAATAATAGTAGACATCTTGTTATCAATTGAAAAATTGAAGAAGTTATGGAAGTGAAAACATTTTATCCTGGAAGTTATTTCTAATTACGTTACGTGTGAGTTTCACACCCACCTGAGAAATTTCAGCCACTGCTTATATAATGTGATTCTGTGCTTAAGTGTAAAGATTCCATAAAATCATAAGTTTTGACACTGGGAATTTCTTTCTGATTTTATTCTTTTTTTGGCAATTGACAAAATTGAAGAACATTTCAAAACAGAACTTCAAAAGTCGTTTCTGAAACTTTTACACCTAGAAGAACATCAAGGAAGGTACTTTATTTATGTAGCACTAGCACTCTACAAAGGGCTATTGGCACAGTCTTAGAAACACCCATGAGGATGATCTGACGACATACCACCTCAATTTCGTGAGATCACTTAACTTAGACACAGCTCTGAAGAGGAAAGAAATTGCCACCAGATCCTTGAAATTTTAGACCCATCATAGAACTTTTAATTTCACTGATTTTATGAGTATATATTAAAAAATCCCCATTTTATGGTGTTTAGAAGGTCCCCAGTTGTACTGGGAAAATACATGTTGTGAAAAAATTAAAATTTTAAGCCATATATTTCAACAGGGTGGTATTTAGCTACTAGATTCCAAACTTTATTCAAATTGCATATCACATTCATGATGTCCACAATATACTGTTCATCAACACAGTTCCCATTTTACTTATTTATATATTTGCGTGTGTCTGAAGACAATATCTTGTAATCAAAATTTATACTTCGGTTTAAAATTTAACGAATCTTACTATACATAAAATTCTAATGATGGTGTCGCAGTTTTCCATTGTTGTCGGTGCATTTTTATTGGCCAGAAAATCACGTGGTAGGATCCAGTTTTCCCCCATTCATTTTCATATTGTTTAGGATGTCATCAGCATAAAATTAACAAAAGTCGTAAAGGTATTGTTTTCCTTTAAATATTTTTGTATCCCTAATTTAAAGTTATTTTTCAGTACTGCTATTATTAGTGAAAAATTTAAATTATGGTTGTGAACTTATCAAATTTGTTTGAACAATATAATGTATTAAGAATATAAATGTTATTTTAAAAAAATGATAATTAAAAAATCATTTCTGCTCACCAGGAGATCTAAATGCTTATAATACTAATATATAGTAATATTTGGAGGTGGGAAGTAGAGGCGCAAGGACGTAAGTAAACAGAAATCCTTTTAGTACATAGATGTTAAGTGAATATTTTTAATTTTAGTAGAAAAACTGTTTTCTGGCAAGAAAAAACAATTACTGCGAAGCAATCATCGGGGTTGGTGAGCGGTAGCGAACAGGGGGCTTTGCCCCCTAGTATAAAATATTTTTTAATTTTACTAAGAAAAGTAAACATTAAATAATAATAAAAAAAAGTACTTTCATATGAAATGAAAGCTTACCTTCGTATGAGTTGGGTGGCAGAAAAGAGAGAACTTCATACAAACGCATGCGAACCATAGCAGCACATGCTTTCAAATGTTGACCATAAGATTTAAATACATGCCCGACACTAGAAATATAATACACAATTATTTCATCAACGAAGTACTCTGTTTTAAATAAACAAATGAAAAACACTTTCAGACAACTCACTTACTATTAAAAAAAAGATTAACCCCTAAATCTCTATAATTTAATTCAGTAAGGTTCCTGAGACACTGCAGTATAGTTGGTAACGAGTCAGCACACTACCTTGCACTTCTATTCTACAAACATCAATAAAAGCTCTTGCTGATACTAATCAAGATAAAGATAAAGACTATAAGCCAAATCACAAAGAGACATTTCGAAAAGATCTGGTGGAATAATCTCTAAGAATCTTTATGCGGCCAAGACGTAAAGCAGTCAGTGAGTTTCAACTAGGTACTGGACACGATTGCCTCATTAAACATTTTTCTCGAATTCATGTTTCAAAGGCCCCTTTCTGCAGGCCCTGTGACCTTCTGAAAGAGATGGATGTAAACCACCATCCCCGTTGCTCGACACTAAAGGACATCTCTTTGTGCCACCGTTACTGGTGTACAAGGGACTTATTGAGTTTATAGACTCACGTATGTTATGTTTTTCTTCTCTTTATGTTCTCGCTTGTTCTTCTCTTTTTGTCATGTAGAGGTCTTTCTGTGGCCATTGGAAAAACTTCAGTATGGTCTTGACAATCACGTCGAACAAAGCAAAAAGGTTGGCGCAATAACGATAAATGAAAATGAATTGAAATGGTGCTCCATTCCCTCTCCTATGTAAACATGTGTTAAGATAAATGAAATTATTAACTGTTTATTAATAAATTACACCATTCCTAATAGGTGTTCCATGGAACTCAAGGGTTCCACAAATGAGGATACTGATATTTTGAAGCAAGCAATGATTATATTTATATCCAATCAATAATACATAATTCATTTAATAATTTGTTGTTTATATGAACCTATTCATGCAAAATGCCAAGGGAAAAAAAACAGCAAAATTTAAAAAAAAAACATTTTTTTTTTCAATGGCAATATATTGAACAAAGTATAGAAAGGATATGCAATTATAAAAAAAATTCAATAAGTATTTCTCATGTCGATCTGAAAAATTATGTCGATTTGACAACCATTGTTAATGTTTTTAACAGTTTTTTTAAAACCATAATTTCGCTTATTTTATTGACTTTTAGCATATTCCTCCTTCATCAAGAACAAACTCATAATATTAAATATTTCATTCTTCATTTTAAATATCTTCAATGTAATTAGTATTCTTTTTTCAGGGTGGGGGGAAATATATTCACAGCTTAATTAAAACCTTTTTTTATATATAATCCCATGGTTACCATCAAAAGAAGCTTGATCAAAATAGTTCCATAGCCAGTGGCATACCTTGTGCACTTTGCCATGGACTCATTATTTAATAAAGGGTGCCAAATCATTTTTTTTTCATTTTATTTTTCTTTTACTTAATTATTAGTAATTGGAATTACTGTCATGAAAATTTAAATATTTTCTTTCTATTTAGTTTTGGCCATTAAGTAAATTAATTTTAGTATTCCCTAACAAAAAAATTTTTAAATTGACCGTGAAGCAAAAACCCTCAAATGTTTTGCTCCAGAGAAATTTCTATCTTCTCTTCCAACACCCTATGATATAAGTCAAGGTCAAACATTTCCCTCCTAGTTTCGGCAAAACCCTCAAATGTTTTGCTCCAGAGAAATTTCTATCTTCTCTTCCAACACCCTATGATATAAGTCAAGGTCAAACATTTCCCTCCTAGTTTCGGCTACATTTCGTGCATCTCTTATCTCTGACTGATCTGATGATTGTCAGCAGGTATGCTATAGTGTGGTACTGCATTTCCACACTTATAGCATACCTGCCAACATTAGAGAAATAAAATAGCGGAGATTTTACTAACCAACCCAATTTTGAGTTTACAACTACTGATGTTCAACTCCGTAGCCTTGTAATTTTGGACCCAATCCAGAAGACAAGGGAACTCCTGGATCACATATCGGACTGTAACCCATCATCTGGCAACCACTGAGGATATTTCATGTCAGCACTGTCGTCAGTGCAAGCCAGATCGATCAGCCTTCGCTGGGATTCGAACCTGGGTTCACATCATAAAAAGGCACTGTATCCCCTGAGCCATCACGGCTCGACTTAAACAATTAACACTTAATATACTGCAATAATGGCAATAGCACCATCTGCTGAGGAAGTATTTTTGCCATCAGTGGATATTTTATCACCAATTTTTTTATTTCAATTTCTTCAACAAATACAGAGAAATTTGAGAATATACAGGTAAACAGGAGATAGTAGTAAAATACAGGAGACTTTGTCAAAAAACAGGAGACTTGGCAGGTATGCTATAATAAATTGTTGAAAAAGCTCTATCTTTCCAATGCAGATGATCGATTATCTCCCTTCTCCACGCACCACTTCCCAAAGCTGGTTCGATATAAAAGACTAACATCCTCCATCCATTAGCAGAAATTTTATGTTTATTTTTCAGAGCATTCAGCAAAGGAATCTATTATGTTACACTGACGATCTTTTCTATAGAACAGTTTCAGAAATGTTCTGCATATCTTCTAAAGATGCAGTGTAGGAAAGATTTTTTACTTTGCTTGCAAACAAGGAATTCAGCTGGTAACCACTTGATGCAGAGTTATTCAAGCACAGTGCTGAAGACATCTTTGGTGCAGTTGAACTATTATTTATTTTGAATGGTAATGACTAATGAAGGAGATTTAACTTTCAACTGTAAAAGATTTATAAACAACCCGATATTATTAAATGATATAATTAAAATATATAGAATGAATTGGATGGTCCACGTGATTTGAATGAGTGATGAAAACACAATAAAAAAGATATTACTTTTTAGACCCACTGGAACGAGATATCGGGAAAGGCTGCGGTACAGATGGGCTGATTCGGTGGAGACTGATTTTCTCGCAATTAATGAAAAGAATTGGAAATCAAAGATAAATCGGAAGTCGTCACGAAGAAATGTTCAGAGGAAAGCATTGGACTGTCTGGCCAACTATGATGATGATGATGAGGGCAATGACTATTGTACATATGAACGTGAAGGCGGGAAATACAACCGTGCCGAAGCACAGAGTTTACTAAGTAACATTGCAACATCTCTGTAGAAATAAACAAGCTAGCATATCGCCCCTTGACAAACATAAACGATAATATGAACATTTGTAAAAAGGGAAAAGCAGATGACAACACAACATCTGAGTTACTTATACATAATATGGTTGTGTCGCGCACCAATTCATAATATCCCGAACATTGTGGATATCATTAACAGAAAGGAACAATCAAAAGTTTAGCTGTACCCATATTAAATACCTTTAATACCTTTACCTCCTTTAAATAAACATTTAAAGAGCTATACAAAAGGTGACAAGAAAGATTTCCTTTTCTGGTGAGTGAGGAAAAAGCGTAAGAAACAGGAAGATCCGACTTATTGGTCATATGACTTCCAAGAATTTTATGTCAGTACTGAGGGCAGCTATTCATATTTGCATGCAACAGCTTTTATATTTGACACTGTTAATCTGAACAATTTTGGTTTCAAATATAATAGCTTCCTGGGTGAAAATGGTCTTAATAATAAGAAAACATCCTTACTTAACAAGCATTATGAGGGCTGATTCAATGGGAGATAGTATTCTCCTCACAATGTCATCCGTTACAAGCTCTTTACAATGTAGAAGAAAACTAGCCATTGCTGAAAACAACAAAAATAATATTCAAAACATTTCTTGAAATAATTCATATTGTTGATATTTTGACATATGACATAACCATAATTTCCAACATTTAAAAATATAAATGCATAGCTGTCAACAGGGATAGGAAAAAATCCAGTTGATTTTACTAAATATAAATTTCATAGTAATTGTTGCATAATGTACTAAATATAAAAATAGGGAATTTTAGAGATTTTTATAGTCTTCAAAAAAGAAAAACTAATATTTTCCAGTTATGATTGACATTAAACATTTTTGAAACGTTATTTATTATGTTTACTCATAATTTCGAAAATTATTGGCATATAATTCATCAAAGATAGTTAAAAGATGTTTTTAATAAATTTTTTTAAAAAAAAAAGTTCTGAATAAAAATAAATTGAACATTTTAGAACCAAAAAAGTTTTGAACTAATTTCCATAAGTGAGGTTCACTTCATTATGTATTAGCAACACTTATTTAAATATTCTAGCAAGCAATAATGTGTACAAAAATTAGATCTCAATAGGGATTTTTTTAGGATAACTTACTCAATTTTAGGAACTTTTCTAAAATGTACAAAAATCACGAGAATTTTAATTAAACCAGTAGAGCAGGAGAAACTGGCAAAATTCAGTAGAGTTGGCAGCTATGTAAATTAGAGTGGATATAGACTTTAAAATAAACCGTCTTCAAACGAAAAATCTCAATTAAAAAACTTTCTGCACAGTAACTGTCACAACTACTTTCATTCATAGGATTACAACTCTAATCCGGAAAAAAAATTCCCTGTACACATTATATAGAATATATAAAGAGAAAACACATAATCACTGTGCACAAGCTGTATTGGTCTAACTATACCAGTTTTAATTTAGGGAAAAACTTAGAGAAAAAAGGAGTAGCTGAACATACTTAAAACAAATAATGTTATACCAAATGAAATAGGTTGGTATAGCTGAAATATCATCCTTAAATATTTCATATGCTTTGAGTGGTCACCACTTTTTTAAAAGACGAAAATAAGGAACAAAATTCCCTGCATGTAAAGCTTGTAAGGAAAAACTCACAATTCTTAAGACATTTTGTGCGATTTTCAAATTCCCTGTATTTTGCATGTTTTCCCTATTCTGCTTGTGGAGTGGCAACCCGGAACTTTTGTTTCAATACTGATTCAGTAATAATTCCTTCTTCTAAGGAAATAACAAAGATTTGACTTTTAGTACAAGAGTGTCATAATAAAAGAATCCATTCTTTTCTTTTGAACTATCTTCATTAAACCCCTTCTAATTTGAAACATGTCTCAGACATTCATAAGTATAGTCTTCTTATATCTATTTTAGTGAATAAAGCTCTAAATTCAAATGATTTTTTTTTTTTAAATAAATCACGTATTCGTCGAAATTGTATATTCTAAACACACAAGGAAAAAAAAACAGGAATATCAGGGAAGAAATTAGATAAGACTAAGTAATAGGTAAAAAATATGACATGAGTTGGTTTGCCAGAAAAAAAACTTATATGAATACATTTTGACTGCCATTACTGTCCGACATTTTAGAACTTATTAAATAATCGCAACAACAACAAAAAATTACTGAAATCAGCATTCGTTTAAAAAAATTTTTACATCATTATACATTAGAAAAATTCTATTTCAGTTTTCACTGCTCTATATATTTTTTAAGATACAGTATAGGACCCAAAATCAGGCACTCATGGGACTGACAAAATTTCGTATTTCGGAATTTGCCGAATTTCGGATCTCTTCCAGAAATTCTAATATGGGGCCCATATTTTACGATAATTCAGTTACGCTGTTAATTTCAGAAAAACCAATAAATTTAGCTAAGTTTAAATTGTAGATTATGATGGGGTGAATTTAAAACTGTCCCATCTTTAGAAATTTCATTAATTAAAATAATAAATTTCATTAATTAAAATAATCTATATGATATAATCAAGAAGAAATAATCCAAAGAAGAAATAATTCAAGATGAAATAATCCGAATCCTCCGAAAAAGAAATAATCGTTCCTTCTTCGGTGCGAGATCATTGTTCTCGTTTTTTCTTTTACATATCATTCTGTTTTAACTAAAAACGCTCACCTCGCTAAAAAAAAAAGCTAACAAGGAACTACAAAAAAAGTAACAATTAATGCTAGGAAACTAACAATGAATAACTACAAAAAAGAAGCAAAAAACTATTAACGATAAAAAAAACAAGTTAACAAGTAACAAAAAAATAACAGTTAATAACTAATAAAAAAATTAATAAATCGAATTTTAAAAAAGGCAGCAAAAGGGATAGAATTCATTTTGTACACCAAGTGAGAAAGAAGTTTCAATGTCAAAAGGGTGTGGCTAATTTATGGTCAAACAGGAGAGGGAAATGTGAGGACAAACCAGCAAAGCACTTGCACTGCTGTCAAGATTGATTGATCAGTTTCTCCCAAATTGCATTTCGTTATTTTGTTCATTGGAAATGCAGATTTTTTTGCTTTTCAATTTCAACTGCTTTAGGAATAGATGTTTTGCTTGACACAGATTAATTATTTTTTCTCTTCATGTTTTTATTTTTAAAAGATAAAATATAGTTACTTACTTCAAGAGAAAAAAATTCCAAATAAAAAGAAAATTTTAGTGATTTTTTTTCTCTTATCAATAAAAATTTCTTTAAAAAAAATTAGGTCGGATTAAATGCCGAATTTCGGGATGCGGGACTAGGGGTCCTATACTGTATATCAATTTCATCATTGTGCGTAACGGTCAATTCCTATTGAGCAGTCAATCTGTATCCGATTTGCTGCATACAGCTAAATAACTTTGAACTTTCTGGTAAAACTAACCCAAAAGACAATCAAGAAAACCTCCAACAATTATCCTGGAGGCAAAAGTATTCATGTCAAGATTGTGATCAGTGTGAACCAGTAGTAATATCGGACTGAGCTTTGGTGAGAACTAGTCGGCATTTTGCATTGCACGGGGAGTTTAGCCTGGCAGCAAGAAAATTCTAACCATAATCAGTCTATCACTGAGGACATTTTATACCAGTATTGGTGGAAATGGAAAAGAACACGAAAAAGAAAACCATGAAAACATCCCCCCTGTAAGCGCATCGGAAAGCTGATTTGAACTAATGCTCCATCTACTACGGGGTGCCTAACCAAATCTTTCAACAAAAAATAAGCACCTTTTAAGTACTTTCTATGCACTCAAAAATATTTTGAAGCTCTATATATTGTACATTAACAAAATGCAAACTAATTTTCAAAGACTTAACATGATCATGATAAAATAACTAGTTTCTGACAAAGAAATCTTTTCTTGATTATATTTGCCATTATATAAAGATCAAGATATTTTTCTGTGGGGGATGAAGGATTAAAATAGAGAATATCTTGCAAAATGCAGCAAAGTTCTCACCAAACTTGCAAGCATCAAACATGTTAAATGATTAGCGCTTTTATACGCTATGGGCCAACAGTATGCTGAAAATAGATTGTTGTTGAATGAATTGTAAAAACTTTCATTTCGCTTTATACGCGGCGAAAATCGCCATGGTAAAAATAAAAATATCATTTTCGAGAGAAAATTAAGCACTTTATAAAAACACCCAAAGAAAAAAACACCTTTAAGGTCTTTTAAGAAACGAAAATCAAAAATAAGCCCCTTTAAGCACTTTCTAAAAAAGCTACACACCATGTACTACTGAGGATATTTCCCATTAGCACAGTGGTCAATATGAGTCAGGAGCAGAATTTATATTGACCAGCCGTAACTGGAAGTCAAACCTGGGTCACCAAGTTAGGACATAGACACTCTGTAAACTGAGTTATTCTTGACCGCTACTAACTTCTTTTTTTAAAAAAGTGATAAAAACAGAGATTACTTTAAACCCTACCTGCAGAAAAAAGAAAAGAAGTAGTATAGAAAAGACATACTGGCCAATGCTCCAGCGCGACCCTCCAGTGTGACTTGCCAAGTGAAAGCGTCTCCCCTGTGCCTCTCCTGCTCGAGCTCTTTGTTGGATCTCGGAAAAGAATTCTTCCACAGCAGCATCATTCTGGGTAAGAGACCTCTCACAACAGGTGCACCTACAATATATTCATTGGATACAAAAAAACATTATGGGAGTCATTCATATTTCCTTTAAAAAATATACAGTTTACGCTCATTACAGTGATCCTTACGTTAGAATAACTGATGTATGAAAGTCTCATGTCACAGTGTCTTGCGACATTTTGTTTTTTGTCATTTATTTTACAAAATTAAATTTCACTTAATCTGGCCATTCATTTATTCAGGTAATTTTTTTGGGGGCGGAGGGAGGAATGAATTGTTTCAATCACTGCTCTTTCGTTCACCCTGTCTGTGAATAAATAAGTAAGAAATTTGCTCCAATGTTTAAAGTGCCTTTTCTTTTACAAAGAGAAACCTTTGTGTAAATAAAGGCTGCTGCTCTCTCCCCAAAATTCTAAACATCTAAGGTCTAAATAAAGATCTAAGGGTAAAGATCTAAAGTCTAAGAAGAGTGTGAACTGTCCCCCCTCGCTTTATTTTTTGTTTATTCGCTTTCTACACTATTCCAGCTCATGCATATCAAGGTGTGCTGCATACGGTCAGTCATAAGCAAGAGTACATTTTTCATTACCATATTTGGTGATCTGATCCCGATTGCCCAAGTTTGATTTTTGTTAATGAAAACGAGTCGTTCGTCACGACAAGTCGGTCTGAATCGGGAGCTGTCGATGTAAAGGTTCGTCTTTTTTCCTCCTCACATGATGCCTTGATTTTATTTGTCTTTTCGACATACAGATGCTTTGATATTCTCATGATCGAAACGAATCTCCCAATCCATTCTAACGAAATATGAAAAGTTGATTCAGAAAAAGTTTCAAAGAAATTAACATGCACAATACATGCAAAACACCTTGAATACCTTTTAAATGAATGACACATCACCATAGATTCTTTTCCTCACAATTTAAGATCAAAAAGTTTTCGAGAAATATACACATTGTAAATCTTCTAAAGAATAAGTCGCTGTGTGATGCAAATATCAGCAAGCACTTATTAATAATCTCTCACTTTATTTCTTAAAAGGGCCCAATTTTACTTCCCTTGTTTGAAAATTGTATTTACTCTTTTAGTGAGAGGTTAATCCCCTTCTGTGGTTTGTTTTCAAGTTAAAACATGTGATCTTCACAGTTATCTTGATGTAAGTAATTCTTCAAAAAAAAAAAAAAAAAAAAAAAAAAANAAAAAAAAAAAAAAACACCCAAACAAGCATATTATTTTAAATGCATTTTTCACCAATGAAGCATTATGTTAAAGGGTGCTTTTAGGTTACAATTTTCCAAATTCTTATTAGAGTTAAGTTTGTTAAAATTAGTCAAGTACTTTTGAGTTCCCATGCAGGTATTTTTATGCATTCGAGATATAACCTGACACATTATAGCAACTGTTTTTTTTTTTTTGTTTTTTTGCCAAGACCACAAGGGTCATTTTATCAAGGGTCAAGCCTATTTTTAATTTGTTGATTTTGTGTTAGTAGTCATATTTTTTTTATTGTTTTTTAAGTATCTTTATAGCCCAAAGATTGTTTCAAAAGAGAGTTTTTTTCACATAGATATCACAATGGAACCAACTTTAAAATATGCATAAACAAAAATGCTTTTATCTAGTTATATCTATTTTATATCATTTTAGTCAGCATTTTTTTGTAAAACCTAAAGAATTACTATTTTTATGATACATTACTATTTTTATGATTAAAAAAATGTGTTTTTGATCCATGTTTTAAATATATTTGAAATAAGTGCAATAAAAAATAGTAATACCAATGCATTAAAAGTGTGAGTTTAATAGCAGGGGCAGAAATATAATGAAGAAAATTTAACCCCAATAAACCATTAAGAAAAAAATGCATGCATTTATTTGATTTTTTGAAAAATTAAACAAAATAAGTTTAACTAAAACAATATTTTAATTTTAAGTGAATTAATTATAAAAGGGTAAATTACTAATTGTAAAAACTAATTGTAAATTAAACAATATAAATCAAATAGTCTTCATCATATTTTAATAAACAGGTATAATTTTATATATTTACTAAAAAAGCATTACATTGAATATTAAAAATGAGGAAAAAAAAGTCATTAAAGTAAATTAGATGAAAAATTACAGAGAATTTACATTTGAAATTGTTATAAATTTATATGCAAAATTATCAAACCCAAGATTTTGTAGCAGAAACAACAAATGAAAAACCCGATCAGCTACTGACACTTGATTTATAGTGTCACTAATACCACCAATTTCTATCTTGTGATGGCCCGGGTAAGATTTTAGTAACCACCCTAAATAATAATACAAGATTTGTACCTAAGGTCATGACAGAGCCAATCATCAGCCAGCCGGCTTGCGTGCGTTGCAAAGAAAGACGACTATTTTGAGAGGCACTTCTAAGTAAGTCTTCTGCTATATTAAATATCACCTACAAAAAATAAACAAAAATTATGAATAGCTAGGATAAACTAAATTTGCCCATAAAAATTTTTGAAAGAATGTTTCATATAAACTTTTTTTTAAAAATATATATATATATATAAATTTGTATTTATAAATTTAATAAAAAATAGACAAAAAGTTCAAATAAATATATAATTAATGAATAAAATATAAATACATACTTGATAACATGATGATTAATCAAAAATATCAAATATACACTGGATTATCATATAGGTTTTTGACATTCTTAAAATTGAAAGATTAGTTGTTGTTCAAAGGCAATTTTTTATACCTTGAAAAATATTGATGCTTGCTTATTGGAGGACATTTAAAATTAAAATAAAGAATCAAAGTAAAATTTACACTAATTTATAAAAGAAAAAACATTCCGTAAACAAAATGTTCTTAAAATTGAAATACCTTTCAAAATTCATTAAAAAAATTATTGAAAAAAGAAAAGAAAAATGATTAATGGCTCAAAACGGAAAGAAAAAAAATGTAAACAAACAACAACAAATTAAGAAAGAGCTGCTAAAGTAATGACTAGCTTATATGAAAATTCACAACCAAAATTGAGAGGAAATGTTGCTAATTTGATTAATTATTTAGTGATCACAAGGAATCCACATAACTTCTGTTAACATAAAATCTAATTTGTCGAAAGAAATTTAAAATTTGCTGTATATACTGTATTCGTTCAATTGAGCTTTTACTGTACCGTAAAAAATGTTCTACACTCAACTGTTAAAAAAAAACTTTTTTTTAGAAAATATGGGGACTGGTCAAAAAAGAAAAAAAAATGACCTCACATAGCTTTGTTGAAATGTATTATTTTTTCCTTCCTTTTGTATGTCTTATTATCTTATAAAGAGATTACTTGATTTTTTAAGGACAAGCAAATACACAATTTTAATTCTAATTCTTTTTCGAATATTCATTGTATCAATTACCAATAATATTTTTTCTCTATCATATTTTTTTCTTTCTTGCAGTCCTTATTTTTTTGCGGAGCATAATTAGCGGAGTAAGTTGTTGGAGTATGTTGGAGCAAGTATGTTGGAGCATAAAATGTATGCATAAATGCATACATTTTATGCTCCAACATTCATAAATACATTACATAAAATATATGTATGTACAGTGCGCCAAATAAAAAACAGGCCATCCTTAATTACTTTTGATCTAATGATTGGATCTTCACGTTCTATCGGATCTTCACATTTTCGTACTCAATCTTAATGGTATGAGGGGGTGACCTCAAATAGGCTAATTTATTAGTGCAAGCGATATTCTAAGTTACAAAATCAGGCACAAAAACGCACTTTTTCTGAATAAATGTACTTTTTTTATGAATTTGGGTTTCTGATCCTCAAAACATAGGGCATAGCTGCAATCTGGGAAAAATGGTCCCAATAGTTTGGTCAGGAGAGCGAGTCAAAGCTTGGACCTCTTAATATTAATTTTACTTTTTACATATTTCCCCATTTCCCGAAAAAATTTCAAGAAAATTTAAAAATTTTGCACACTATTACCAAATTTGATTATCCAGAGATAATTTCATACAAAATATAACTTTTAGTATATATGTATTATTTTTTATCATTTTATTTAATAATAGTCAAAAAAAGTATTGAATTATAAGGTATACAATTTTTAGCAATTTTCAATAGCAAAATACAAAATATGAGTGAAATCGGTAAAATAGTTTCTCATAAATCGAATTTTGAAAAAGTTGTATTTTTAAAATTCGATTTCTCCGGAACTATTTTTACCGATTTTGCTCAAATTTAGTATTTTGCCATGTAAAAATACATTCTTTAACGTTATGTAAAAAATTGTATACCTTACAATCCAAACTTTTTCAACCATTCTTAAATAAAATAAAAAGTAATAAATATTTACTGAAAGTTATTTTTTGCATGAAATTATCTTTAGATAAACAATTTTTACAATTAAATCCAAAAAATTTGAATTCGCTTCAAAGTTCTCGAGATATGGCGAAATACGCAAAAAGTAAAATTAACATTAGGTGAACCAAACTTTGAACAGCTTTCCTAACCAAACTATTGGGATCATATTCCCAGATTGTGGCTACATCCTACATTTTGGGGGTCAAAAATCCAAATCCATCTAAAATAAAGTATGTTTAGTCAAAGAAAGTATATTTCTGTGTTCAAATTTGTAACTTAAAATATCATCTGCACACATTGAATAACATATTTGAGGTCACCCCTCTGAACTTTTAACATTGAGTTCCAGAACGTGAAGATCTCATCATTAGATCAAAAGTTATTTCAGGGTGGTCTGTTTCTGATTTTGTGCACTGTACATACACATATGTAAGCATTGTATGCACAATCAATATGTGTTTATACTGTAGATGGAAAGTCACACATTCAAAACTGTGGAGACTTCGACACGTCTAGAAAATAATAGGTCTAATTATAATGAATAATAGGTCTTTAACGTAGCAAACTTCAAAACATGCATTATTCAATAATAAAAAAATAATGAATGAACAATAATGATAATTAACGTCAATTTCCTACAATGTTTTCCCACAAGTTGAATGGCATTTAACAAACTAAATGTTTAGAGCAATAAAATATATTTATAAAAAATAAATAAATAAAAGTGAGCAAACAATAATTTTATGAATAAAAATAGATTCTTTTTTTTTTACTCGTGACGCTGCACTAATAATCAAGATTAAAAATTGAAACACTCAAAACTTTTAAAAGTAAATAATTAATCCAATTTAATACAAGAGAAAAATCTAAAACAAACAGTAGAATCTAATAGATTTTTTAACAAAAACATCAAAAATTTAAAGTGAAACAACAAATCTTGTCCGCTGATGTTCTTTTCAAACATTATTAACTTACAGTTTTATGTACATTCATAGTTTATTCTTGTCCATAAGTTTTTTTTCTTTCTTTAACTGCTCTGGTCTTTTTATCAAATCTTTTAGTGTGCTTATTGAGACAGAATAAATGTTTATCTATTAGACTAACAGTAACAAGAAATTTTAAAAATTGTTCCTAATACATTTGTTAAATAATTGCAATCATTTTTTTCTTTTATAAAATAAAAACGTTTTGCTTATTTTGATTGATAAAAATTGTGTGGAAATGAGACGCTTCCAATAAACAAAGACTAAATATAAAAATACTCACCTTCCCCCTATTGTGGGGAATTCCGAGGGGTGTTCTCTGAGAAGCCCCCAGCAGAGCACTTATTGCAGCAGAATAGCCAGCAATGGCCTCTGGTGATGATTTGAAGTGGTCAAGCTTTTCGCAACAACGCTCTAGGAGAGGGGTCAACTGAGAGGGTACAGCAGAAGATATAAGCCTCAGGCACCAAGCGGCAGACAATCTGGCAGCTGAACTAGAATGCACCAGTATGGAGAAAACTGAATCTATCACAGCTACAAAAGGAGAAACTCTTTTTTACAAACTTTATATAATCATGATAAAATAACTGGTTTCTGATAAACATTGCAGAGAAAATTGTGAAACATCACACATTTTTTGCAATTTAGAATGACAATCGATATGGAAACAAAAAAATCTCTTTTTAAAAAGATAGAAAACAAACCCCGAATAAAAAAAAAAGCACCTTTAACCCCTTCCTTCTCGCTCCCTTGAAATTTCTGGGATGGAGAGTCCAGTAGTAACGCGCGAATAAGAATAAAACTTATTCATTTCTTTTGCCCACAAAACATTTTATTTCTCATTTTACACACCAAATGGCAGTACCAGGATATTTTTAAGGTAATTGTAAATAGTTACTGTATTTTAAACTAGATGTCAGCACTAATCAAATATGTGCATTTGGCAAAATAGACACTTTTGTGACTGTTTTCCTGAAAATTAACCGATCGTTAAGGGGTTAAGGGCTTTCAAAAAATGTAAATCTAAAACTAAGCACTTTTTTAAAAAGTGGTATGCACTCTGGAAAAAGGTAGTATCTTATTATGAATAAAGAACGGAAAACTCACAGAGGGAAGGATCACAAACAAGAGACACCGCTGTCGTGTCCAGAACATTAATTAAAGATCCCAGTTGATGAAGAGCACATACAATCACATGTTGGCTCAGGGCAGACTCCTGTTGACTCTCCTTGCTCACACTTTCTGATGAACTAGAGTCTGAAAATATATATAGCCCAATCAATCAGCTCTAAGCACTCTTCAAAACAATAATATAGCTAAAATATCGAGCTCAAATGTGATTAAACAAAAGAATACTCCTATAAATTGCAATTAAATTTCATTATGTATAAACAAGTAATATAAAAAAATAACATTTGAAGTCAATTCCTACTTAAGTCAACAAAAAAAATTTTTTAGTTATTTGTTTTTAAAATAATTACAATTTTTTCTCTCATGTAAAACTAAAATTAATTCATTAAACTTAATGAATGAATTAAAATTTGAAAAAAACTGTATTTGAACTTGAATGGACAAAGTATTTTATTAAGGATTTGAACAAGATATATAAATATATAGTACATAGGGAGAGTGCGACACTAATCGTAGGAATTGAAAAAAAAAGTATCAGAGAACTACAAAAGTATAAATTGGGTGATGTGGACCAGACATGCTACCACGTAATATTCTTTATTGAATTCATCTGTCTCAGTGACTATAAAATAATTCAATTTTTAACTGTGCGCAATAAACTATTTTTTGTAATTAGCATTTTTTTGTTATTACTAGCAGTTTTGTCATTAACCTATTTAGCTAACAACGAAACAATTATTATACATAATTATTATACATTTAAAATTATTTCATAATTTTTTAAAGAGTTCATTTTAGTTAAAGAAGTATTTTTTTTTTTAAATATCTATACATTGAAATATATTTAACAGATTTTCCAGCATTAAGGAATGAAAATTAAAATTCATGTCAGACAGGATAAAACCAGCGTTCTCTCAGCTACGTGTTAGATGCCTTGACCATTTGACCGCTGACATTCTTTCTATTTGATTATTTTTTCAATCTTAATNCGCTATTCCGGATAACTGATTTTTCCGGTTTTCTGAATCGCTACAAAAAGCCGTTTTTTTATTGTTAAACACAACTAAAAAAAACTTTTTTTTTTGGAAATAATCTTAAAAAGAAGAAAAAACGATGGAGCAATACACTAATGATTATTTCCAAAATGATGGTAAGGTAAACATCTTTCAAAAAAGAACGAAAAATCCTAAAATTTTATAAGGAAAAAAAAAAAAATTTTTATAATGGTGGGAAAATTTATCGAATTTCGTTCCGGTTTTTGGTTTTCCGGTTTTCTGATTTCCGGATAACGGGTTCTGTACTGTACATAGGGAGAGTGCGACACTAATCGTAGGAATTGAAAAAAAAAGTATGAGACAACTATAAAAGTATAAATTGGGTGATGTGGACCAGACGGGCTACCACGTAATATTCTTTATTGAATATATCTGCCTCAGTGACTATAAAATAATTAAATATTTAATTGTGCGCAATAAACTATTTTTTTGTAATTAGCAATTTTTTGTTATTTTTTTTTGTTAGCCTATTTAGCTTACAACGAAACAATAATTATTATACATAATTATTATACATTTAAAATTATTTCATAATTTTTTAAAGAGTTAATTTTAGTTAAAGAAGTATTTTTTTTTAAAATATCTATACATTGAAATATATTTAACAGATTTTCCAGCATTTAGGAATGAAAATTAAAATTCATGTCAGACAGGATAAAACCAGCGTTCTCTCAGCTACGTGTTAGATGCCTTGACCATTTGACTGCTGACATTCTTTCTATTTGATTATTTTTTCAATCTTAATATTAAATAGTCTAAAACTTTGATCACAATGGCTGAACATTTTTACTCTGTTCTATGTTCACATTTTAATTTGAGCTTTCAATAAGAATTTTACTTCCCTTGCAAGTTGACCATAAAAGCAATACAAGGGTGACTATGAGCTCAAAAATCCTGAAAATTTCTTTCAGTGAAATCATTAATGTTGCACTTCAAAAAAATTAATGTCTTTAAAAATTCAAATTTTGGATATTTTCAAAACATGAAATTGAAAATAAATTATATGCAGCATAATTTAAATGGATAATTATGCATAACTTTACTTTTATGTCTAATCACATTTATTATTATACCAGAAAAAATATTTACAAATAAAAGAGCTGGCAAGTATAAATTCTATTTCCAATATTTCTAAGAAAAATATACAAAAATCTTTATACATAAATGTGATCGATGATTTCTTGTAATTTCTGGACCTCGGGTATCCGAAAACTTCTGGATCGCGGTTAGAAAAAAATAGGGATTTTTTCCGGAGCACAATCATCTCTGGCAATGCACCAAAAGTGGCCAACCTAGTCAAGTTTCACTGTTATAATCAGGGTATCTGCTACATTTTAGTTTTCAAATCCATGACTATTCATGACTTTCCATGAATAATTCCAAGAACTATTTACGACTTTCCATGAATAATTCCAAGAAATTTTCATTTGTTACTGAAGTAACTATTTTCTCCGACAAAAACAAGAAAAAATTTATAAAGGCATTATAATAACATTCATTGAAATGATAGGTATAAGCGAAACTGCTATACTTTGCATCTTTATATTTATAGATTTTAAATTTAAAAAACAGTAAAGAAAGAGTTGAAGCAATAAAATTGCTAAAAAAAAATACAAAAGCAAATAACTAAATACAGTCAGATATATGCAGTTATTTAAACCAGTTTTATTTCTTCTTAAAAGTAAGTAATATAAAAAGCCCAAACTAGAATTTTAAATTGATAAAATAAAAATAATAAATGTTAAATAGATAAAAAAATTCTGAAATCAGGGAAGTTTAAAAGATTATAAGCTCCAGAAATGATGTTCCTTCTTTCAATTTTTGAAAGAACATCATAATTTTTAAGAACATGATAAAAACATTTTATATTTTAATAAAATATGAGTATGAGTGCAGATTTTGTTACAAATTCAGATATTCAGAGCATTGGAACACCTTGAAATTGGATGGGGGGAGGTGTAAATTCCATTTTAAAACTTAGATTTTTTGGCAACCTAAATCCATGACTTTCCATGATTTTTTTTTAAAAAAATAGTTAAAATCATGACATTTCATGACAAATTTCTTTCAATACCGAAATCCATGACTTCCCATGATTTTCCATGACTTTCTAGGTGCGCTGATACCCTGTATAATTTAAAAATTAAAAAAGCTTAGTTAAAATGATATTTTTTCTACAAACCTTCACTTGCATATTTTAAGACCATTCGTACTAATTCCTTACAAGCAGAGGCTTGAGCCTTTTCGCACAACATTCTACCGAGAACAGACTGCAGGACAAAGTTGACGCACTTCCTGCTGTAAACAGCATCCACGTGAGTCGGAATAGCCTTCGGGTTGGTCACAAGTTCTAGCAAGTGCGTTAACATCACATTCAAATTATTCTCGAGCCACACTCCACCAAGCTTTTGTATAAATACAACGTAAGCCTGGTAAGTAAACAGAATACATATAAATTTAAAATAGTGACCACAATAACAAATATAGTCTGAAGGAAAAACAGGGCCACTTTAGGTCGCCTAAAGCACTTTAACACTAAACATATCATAACCGGCCAAATGACCGTTTAAGAACTTTCTCATCAAAATTGCGCTTATCATCTTATCGTTTTCGCACATTTAACTTCATGGCTTTTTCTAACAATTATATACAGTTAATATTCTATTACCATAATTATTTTTTGTTTGTTTCGAATAATGCTTGTTGTATACCTATTTCTACCACAATAGGTCATTTTACCAGGAGAACAATTTATTGCTTTATGAGGTTATCGGATCAAAAATTACGATGTAATGCGTGTTCAACTCATTGCACATTTCTGCAAGGACTGTTGTGTAGTTGGTTCAATCAGAATAACTGCGAATTCAAATTTCAAGAATATACCTAAAATTTTAGACTGGCATTTTTGTGTCAGAAAAAGTGGCAAAAACTAAATGTATTAGTAAGTAGCTTATATTTTATTTTGATAGCTCTACTTCATTTCTAACTAACTGTTAGGTTTTACCCAGAAAAATGTCAAAACAATCCAGACAGCACAAGTTCTTAGAAGAAATAATTTTAATTATAAGAATAATTATAAGAATTATAATTCTTATATATTCTTATAACTGTACAGAAATCTATCCAGGCCAAATTTTCTACCATTTAGCGGTACCTTCACAAATTCAACTTTAGGAAAAATGGTAGTTTCACGAAATACTTTATCTTAAAATTTTATTTTTACATCGGGTAAGAAACGATAAATTCATATTTTTGTGTTGATTTTTTAATATAATTTATAATTTTCACAAATTATGTCTAAATTTTCACAGAAAAAACTAGACAGACCCCTGCTATAAGAATTATAAAAATAGTAATATTGAGAAGAAATATGTTTGCTGAAAAAGTACAATGGAAACACTCTGTATATGTAAAAAATGCTTTGAGCAATGAATTAAAAATTCTTATTCTTTGTGTTTCTAATACATGAAAGTTGGCAATATACAATTTTGTTTAATTACAAAAAAGTTTTTGTTTATTTCCATCCTAACATCCATATTTCATGCATTCAATCAAGAAACATAAAATCCGGTCATCTGAAATAAGTATAAATTAAGTATTGGTATGTTTAGTGTTAAGTTCTCCGCATCTAGGAACGTCAAGCAGAAATGTACCAGAAGAATTAAAAAGCTGATTTTAAATTACTTAACTAGGATTAATACCCTATTGAATATGGTCTGGTTTTGAATACTTGGATAAAGGAATAGACTAACGAAGGTACCTTTGAATATATGCCAAATATGTTTCCTAAAAATACTGGTTGGCTTTTTACATCAAAATCTCAGTATTGCAGATAATCATTTTGTTTAAAAAAAAGAACTTATTAGGTTGCAAACCACATCCCAGTCCGTGCATATTCAAAGTAACCAGTAAATTTCAGGAATACAATTTCAAATAAATACCTGCATTAGCTCATTCAAACTCTGTGGCATGAAATGAGACAAACGAACATTTATTGGCATCTACAATAACGAGTCGTTGAAGAACAACAAGTAAAAATACAGTACAGAACCCGTTATCCGGAAATCAGAAAACCGGAAAACCAGAAAACCGGAACGAAATTCGATAAATCTTCCCGCCATTTTTGGAAATTTCCTTTTTTTTCCTCATGAGATTTTAGGATTTTTCTTTCTTTTTTGAAAGATGTTCACCTTACCATCATTTTGGAAATAATCATTAGTGTATTACTTCATCGTTTTTTCTTCTTTTTAAGATTATTTCCAATTTTTTTTTTTTTTTAGTTGGGTTAACACTAAAAAAACGGCTTTTTGAAGCGATTCCAAAAACCGGAAAAATCAGTTATCCGGAATAGCGATGGTCCCGATCGTTCCGGATAATCGGTTCCCTACTGTACCAACAATTAATGGAATTCATTTAAAAAGCAGAACATAAAACATATTCAGAGGTAAGTTATGTCCGCGGTAGTAATCACATTATTATCATACTCAAGACCAGACGAGCCACATTAGGGTATTAATCCTAGTTCTAAGTCAAGCTTCCATTCCAGCACTCCAATCTCCCAGTATTTCAGCTAGCTTTTTCTGGATGCAAAATAGGAAACTGTAAGGAAAACTGGGGAAAAAACAGAGCACCCAATAGGACAAGAGAATGAAAGATAGAATTCGGTGAACGGATACCACTAGTAGAGTCATTGCTGATTTGCGAAAAACTGGGACAGCTGTATTAAGCGCACTGCACTTTTGAGTGCTGATCGTTAGAGCTGTATTAAGTTCATGGTCCTGGTCGCTCTAGTGTTGCCTTAAGCAGTCGATTGAATATGCTGTATGTTATGTGTGATTGAGACTGAGTAGCAACAGAGCGAGGAGGTGGATAATGTCACAAGTAGCAGGTAAGCTTTTCAACAGCAAATCGAAATAGGAGTTTCTGTTAAGGTACGCATGTTCATATCGAAGTGGGAGTTTCTGCAAAGGTATGCATGTTCACATCACTTCCGAAGGACACCAATGTGGTGAGATTAGTTATCGACCATGTCAACCTTTATCTATGGAAAGGTACCCCGACATAGAATTGAGTTAACATGTCTTATATAATAGTGCATTGGAATTTTGTAGTGGTAGAAACACTACAGATTGGTCAGAGCCATCAGTTAGAAAATAATAAGCATTTCTCACAAAATTAGTATTTCAAGCTGTTATTAAAATTGATGAACCACCGCTTTGGCAAGTAAAATTAAATTTAATAGCATTTTGGCAAATGCTTATGAAGCCGGGATAGCCTGGTTGGAAGGGCACTGGGCACATGTTCAATAGGTCGTGGGTTCGATCTCCGCTAGCCAAAGACTTCTTGTGTAGTTAATGGTGACTGATGCACAGTAAATCGGTCGAGTCACAAAGTCCTCCATATTGCCATAACAAATCATATCTCTGGGAATACTGATCCAGGAGTTCCCTTGTCTTCTGGATTGGTTCAAAATTTCAAGACTGGGGAGTTGAACATTAGTAGTCGTAAACCCAAAATTGGAGCGCCTGTTCAATGACTGATATAAAATAAAATATCTCAGGATAGAGCGTTTGACTTCCAATGTGGTGGACTGGGTTCGAATCCCAGGGATGGCTGGTCAATACGAAATCCGCATCTCGCTTGCACCAACCACAGTTTTGACCTAAAGTATCCTTAGTGGTAGACGGATCATGGGTCCCTTTGAAATTTGGCTAAGTGTGGGAGGTTTTCCTCTCCATGTAACGCAAATGAAAATTAGATCCATAAAAAAGACCTCCGCGAAGGCAAATTTCCCAATACTTGATCCAGGAGTTGCCTTGTCTTCTGGATTGGGTCCAAAATTACAAGGCTACGGAGTTGAACATTAGTAGTTGTAAAATAAAAAATTTGGTTGGCTGTTTGATGTAGTTATAAAATCAAATGAAATTACTGGTATTTGTTTAAGAAACATATTAACTATTTTTAATGTATAACTAAAAATAGTATAACTAACTTTTTAGCTTTACTTGTTTTAGTTTAATTCAATTCAGAGTAAAAATCAATATCTTATCACCCTAGATATCCAGTGATAAATGCATAGATGAGTATAAGCCAAAAATACTATTTCCTATTCATAAAAACCCTTGGAACTTTATTAAATTGAAATAAACTAAAACAAGTAAAGCTAATACTATAACTAAACTTTTAGCTTTACTTGTCCTAGTTTAATTCAATTCAGAGTAAAAATCAATATCTTATAACCCTAGATATCCAGTGATAAATGCATAGATGAGTATAAGCCAAAAATACTATTTCCTATCAATAAAAACTCTTGGAACTTATGAACTATTAGTTCTTTTCACACGTTCTTTGTTTCATCAATTCAGAATAAGAATTGTTGTTTCGTCCCACCCAAAAAATGAGCACACGAATGAGTCCACTCGCCGCCGCAACAGTCCCTCAGAGGAGAGCACAGTCCGAAACCACGGCACCCGGCCGACCAACCATCGGCCGGAGCCCCGCCCATAGCGCTTATTAAAATCATTTTACAATTAGTATTTCTTGGCAACAGCCCAGAGTTGAACAAAAATAGAAATAAAACAGTACATGTTGGCCTTCAGCAATGTCTATCTTATTGAAGCGTTACTTTATGGTGGAAGAATTGAGTGACATTAAAATTCACCAAGTCGTACAGTTGACAAACATAAGTAATGGGGTAATCATCAGAATTCATGTGTAAGAATAATACATAAAAGCAAGCAATAGCTACAAAAATTGTGGTAAAATTAAGATCATTAACACATCTGCAGATGATCTGTTTCTTTTATCGATAGTATCTTCAACTGCATCCTTGGTTCTATCCATCTATTTCTTGATATTATCTTGTTGGTGTTCTAAACTGCGATGGTCGAGTCTTGTTTACTTCTTAAGGTTCATCAATTCATCTACTGTGTCGGTTACCTCTTTCTTGTCGGCGATTTACCAGTGATTTTTTGGACAACAGCAGTCATTCTGTTCATGAGGTTCACAGCAGGCGTGAAAAAGTGAGTAATCATTATACCTTTGCAGTCAATAGGGTCGTTGTTTGTTCAATTCACGGTCGCTCTCAGTGTAGTGATGGGTGGGTGATCCAGATCATATTTCGATTCCAAAGCCACGATTTTGAAAGGTAAAATGTGGTTAAGTGTGGTGCATAAGCAAGATACAACAAGATTAATAAATAGTAAAAACTGGGTTTAAACTAATCTAAAACATTGTAAAATTTAAAAGTAAGCAAGTTAAAATGCAAAGTTTGCCAGAAAGGGCAATAAATAGGTTAAAATATTGAAAACAATAGTTAAGAAACTTTAAAATGACAAGTCATAACTAATCTAAAACTTAGTAAACAAACAGTAGGTAAACAGAATAAAAAATTTAAGGTATAATATGATATGATCAAATAGCAATCAAACAGGAAAATATCAATCTCAAATTAAAAATAGAAGGGATTTAGCAGAAAATACCTAACACAGTAAAGCCAAGGTCAACTTCGCTCAAACCTCCACTCATTAGATGAACAGTCAAAGTGACTTTTCTTTAGTACATGAGTTGACAGAGTGATCTAATGCTATAATTGTCAGGAATAAGTCACTCATTAAGCTGACAAAGAACTTATATAGGTCGCGGTTATCGACGGTATTGTCGCACTTCAACTCACCTTCTTCAACACTAACACCCATGAACCAGTAAAAGGCTTCGGCTTTAGTCCCGACTGTTCCGGCGGAACACAATAGGCGATCCTATGGTGTTCACAGGTAATTGTGGAAATGTGGAGCTCAGGTGCTGGAAGGCACTCACTCTTTGACAGTACTCCAGGCGAACTAGCGATGCAAACTAGGCAGCGACGAGAATTGCTCAAATATTAAACATGTTCGCATGTGGTGCTGTCAGTGTAGTCACGTGACACCTACACATAAAGTAAATAGATCAATGTAAACACCTAATGATCAGCAGTCATCAAATTGATCAATGATGTATGTTGAGATTGTTAATTGTTGTTTATCAACATTGGTCAGGTGACTCAATCTAAGCACTTGTAGGAAGCAATCAGGCAGTTTGGTGAATGATCGTTAACAAGAGTGATGAGTTAGAGTGGAAGCACGATTGTTAGCCAACTGATGTTCTAGTAAAGTAGTCAATAGTGTACAGGATGCTATGAATCTCCCAACACCAAGAAAGGCATCTCAAAGAGGACGCCAAAGCAAAATGGACACTCTATTTTCAGCAATAGAAGGATCAGTCACAACAAGGAAGTCTAATTCAGATTAGCACTAAGAGAAGGTGACGTCAATGTTACGTCAGAGTCCAGAGTAGCAAACAGTTAACGAGCACGTATCACTTGATTAACACAATTGGATTAGTCAATTGTAATCACTCACCAAAGAATGATCAAAATAATATACACACTGCAGCACAATTTCCAGTATTTACACAGGGAATCACGATGCTGTCTGTGGAGCCAAGGAAGAAGCAGTAGAGTAATTTCTGGCGGCCACACCACCATACAGGCCGCACCCACGAAAAACATCGCTAAAAATTTCAACTTTCTTCTTATAGGCTTCACATTCGTTTTTTTCGATCGACCATCGATTGTTAACAAATATCACAAGCGTGAAAATACACTTAAAAATTTATAATCTTTAAAATATAAACTCTATACTTAGAAAACAGTTATTGATAAATCTGTTTTCTTATGTATACTCTTTATAAAAAGAAAGAATTTAGAATGATACTTACTTGCAGAAGAAATATGTATAACCAATCAAAATCATAAGTAGAGGACGTGCATACGATAAAAAAATAAACTAATCACAACATAAAAATAAATCAGCATTTATTTATTTACTTTTCAAATATTTCAGATCATATATTTATTTAAAACCATCGAAATCGGATTCCTCATTGTCAGAACAAAACAAACATTGTAAATCATCATCTAGTTCATTTTCTATGTCACCTTCATCCACATCAAGGAAGGAACATCTTTCAAGCAAAACTTCAGTCCAGCATTCTTACATCTGGATGTTATCGTGGTTGCCTCAACCTTTCCCCAGGTGTTTGATACCAACTTCTTCACAACTTGCAGGGCGCATTTTTCCGCTTTCAGTGTACGCATGCAGCCTATCACTCATCCATTTTCCCCACTGACTACAAATTTCCACCTTAAACGAATGATTTAGCCCTAAATCAAGGGGTTGTAATTTTTTTGTCAGCGGGAATTATGACGAGCGATGTGCATACTTTCCTACACTTGTTTTTCACAGACTCTAGAGGGTGAGAAGTCATTGAGTTCATTGAAAGCAAACCTTTACTTTGAAAAAAAGCACCAGGCCACCTTCTCCACACCAAATCCAACGAACAATCTATCATTATTTGTTCACACACCCAACCTTTTTTGTTTGCGTTCACAATTACATTGGTGGAGAAATTGCCTTTTGGTCATTTTTTCCGCTTAAAAATAATCATCGGACTTTGTTTTTTTCTATCTGCTGTACAGGCTAATACGCAAGTAAACAATGTTTTCTCATTCCCAGTAGTAATTATCGGAACACTCTTTGTTCCTGTTTTATCAACAGTTCTACTGGCAGGGCAATCAAATGACAAAGGTGTTACGTCCAAGTTTGTAATTTGCATTTTTTTAGTCATTTGTTTTTTCTCTTTCCGATTTTCTGGAAGTTTTGCCCAGCAGTGGTTCTTTTTCTGACAGATATAATTTTCTTTTTACGAAACGATAGCACCAACCTGGGCCACCTTTAAAACCCTGAATATCCAGCAGTGCGCAAAGTCCTACACTATACGGCAGAACAGCTTAACGAATATCGTGCACCCTCGGTCCTTACGCTGGCTGATCAAAGTGGTCACCCACTGGCTTACTGACCGCAGCCAGTGATTTTTTACTTCTGTGTTCTACTGGGAACCGTGTTGTTACAATCGGTCCACTGCGGGACCTAAACAGTTTTTGGGTTTACAACTACTAATGTTCAACTCTGTAGCTTTGTAATTTTGAACACAATCCAGAGGACAAGGGAACTTCAGAATCAAGTATTGGGAGAAATCTGCCTTCATGGAGGACTTTTTTGATAGCATTTGCATTACGTAAAGAGGAAAACCACAAACACCCCCCAGGTTTCCTGAAGGTTAACCTGAAGACAAGGGGACGTTAACCCATGATCCGTCTACCACTGAGGATATTTTACATCAGCACTGTGCTCAGTGCAAGCCGGATGCGTAATTTGCATCAACCTCCCATTGCTGGGATTCGAACCTGGTTCAGTTCATTGGAAGGAGAATCCCCTGAGCCCATAATTGTACTGTACGTAAAAGTAAAGCATTTTTGCTACAGCCAGGATAGGTCATAGACGTTAATGCTCCAGTGTAGTGTATCTACCACTACAATAATATAATTCTAATTCACTAGTACATGTCAATTCAATTCTGCGGTGGGGTACCTTTTCATAGATGAAGGTTGACATTGTCGATATCTACTGTCCTTACGTTGGTGACCTTTGGACGTTATGTGAACATGCCTACCTTGGCAGAAACACCCCCTACTATTTGAACAGGCCTACTTCGATGAATGGTCCACATTGAACAGTTGACTTGCTACATGTGACTACGACATTCTTCACTTCCTCCTGCAGTTGCTACTCAGTCTCGATCACACGCAACACACAGCGTATACACTCGACTGGTAAAGGCAACACAGGAGCGACCACGAACTTAATACAGCTCTCGCGATCGGCACTCTAAAAGTAAGGTGATCTTAATACAGCTCTCCCGGCTTCACACGAAATAGTAAATAATCAACTAGTGGTATCCGTTCATCGAATTCTATCACAGATATAATTCTGGTGAGGAAATACTGTAGTGTATCCACCACTACAAACGTATAATTCCAATTCCCTAGTATATAAGACATGTTAACTCGATTCTATGGTGTGGTACCTTAACACAGATGAAGGCTGACATGGTTGATGTGACTCTCTCCACAACTAGAGTGTTGGTGGCCAGACAAGCTGGTACCCATCGATCTGTTCGAGCACAAACTGAGATTGAACACAGTGACAGCCATCGCAGCAATTTACAGTGTGCAAAAAAAAAGGCTAGGGAACTTTAGAAATACAATAAATATTAAAAACACACAAAATGTTCATTTTACTTACATGTGTAACACCAACTCTAATTTCTCGACTGACGGAAGAACTACCTTTGATCATTTCTCCAGCACTGCCTTTTAGGAAACCGATTCCACCACGCAGGAATCCAGAAGACAACAGACCCAATACTTCCTCCAGAGTGGGAAGACGGTTCTTGCCAACTAAATTTAAAATTTATTTCCTATAATTATTTCATTTTGCAAATGCATTAGAAATTATAAGACAAACCTTGGAACAGCATTGTATAGAATTTTGTGTAACCATTTCACCCATGTGGAAAAACATTTCCGAGCTTTATGAGACAAATCTCTCTAGCTCTATTCCCCGTGGCGACGCGGTGCCATTGTCGAGGAACATTAAGGAGTTCCAGCAGAAAGATTTTTTATTTGCAAAGCAAAGAAGTGTAAGTTTTTTTCACCTGCAGAATTTTCCTTCCCCTTTCTGCAGAATTATATTTAAAAACTGCCTTTCTCGCATATAGGAGGTAGGAAAAAACGCTTATGATTCTTTTTTTCTACTTTCCTTTGAGAATAAAAAAATTCTGCTATGATTGGCTTTAGCTAGAATTTCAGATTGATATTATAAAAAGTTATTTCTAAATAGCAAAAATTTGAAAAAGGTTAACTACAAAAATATTTTTTAGAGCAGGAGAATATCGCCAATACTATTAGAATATGCATTCTTTTATATTTAGATTTTTAAAAAAATTCTTATATTTATAATTCAAAAAATATATATATTGTTCTGTTCTATACATGAAGGCTTTTATTTTGTAAACAGAAAGCACTTCTGTTACATTAAATTAGCAACATTTATATTTGCTGCTGTTAAAAATTTCTCTCGGTAAAGGTATTAGTACTAGAGAGAATTGTCGCAGAAAGCTCGAAAGTATTCTACTGTAGGGGCACTAATATCTTTCTGCAAGATACTTTCAATAATAACAAATATATAAGTTACTAATTTAAAAGTAACAAAAACATTGTGTTTTCAAACAAAAAACCTATTTGGATAAAATAAATTGTATAAAATTTTTTTAAAAAAGAATATGAAATATTTTTTATTCTAACACTAAGGAGGGTATTTTTTATAGGAACTTTGTGGGAGAAAAATGCACTATTATTTCTTTTTTCGCATGTTGCAAATCATAATCACATTAAAAAAGAACTAATTAAAAATCATTAAATCTGGTGTAGTAACTACTAAAAAAGGATCCACGAGGAAATCATTCAAATAGGACTCTTTGAAAAGAAGTCACTCAAATGCGTGTTTCGTTTTGAGATTCAGTTGTTGTAATAAACATTGTATTAAAAATATCAGATTTCAAAAAACCACGTAGAAATCAATATCAATAACCATCGAAAATACCATCGTAACACTATAGATTTAGGAAACCATTATTTTTTTCCCAAAAGAAAAATCTTTCTGCAAGAAAACTTTCTGTGACATTGTCGCCGCGATTCTGCCACGGGGCATTTTACATATCATTACATCTCAACAATATTAAGCAAATCAGCAATATTAGCCATGAACAGATCAACCCTAAAATGCGCTAAAATAATTTTTTGACACAAATACTTAAGAACACAAAAATATGCACACAAGTATTTATTAGTTAGAGAAAAAATTTGAAATTTTCTAGAGCATTGGAAATAATAACAAGCAGTTCATCATTTTTGGTTTGCTTAAATTTTGAAATTCTAATCTCTTAATAGATAATTAAATAACATACAGTCAAACCTCGCTACAGTGAACCTTTAACGGACCAAAATTTCGGTTCACTATAACCGGGGGTTCACTATATCCGTACTGCAAACAATTTTAAATCATTTTTCCGATCTGCTCCCCTTTATTACACATTATTTAAATAAATTACCACTAAAAAGAAATACAAAAATGATTAAAAAACAATATGAAGTAACAAAAAATGTGTTCACTTCTATATTTTAATACTCTTCGTCTTGTAGACAAAAAATTTAGGGAGGGGAAACTGAGATAAAAGAAGCAAACAAGAAAAAATGCTTATGACTACATTCCAATCAATAGATGGTTTTATAAATTGGTATATGTATTTTATGTAAAAATTTCAAAATTACCAAAAAATGAAGAAAAAAATCAGACAAAGACAGAAAAAAGTTAATAATATCCAATTTCCTCTCTTCATTTGGTTCACTGTATTCACAAAAAATAATATTATATGTGTATAGCAAGGGACTGGAGCGAACATTTTGTTCAGTATATCCGGGAGTTCACTATAAACCATGTTCACTATAGCGAGGTTTGACTGCATAAAATCAAACAATTCTTGCCTAGTTTTACAGAACTTTCTGAGCTGCAATTTTTACCGTAACACTTCCGAAGGCTAATCCAATTATGAATATTTTTTCCTTAATACTTTTTTTTTTAAATAAATTAACTTTAAGCATCAATAAAATATCTGAATTTCCACTTGCGGCCTCTACCTTTGCCATCTAGGATTTAAGGTTAAAGTTTTTATTTTCATTTTCTTGTTATTTCTTGAGCATAACAAACTTTTGATGATACTGTATTATTTCACAGCACAATACCTTGAAAGCAAAACAAAAAACAAAGGAGAATTATTACATTACGAGAAATAGAGCTCGATCATTCTTGGGACTTTTTCTCAAAACTTTATATCAATAAAAACATGCAATTTGTGGTTTAAAGTTAAGTATTTAAAGCTACATATTTGTCAACTTTTATAGTTTTATTAAAGGGTTGCCACTCAAATCTGGAGAAAAAAAATTCCCTGTACTTATTATACACAATATATTAAGAGAAAACGACAATTACTGTGTGGGCTGTATTGGGTTAACTATATTTATTAGTTTTAATTGCAGGAAAAACAGCTGAACATACTTATATAATGCTATAGTAAATGAAATAGTTCAGTATAGCTGAAATATCAGGATTAAATATCCCCTAGATTACACTTAGTGGTCACCATTTTCTAAAAGAGAAAAATGAGAAACAAAAGTCCTTGTTTTTTCCCAGTTTGTAAAGGAAAAAAATCAAAATTCCCTGCATTTTAGGTGATTTTTGAATTCGATGTATTTTCCCTGTTCTCCCTGCGGAGTGGCAACCCTGTTTAAAAGTTAATTTTATTGCAGTATAAACTGATGAAAGCAGATTTGGATGATGATGTTAATTACTCAAAAACAAAAATATCTTTCAGAAAGCTAAAAACAAAAATTTAACCACCTTTCAAAATGGCTATTTACCTCACTGTATTGATAAAGTTTTGTCAAAAAGAATCTAAAATACCACAAGCTTTATATTTAAAATTCTGATTGGGTGACAGATATGTGTTTTGCATGTATTCTGCATGTATCGAGAGAATACTTTTCGCACATGCATGCCGAAGAGAAAATATGCATAATAGTTTGTAAAAATCAAACAAAGAGATTTAAAAGCATGTTTAGACTTTTCAACCCCATCTTGAACACTGGAGCTTGATCAAAAGGAAAGAGGACCCTTAATAAACGGATGTAAAACATAACCACTTGATTTAACCAGCGATCTTTAGATTTAGATAGCGATCTTTAGATCCGATAAGTGTGTTCAAGGTTCTCACTAATAACTTATATTTATATTTACACCATTTCACAAGATATCTCCACTTGTAATAAACTTTATTAAACTAAAACTAATTCATTAGTTTGAGTATAGAATGTTGCTTAAATTCATACTAACACTTGAATATTGATAAATATTTTATATATTTTTGGGTCAAATGAATTTTTTTTCTAGAAATCTAAAAGTTGAAAGTTTTTTTTCATTTTTTAATTTAAAGAAAAATATTTTTTAAATTCTTTTTAAGTTAGTATGGCTTTAAAAAGAGCATAATTTGACTGTCTACAAAAAAATAATTTTTAAAAAAAATTTCAGTCTAAAAAATGATTTCTAATGACTCATTCATTATGTGTACAAGATGTATCAATAACTAGAGAAACATCAAAATAAATAAAGGGCTGTTAAAATATTATGCAAGTACTTATTAGTTATTTTGAACTTCTCCTTTTTCACCAAAAATAAGCAAATTGCTCACCCCTTCTGTGTTTCTGTAAGGAATACCCCTCTTGCCTTTGGCTTTAACTTCGATATCAACTGTAGTAATCTAATTTTATCATTAAATACAAAACTTCACATAAAACAAAACTAATTCAATTCAATTCATAAAATTTTGTGTAAAACAATATTTAAGAATATTTTGTGTTTTTCTTCGGTAGTTAAAAGCATGACCTCTGAAGCACTGATAGGAAATTGTTTCCAATTGTTTTTATTTTCTTAGACAAACTTTTTTTTAACTTTCATTTCAAATAAAAAAAAATTTTCAAATACTAATTTTTTTCCAAATTTTGTGAAAAAAAATTTCTAATAAACATTCCTTCTTCTTAGTCTTCAAAAATAAGAATATCACAAACTAACACCTTGTTAGAAGCAGTAATTCTGCTTATGTGCTATAGCGTGTCAAATATGCGAAAATCATAAAGAGGGGACCCAAAAAACAAGTAACTCTAAGACTATTTCTCTATTGAGCAGATTAATGCTTTCAAAATTAAACTTAACTTTAAGAGAGTAGAGATTTATATTATTTCAAAATAGAACCTGTTTTAAGTAAAAAAGTACCCGAAAATTCCTTTCTTCATCCGGGAACATTCAATTGTTCCCAAAAATCCATTCTGGATCCTAAGAATTTGTTGTTTTCAAAGTCTAGTGAAATAACTGATGTATAATATTTCCATGGCTGTAATATATATAAAGGGTTGCC